AGAGTGAGATCTGTGGCCTTCCTGCTGTAACGATGACCTCCCATCAGACAGTGAGATCAGACAGTGAGATCTGCTGTAACGATGGCCTCCCATTAGACGGTGAGATCTGTATCGTCTACTGTAACGATGACGTTCCAATCAGACAGTGAGATCAGTAACGTCTGCTGTAACGATGACCTCCCATCAGACGGTGAGATCTGTATCGTCTACTGTAACGATGGCCTCCCATTAGACGGTGAGATCTGTACCGCCTGCTGTAACGATGACCTTCCCATCAGACAGTGAGATCTGTTTGCTGTAACGATGACCTTCCCATCAGACAGTGAGATCTGTCTGCTGTAACGATGACCTCCCTATCAGACAGTGAGATATGTCTGCTGTAACGATGGCCACCCCATCAGACAGTGAGATCTGTATCGTCTGCTGTAACGATGGCCACCCCATCAGACAGTGAGATCTGTCTGCTGTAACGATGACCTTCCCATCAGACAGTGAGATCTGTATCGTCTGCTGTAACGATGACCTTCCCATCAGACAGTGAGATCTGTCTGCTGTAACGATGACCTCCCATCAGACGGTGAGATCTGTATCGTCTACTGTAACGATCTCTGTCTGCTGTAACGATGACCTCCCCATCAGACAGTGAGATCTGTCTGCTGTAACGATGACCTCCCCATCAGACAGTGAAATCTGTCTGCTGTAACGATGACCTCCTCATCAGACAGTGAGATCTGTCTGCTGTAACGATGACCTTCCCATCAGACAGTGAGATCTGTATCGTCTGCTGTAACGATGACCTTCCCATCAGACAGTGAGATCTGTATCGTCTGCTGTAACGATGGCCACCCCATCAGACAGTGAGATCTGTATCGTCTGCTGTAACGATGACCTTCCCATCAGACAGTGAGATCTGTCTGCTGTAACGATGACCTCCCTATCAGAGAGTGAGATCTGTCTGCTGTAACGATGGCCTCCCCATCAGACAGTGAGATCTGTATCGTCTGCTGTAACGATTTTTTTACACCAGAACTTGATCTGCTACGGTACAAATACAGGGCTGTAACTAAAAAGGTACAAAATCATTGAAATGTCGCTAAGCTAACTAAGGATGCTAGAAAAAGGAAATAATCAATAAAATGAAATTAAATGTCAAAATCCAGCACAATTTTTTTCTACAAACTTCTCTATGATAATTGGTCCGGCTCCAGTAAAGACATGTCCCGCGGCTATTTTCAATAATAATACCTGCCGAGTTCGTGATTTCCATAGTTATCCCTGCATCCTCATCCTATAGGGTTTACATGTCGCAGTTTATTCCGTATTCAAGGGCCTGTTCCCATTATCATGATTTTCGTGCAAGAAGTCGTTAACTGACAGACAATCGCGTAACACAAGGTATCAATAGATGAAGGTTGGTGAAAATTATGGGAAAGTTTTACGGTTGTCATAGTGATCTCATTGAGAAATATTCGATTTCTTTGTGTGATATGAAGCTGGACGTGCTCGTTAGTGTGCCTGTTGGTTCCGTTCTTGTATACCTTGTATCTCATTTTGAGAACGTGCCATTACTTACTTAGATTGACCAATGTTTACATAGATGATGTCGTGGATGAAGCAGAAGACGCTTATTTTTCTGCAACGTATGGTCTTATTCTCCTTGTACTTATTCAGGAGTCTCCGTGTACAGGGATTCGGCATGAGTTCTCGACCCACGATCGATATATGTGTATTATAACAAGAAAGGCTTAACTAGATCTTAGGCTGCAGTAACACATACTTGACATTAAAGAGAAATCTTTCCCATGAGTGTTTGATGAACGAAACTGACCAAGTATTAACCAAGCATAAAGCAAATCATGACTTGACGAATCAGGATATATTGGTACACATGGCAAGGTAGACATTACCCTATCCGTGGAATTACGTCTCTAATTGGTACATCAATAACTATGCCGAAATCGCTAAATTTACGCTTGGTACCATGACCTTGTCCACATGGCGTGACCTTTAATATTGTCATGTGTCGTAGGTTGTAGAATTTCCAAATATACATCACGCCGTTCTTTTTCTAACCTTTAACCATCATGTTTTCTCTTATGTTGTACTGGAGTATGCCGTTTCAGTGTGGATCCCAAAACTCAGTCTAGGATTATAAGTAATTAATATCTGAAAATGATAATAAAAACAAAAAACAAAAACAACAAAACACACACATCAATTAACAATTTTCCTTAATAAGCTATTTCAATATTCTAGAAGCCTTTGAATAAATTCTTTACAATTTCACGTTTGAGTGCTGCATTCAAATATCCACCCCTCTACAATGCTGATCGCCGGTATAAACTATGTATCACCATGTACATCTCTCTTTTGTTCATAGGTTGCCCTCTTTTTATTGAATTTGGGTTTGGATTGTGACTACGTTGGTATAGTGTTGTTGTTTATAACCCCGCGATTAAGAGCTGGTGGTGTGGGTGGATCTGTACTAACCTTTTCTTCATGTCAGATTGCTAGTTTTTAAGTTTTTCGTTTAGATCCGAGAGTAACTTGAGTACAAAGTTCTATTCCTAGTAGTTTTGCGGTTTCCATTTTTTTTCTATTTCCACTTTTTCGTGAAGAATGATTTTTCATCTCTCTAGCTTCATTCACTGAAGCTCGTGCTGTGTTCGTTTATTCGTAATCTTTCAGATTTTCTTCTACGTGTAAGCTGGCGATGTCTTTTCTCAACACTTCTGGTCTTTCGGCTATTTGGAGACACTTTATACTTCGCCCCATTGTAGTTCGATTTCCTTGGTTAGGTCCAATTTTTTTCTGTTCAATCGTTGTAATGAACTTGCTCTTGTGTGAATATAGTTGTGACATAAGGTTTGGGTATTTCGTTATCCGTAATGATAGAAAATCGTGGAAATTGTTGGAGATGTTTTTCTTCCTTGAACGCTGATATTCTTTCTTTGTCAATCCTTCTTTTGGGATTTACATTTTCTTTCACTTTTCTGTTTCCCTGGTTGCCATGATGTCACTGAATGGCGCTTGAGATTTGACATGGACATGTTACCTGAGTATTTGTGACTGGTTACTAGGTAGCATCATGACTAATGTATGCTTTATCGACTTCTTGTGTACGAAGTAAGTTTCACGAGAAACAGAATCTATAAAAGTGTCCAATACTTACGTACCATACTATGCTGGTAGTGCGGGACGCTACGTTGACCGTAGTTAGAGATGTAGTCGCATCGAGTGCTGTTTCTCTTTGTCTGTAATATTCAGCTTTTTCTTCCTATTACGGTGGTATTTAGAAACCCTGAGGAGTTTGATGATAAAACGTATTCATTGTTCGATTCGAAGCCTGTAAAAATTTGGGTATTAACTCCACCAAATCATAACATCAATCTTTTAAGAGTTCGGTGTTGGTTTCCCGTCTCCATGACTCCTCCCGTGTCCGGGTATCGTCTCACCGACGGAGTCAGTGTTCTGGCGGTGTTCGGTGTTGGTTTCACGCCTCCGTGACTCCTCCTGTGTCCGGGTATCGTCTCACCGACGGAGTCAGTGTTCTGGCGGTGTTCGGTGTTGGTTTCACGTCTCCGTGACTCCTCCCGTGTCCGGGTATCGTCTCACCGACGGAGTCAGTGTTCTGGCGGTGTTCGGTGTTGGTTTCACGTCTCCATGACTCCTCCCGTGTCCGGGTATCGTCTCACCGATGCAGTCAGTGTTCTGGCGGTGTTCGGTGTTGGTTTCACGTCTCCGTGACTCCTCCCGTGTCCGGGTAGTTTCTCACCGATGCAGTCAGTGTTCTGGCGGTGTTCGGTTACATATGTATATATAGTTATATAAATGCCACCGGAAATTGTATAAAACGTCTAGATATGAATCTACTGACGATTTCTAGGCCGCTAATTGGTCTCTGGTATAAACCTACAACACTATCGCTCACGCCGAACTCCAGTGTGATTGGTTTTATTAATTTTTTTTACATGTTTACATTTACGATTAAAAATTAAGTTAGACTGACAGGTGACACGTAAAACTTTTCTAGTGACATTTTGTGGGGCTAACAACAAATACAGGTTAGGCAATTAATCTGCCATTCTGCTGAGACTAGATACGATGTCTTACATCCTCTTTCCTTAGGAGCGGTAGGTTTTAAAATGTATTAGCTGTAATGGATTTGGTTCGTACAAAACTTATACTGACAATAATGAATCCATAAGACTACACAGGAAATCACAAATTTAGGCCTGTAAATGTAGCTTAAACAGTTCTAGCTTACCAAAATATCACCAAATAAAACAGAAATACAAAAAGTTTAAAAGAAAACAGTAAAATAATCGATAAAATTGTATAAAAGTTTATGTTGAAATCAAACACTTTTTATCATAAATTCTTCATGATATAGCTAGAAGTTCTTATAACACATTATGTAGAAGATTTAAGTGTGACGTTTCGACAACATTGTTGCCTTCCAAGATGCCAGTGTTGTAATTACATCACACTTAGATTTTCTACAGGTTGTGGTATAAGAACTTAAAATCTACTGATATGGTTATTTTTGTGTTTTTATTCAAAATTGTTGTGAAAATTGCTGTTTTGGTTAACCAACCCATTTTGTACAAGATCTAGAGCCTTGATATTTTATATTTAGGAAGCTCTTGACCTTGATTATCGAGTTTGTTAATATGTATATATGACCTTGGCACACTTTCACAGGGGTCAATTTTGTCAAAAACTTCACTAGCATTTTCTCAATAACCAAGAGGCATACAGTGATGAAACTTTCACAGTAGCATGCTGTGATCGATTGCTACTGAGTGTATTAATGAATGCATGCCTGAATATTCAACTTCCGGTTTTTTGGCATGGGTTAAATTTGAAAATTGCTATTTTGGGTAACATTTTTTTTAAACCTTCTCAAGTTCTTTAAAGTCTAGAGCCTTGATGTTTCATGTATGGGAAGGACTGGTCCTTGAATATCAAGCTTGTCGATGTAAATTACCTCGACCCACTTTGGAGGTCAAACGGGTCCTCTATATTAAAATCTTGAAATGTCTTCCGACCTGTGCCCATGAAGCATAGGATGACAATATTTGATCAGTTGAATACTGAGACAAATTGCTATCAACAATGATAAGAAAAACATGTATTTCGTCAACTACTGGTTATCGATAGGTGTCAAAGTGAAAAAAATCTTCTCAAGTTTATTTAAGGTCTAAGGTCTTGATATTTAATAGACAGGAAGTTCTAGTCATTGACTATCAAGTTTGTTAATATAAATGACCTTGACTCTCTTTCAAGATCAAAACGGTCTTTTTTTAATAAAATATTTAAATATTTTCTTCGAAATAACCAAGAGTCCCAGGATCCTGCTGTTTGATAAGTCGCAGACTACAACCAATTGCTATCGAAAATTGTAAGTAAAAGAGTTGTACTTGGTCAACTTCCAGTTTTCGATTGGAGTTAAAATTCAGATGTGCTATTTTGGGTAACAAGCTTCTTTTTAAGTTCCACCGGGTCTAGAGTCTTGAAAGTTCGCATGTCCCGGTCGTTAGCTATCAGGTTTGATAATGACATTGACCACCCATTTTATAGGTCACAGGGGTCAATTTTGTTAGAATTTTAAAATACATGTAGATTCTTTTCAGTATTAGGAGGTACACGGTGATCATGTTTGGTAATTGTATATTGCGTTCAATTGATATTGATAGTAAGAAAATATTGTGTCTAATGTCAACTTTTAGGATCATTAAGAAAGTTCTTTTACGGGTAGCACAAATAAAAACATCTGACGTTGTCTAGAGTCTTAAATTGCTTGAACGGTTAGCCATCATGTTTGTGGAAATGACTGACCTTTAGTTGAGAAGTTGTGTATACGTGAAAAGCCATTCAAATTCTTCGCCAACAGATCCTAATTGTTATTTTGCTTCTAATAACAGAAAGAGTGAATATTAAAAATAAATAAAAGCCAATATTGACAGCTGGAATCAAATTAAAACGGATATTGTTACCTCTTTGGTAGGCGAGGACGGGTAGATTCTTATATCACCATTGTCTTTATATGGTTATCGGTTAAGATCTCAATTGTTATGACCCAGACCTTAAGTCCCTGGAGGTGTGCCACACTCCAGGGTCGATTCTTACATCACAGATATGTTTACCACTTGCTGCCTAGCAGATGTAACCCAAGAAACTAAGCCCCGAGGGGTGGGGGCCACACCCCAACCCAAGAAACTAAGCCCCGAGTGGTGGGGCCACACCCCACACCCCAACCCGAGAAACTAAGCCCTGAGGGGAGGGCCACACCGCAACCCAAGAAACTAAGCCCCGAGGGGTGGGGCCACACCCCAACCCAAGAAACTAAGCCCCGAGGGGTGGGGCCACACCCAAACCCGAGAAACTAAGACCCGAGGGGAGGGCCACACCGCAACCCAAGAAACTAAGCCCCGCGGGGTGGGGCCACACCCCAAGGTCACTCTTTACATCACTGTTGAGTTTATCTCTTGCTGCCTAGCAATGCTATATAAAGTTATGGTTTGGGGATCTCAGTTGTTTCCAAGTAATAACCAAGATATTAATTCCGTACACCCATGGCAAATTGTAACATTGATTGAATCTATCTTTTGACGACTAGAAATGCTATATATGGTTATGGGGTAGGAGTCTCAACCATTTGCAAGGCATAACTCAGATGTTACGTCAAGAGGGGTGTAGACACACACAAGGACCAGTTCTGTCTCTTGATGCCCATCATTGCTATATACGGTTATGGGGTAAGGATCTCAACCGTTTCAAAGATATAATCCAGAAACAAGGTTCCGAGGGGTGGGGCACACCCCAGGGCAAATTTTGACATTACGATTGTGTTATTTATTGATGCCTAGCAATGCTATATATAATTATAGGGTGGGGTTCTCAACTGTTTCACAGATGTTGCCGAGTAAATAGCGTTGTGCCAGACATCATGATTGTGAAAATTGAACCTTATGATAATACATGATTCTACAGTATTATAATGGGTATTGGGTGGAAAGCTCAACTATTCAAAGATATAAGCCAGAGACTAAGTACTTAGGAGCGAGGGCACACACGAGTCAGTAGGGGTGGGGGAGGAACACACAATTCCCGAGGGGTGGGGGCACACATGAGTCACTAGGGGTAAGACACATACAAGTCCCTTGGGGTAGGTGCACACACAAGTCTCTGGGGGTCCCTAAAACTATTTTTGTTCTCGTTCACTTGGCTATATTTTTGTGGATTCTATTGCTGGGCATTCTCTCGGAATTATGGGAATTTTACTGATAACTTAACACCAGCGTCAACACCGATCACTCCTTACTGATAAAATTGATATAAACTGATGTAATTTATGTTTTCTCATCAACAGAGACGAAATGACAAAGCCGGAGCTGGACATTCAGCACATTTTATACCAGATTCAGCAGATGAATCAGGACGAACGCAGCCTCCTCTTATCCAGCCTCAACTTGTCCAGTGAGGAACAACTTCTCAACTACTTTAGCGTGCCGAGTATTCCACTGGAAGACTTCACAGCCTTCCGTATTCACAAGTATTTACTTCTCTATGTCCCGCCGGTGATGATCTTCATTGGTACCATCGGGAACATCCTGTCTTTCGTTGTCTTTCGTGCTTACAGTGGTAAGGTATCAACATATACCTACCTGGGGGCGCTGGCTATGATGGACCTTCTTGTAATCTACATAGGCTTGCTGCGACTTTGGATTGCTCAGCTTTCTTCTTTTGACATAAAGGACCAAACTAACTGGACTTGCAAGCTTGTAGCTTTCCTGGGTTACGTGTGCAGCGATTCGTCCGTATGGCTCATAGTAGCAGTTACAGTAGAACGGTACATCGCAGTTTGCTACCCTTTGCAAGCCTCTAATCTTTGTCGACTCAAAAAAGCGCGGTTCACCGTGCTTATACCAATTCTGTCACTTTGCATTGTAAATTCGCACTTTTTTTGGACCGTACAATTGCGACACGAAAAAACAAACACAACAAATACAGTCTATATCTGTGATGCCGGACAGAGTTTCACGGACTTGGTCAACGATGTGTGGGTATGGGTGGATGCCGGTATATATTCGTTTGTTCCATTTGTAATTTTATCATTGCTCAACGGACGTATAATTCAGAAAGTGTGCATAGCTAAAAATGAACGTACACTTTTACTAAGTAAAGAAAGAACCGACATTGGATGTAATTCGAAAATGAAACATTCCTCATGTGAAGTAAACAGGAAATTAACCATAATGCTTCTGATGGTATCCTTTACATTTTTACTTACGACCCTGCCGATGAATATCATTCTCATCATGACTAAGTCCTGGAATGAACAGAATCAGCAGCAAAAGGCAGCGTTTTACCTGGCAAAGACAGTATCAGAATTGTTAATGTATCTCAACCATACAATCAACTTCTTTCTTTATTGTATCTCCGGTCGGAAATTTAGGCGTCAAATATTTTCCCTATTTTCTTTTTACTGTTGTTCTGTCTTCGCCCAAAGCGGCGAAACAGCTATGACAAGGAAAAGAACATTCGACACGACTGAGACTATTGGTTTGCGTATTAATTATAAAGTTGTGTACAAAAGAGATACGACGCCACCCTCTTCTGTCTAAGCAATAACCACGAGCCAGTCATGCAAGCCATTTCACTCCGTGCACTGTCCAATATTGAGAATACTACCATAATAACGTTTCAGAGTGTCATTGATTCCAACTCGTTTTGGCGTTTTCAGTCTTTGCGAATATGAAGTCCAGTTTTGAATTAATAGTTTTACGACGGATATTTTTTAAGATTTGACTGAAAATTGTGAAGTATTGTTGTTTATCTGTTGTTACTTTTAACGTACCTCTTTTTATTAATCGGAATAGGTGGTGATGAATGTAGTTTTATTTGCTTTTTATTAATGATATTGACAATATCAACACCAGCCTTTCAGAGTACCAACCTGCTCTGCCTATTGGATGTATGTAAATCACGAAAAGAGACCGCTGTTGAGGTTAGGTCGACACATATCAGATGATGTCAATAGACTATGTTCACGAAAAGCAAAGACCGCTGTTGGGGTTAGGTCGACACACATCAGACGATGTCTGTAGACTATGTTCACGAAAAGAGACCGCTGTTGGGGTTAGGTCGACACATATCAGATGATGTCAATAGACTATGTTCACGAAAAGAGACCGCTGTTGGGGTTAGGTCGACACATATCAGATGATGTCAATAGACTATGTTCACGAAAAGAGACCGCTGTTGGGGTTAGGTCATTCACATATCAGATGATGTCAATAGACTATGTTCACGAAAAGAGACCGCTGTTGGGGTTAGGTCGACACATATCAGATGATGTCAATAGACTATGTTCACGAAAAGAGACCGCTGTTGGGGTTAGGTCGACACATATCAGATGATGTCAATAGACTATGTTCACGAAAAGCAAAGACCGCTGTTGGGGTTAGGTCGACACACATCAGACGATGTCTGTAGACTATGTTCACGAAAAGAGACCGCTGTTGGGGTTAGGTCGACACATATCAGATGATGTCAATAGACTATGTTCACGAAAAGAGACCGCTGTTGGGGTTAGGTCGACACATATCAGATGATGTCAATAGACTATGTTCACGAAAAGAGACCGCTGTTGGGGTTAGGTCATTCACATATCAGATGATGTCAATAGACTATGTTCACGAAAAGAGACCGCTGTTGGGGTTAGGTCGACACATATCAGATGATGTCAATAGACTATGTTCACGAAAAGAGACCGCTGTTGGGGTTAGGTCGACACATATCAGATGATGTCAATAGACTATGTTCACGAAAAGCAAAGACCGCTGTTGGGGTTAGGTCGACACACATCAGACGATGTCTGTAGACTATGTTCACGAAAAGAGACCGCTGTTGGGGTTAGGTCGACACATATCAGATGATGTCAATAGACTATGTTCACGAAAAGAGACCGCTGTTGGGGTTAGGTCGACACATATCAGATGATGTCAATAGACTATGTTCACGAAAAGAGACCGCTGTTGGGGTTAGGTCATTCACATATCAGATGATGTCAATAGACTATGTTCACGAAAAGAGACCGCTGTTGGGGTTAGGTCGACACATATCAGATGATGTCAATAGACTATGTTCACGAAAAGAGACCGCTGTTGGGGTTAGGTCGACACATATCAGATGATGTCAATAGACTATGTTCACGAAAAGAGACCGCTGTTGGGGTTAGGTCGACACATATCAGATGATGGCAATAGACTATGTTCACGAAAAGAGACCGCTGTTGGGGTTAGGTCATTCACATATCAGATGATGTCAATAGACTATGTTCACGAAAAGAGACCGCTGTTGGGGTTAGGTCATTCACATATCAGATGATGTCAATAGACTATGTTCACGAAAAGAGACCGCTGTTGGGGTTAGGTTGATCACATATCAGACGATGTCTGTAGACTATGTTCACGAAAAGAGACCGCTGTTGAGGTTAGGTCCACACATATCAGATGATGTCAATAGACTATGTTCACGAAAAGAGACCGCTGTTGGGGTTAGGTCGACACATATCAGATGATGTCTGTAGACTATGTTCACGAAAAGAGACCGCTGTTGAGGTTAGGCCGATCACATATCAGATGATGTCAATAGACTATGTTCACGAAAAGAGACCGCTGTTCGGGTTAGGTTGATAACATATCAGATGATGTCAGTAGACTATGTTCACGAAAAGAGACCGCTGTTGAGGTTAGGCCGATCACATATCAAATGATGTCAATAGACTATGTTGACGTTCAGGTCCTCACACGCTTGACTACAGGTGTCATGTTATGTAATACCACGCACAGGTGTTACAATGTAATTGTTTTATGGTATCACACCTGTAATAATGTGATTAGTTTGATCGCGGGTTGATTAGATACAGTATGGTCAGATCACTACGATTATTAAGACAGATAGCAAACCATGATCAGTTTCTTTGTGGGTTTACTACCAATGGTTTTTACAAACTTGTTTGGTAAATATTTAGAAGCTAGCATTTACATTAAAAATGCATAACTGACATCTTAGCTGTAGGAGAAACTAAAAATTTAGCTGTGTGAGGAACTAGCAGCATAGCTGTAGGTGGAACAAAATTTTAGCAGTAGGTGGAACTGATAATTGTAGTTGGAACTGACAGCTGTAGGTGGAACTGACGGTTGTAGGTTGAACTGACGGTTGTAGGTGGAACTGACAGCTGTAGGTGGAACTGACAGCTGTAGGTGGAACTGACAGCTGTAGGTGGAACTGACAGCTGTAGGTGGAACAAGCATCTTAGCTGTAGGAGGAACTGATATCTAAGCTGTAGGTGGAACTGATTGAAGTCTTTGTTGTTAAATAATGTTTTTTATGAAGTCTAGTTAATATTTATTTATGTACCACCTCCAGAGATAAATCCTTTTGATTATCCTGATCGTGAGAACTAGCAAACCATATATGTAAATATCATCATATGCATGATTGTTACGTGCTGACAAATACATAATATTACGGTATATATGTGGTGAATAACATTGTGTCAAAAATAAATATAAAAAATGTAATTGATTCGTGTGTACACTACCAGATCGATGTCATTTCAAGAGGAGCATTATGGATGAAACTTTCAAGAAAGAACAAGAGATTTATGTATATTATTAAAATCATTGACGGTTTGGATGGAAACACGAGACGGTTAGGAAAAGATATGTTTTATTTCAAAGACATTCAAAAGTAATGAAACCAACCAGTGTTACGAACTGTGGTTGAGTGTCGTGATGTGAACTGGAGCGAACTTCAATATATAACATGTCGCCTACGAACTCTTACAATGTTGATCAGGTGACATATTTTATAACTGATATGTAATTGTTGACATGTTGTTGTGAATAGTATGCAACTGTAATCAAACATAAACAATCGATCACATTATATACGGGATTTTTCCACACACGTGTGTCCTCAGTGACCAGATATTAACTTACACACGTGTATATCAACCTTAGGTCTTCAGTGACCAGATATTAACTTACACACGTGTATATCAACCTTAGGTCCTCAGTGACCAGATATTCACTTACACACGTGTATACCAACCTTAGGTCCTCAGTGACCAGGTATTAACCAACACACGTGTATATCAACCTTAGGTCTTCAGTGACCAGATATTTATTTACACACATGTATATCAACCTTAGGTCCTCAGTTACCAGATATTAACCAACACACGTGTATACCAACCGTAGGTCCTCCGTGACCAGATATTATCTAACACACGTGTATACCAACCTTAGGTCCTCAATCACCAGATATTATCTAACACACGTGTATACCAACCTTATACCAACCTTAGGTCTTCAGTGACCAGATATTTATTTACACACATGTATATCAACCTTAGGTCCTCAGATATTATCTAACACACGTGTATACCAACCTTAGGTCCTCAATCACCAGATATTATCTAACACACGTGTATACCAACCTTAGGTCCTCAATCACCAGATATTATCTAACACAAGTGTATACTTAGGTCCTCAGTGACCAGATAGTAACCAACACACGTGTATACCAACCTTAGGTCCTCAGTGACCAGATATTAACATACACATGTGTATACCAACCTTAGGTCCTCAGTGACCAGATATTAACTTACATGTATACCAACCTTAGGTCCTCAACCAGATATGAACCTACACACAGTGATATTAACTTGCACACGTGTATACCAACCTTAGGTCCTCAGTGACCAGATAGTAACCAACACACGTGTATACCAACCTTAGGTCCTCAGTGATCAGATATTAAATATCACCCGTGTATACCAACCTTAGGTCTTCAGTGACCAGATATTAACTTACACACGTGTATAACATCCTTATGTCCTCAGTGACCAGATATTAACATACACATGTGTATACCAACCTTAGGTCCTCAGTGACCAGATATTAACTTTCATGTATACCAACCTTAGGTCCTCAGTGACCAGATATGAACCTACACACGTGTATACCAACTTAGGTCCTCAGTGACCAGATATTAACTTACACACGTGTATACCAACCTTGGGTCCTCAGTGACCAGATATTAACCAACACACGTGTATGCCAACTTAGGTCCTCAGTGACCAGATATTAACATACACACGTGTATACCAACCTTAGGTCCTCAGTGACCAGATATTAACTTACATGTATACCAACCTTAGGTCCTCAGTGACCAGATATGAACCTACACACGTGTATACCAACTTAGATCCTCAGTGACCAGATATTAACTTACACACGTGTATACCAACCTTATGTCCTCAGTGACCAGATATTAACATTCACACGTGTATACCAACCTTAGGTCCTCAGTGACCAGATATTAACTTACACACCATCCTTACACATGGTCAGCAATCTTTTATGCATAACATTATAGTTCATTTGTAGTACACAGGTCAGCCTATGTTATTAGTAGAGAAATACTGTTCTATGTACCTATACGTGTCCTTAGACCTAGGTTAAAATGTTACACTTTATCTAACCTCTGTATGCTGTCACCCAACTACAGAATAAAAGAGATCTATGCCAGGCGTATATTTGTCACTCCTCATTTACACACCGGATGTATACACTGGTCTTGCATTAAAAACTCATTTTAAGACAAAATTGGTTTCCAACTTTATTTCTTCAAAACACAGTTTTTCACACTGTCATTCTTATTTTCAACATTATATTACAAAATGCTTCTTATTATCTGGTTAAAATACATTGATATGTCATAATTCACAATTTTACTACAGTTTTGATGTATGACCGATGAAAACTTCCAGGCATCATCCAAAACCAAGGTAGATATGGACGGACGGGCAAACAAAGTACGCTTAATAAACCCTGTAAATCACCTAAAAACAATGCAGAGATGGACGGTCGGACAAACGAAGTACGGTTAATAAATATGTAAATCACCTAAAACCAATGTAGAGAAGGACGGGCGGACAAACGAAGTACGGTTAATAAATATGTAAATCATCTAAAACCAAGCTAGAGAAGGACGGGGGGACAAACGAAGTACGGTTAATAAATATGTAAATCATCTAAAACCAATGAAGAGAAGGATGGGCGGCATGAGTCGTGCCTATGAGATGCTAGTACACCGCTTCTAAAAACTACTAGACCAGACATAGTAGCAAACCCTTAATTCAAAAGCACGTGTGCGAAATTCGTTAACATGTCTCTAAAAAATAGGTCGTGGGCACACAATGTCATGGTTCAAAAGGTAGGACAAATGGAAGGGTCCCATGCGTCTCAAACTAGGATAGATTATCGTAAAGGGTGTGTCTCGGGGGGAAAATTACCGTACTGTCGACATCCCTGCTAATAATGTTCACGTCCTCGCAATAGGCAGGTCGTTTTGAGTTAAAAGAGGACATTCCAAAGGCTGATCTTCCGTTATTTATAAACAACCAACATGAAGAAGAACCCAAAGATTCAGTGTTTCTGACTGTGCTGGGCACTAGCTTAAAAAAATAATGGTCCAAGTCAATGGCAACCACGTCGCTATACACAGGATTTTGAGTAATTAACTTAGCTCAATTTTAATGAAACTTGATCAAATGGAGTAATTAAAGCCTGTCACGTGACACATTATGTGTAATGGAGGCTTCTGATTGGTTGAAATTGAAATATTGTCTGATTATGCTGAAAATTGATATATAAGGCCTCTGAAGATGGTAATTAAAATATTAACCGTATTATATTCAAAACATTAGACATGAAAAAAATTTGGTTGCCATGGTGACAGATCACCGGGGGAGGGGGCATTAGTTAACCTCAGGATGACGGCTTTAATTTCAATGCAGTTAAAACAGCATTCAAATACTTAAGGTTATCATTATACTTTATAGAGGTTTGGAGCTGATACATCAAAATGTACCCTAGTCTTTACTCAATTCCTGTTTAACACCACTTTTTGAAGCCTGGTCACCAGAGACTAAAACACATGGAAATACAACATGATAACTTAATTATAATCCAAACCCAAATTCAACAAACCTCGGGCAAAATATGAACAAAAAAAGTTTACACGAAGACTCCTTAAAAATTACAATTAAAATAAGACTATGTGTTCGGAAGAGCGAGCGTCTTCTGTTTCACCGCTTACACCCGCCATATAAACCTTGGTTAGTCTAAGTAAGTAATGCCGCGTTCTCAAATGAGAACAAGGTAAAGAACAACGGAACCATCAGTCAAACCAATGAGCACTGGACAGGTCCAGCTTCATATCGGAACAAGAAATAGCATATTTCTCAATGACATCACTATAACGACCTTAAAATTTCCCTATAATTTTCATCAATCTGCATCTTTTGAAACCCTGTGTTATGAGTTTATCCGTCAGTTAGAAATTTCTTGTCCTGAAATTGTGATAATGGAAACAGGCTCTTGAATATCATAGGTTGGGGAAGAAGGAATGTTGCAACCCAGAAATGGAAAATTCACAATAGGGAAATTGAAATCATCATGCGTCTCATACAGCTTGGCGGAAAGATGTCAAAGTTGGTTTCGTTGTAGGAAAAGATCGAGATAAGCGGCTGATGTAGAAAAGTCTGACCTGTCTTTGATTCACATTTCTGGTAGGTATATACGATGGACAAGGTAAATCAATTTCGTATCTGAAGACAAGGCGACATTCATATATCTGAAAGTGAAAATCAGTGTCTTGGCAAGGTCTTTGTGACTTGTTTCGTTAGCTTTTCGTTAAATTGGGCCTCAAAAGAAAACAACAAGAGGCCCGTGGCCTTAACAGTCCCCTGAGGTCTTCAGGTCTTTGGGCAGATTTAGAACCTGTCCATCAGTCCCAGCTTTGGGACTGACAGAACAGAACTTATATACCCATACTTTAAGTTTTTATTGTTTTTAAGGTCTTAATGTTCAATTAAACAGGACTGACGTTTGTTGTAGTTTGGCATATTTGACCCCTGTGACCTTGAATGAAAGTCAGTGTCATTCATTTGAACAAACCTGACCAATATGGTGATTCTGGGCCTTCCAGTTATTGAGAAGAAAATAGGTCAAAGCCATTAATTTGAACAAACTTGATAGCCCTTCATCACTAGTATGCTACTAGTCCAATATCATGACACTAGGTCATTTTGTTATTGAGAGGAAGTTGTTTATAGGTTTTAACACATTTGACCCATGTGACCTTGAAAATATGTCAAGGTCATTCCTTTGAACAAACTTACTATCCCATCATCCCAGCCTGCTACTGGCCTACACCATGACCTTGGGCTTTCTGGTTATTGATAAGAAGTTGAAAATGTATATTGTTTAGGACAGATGACCTGATTGCAATACATCACTTGAGACTTCCTCTCAGGTGATCTAAAAACAAGTCAGCAAACAAAGGGGCATAGTTAGGTATGCCAATAGTCTGTTGGAAGATCCTAACAACAATCTCGACAAAGATATTGTCAGCCAGAAACAATATGAATCAAATGAGCTAAAACTGAAAAACTGAAAATTTTGGGAATTATTCAATTCAATACACAAATATAGTTGCTGGGTAAAATAAAAACCAAACAAGTATATTCCATATAGGAATTTTATTTTTTTATGCACAATTTGACAATCTGTTCTGCATTTCTGCAAATATCTGTTTTGTTTTTGTGCTAGAAAAATATTAAATACCAACACAAGTGGACCTGTCTGAAACAAATCCTAAAAAATGGATGTGTATTCTCAGTTCAAGCAATCACATGTACTTTGCTTGAATTGGTTAACTTGTACAAACCCTGGAAATGTTAGCATTTCATGATTAAACAAACAGTGCTTCTGGTGCATGAAATGCATTTGAGTGTCTGAAAGTAGTAATGATATGTTTACCATCAGAAAAGACTTTTGGTTCATAAGAAGAAGATTTTAGCAATAGATAATCCAGCTGTTACATTGATTTTCTCGCAGCTCTCAGTAAGTCTGTAAAGGCAGGTATGGACATCTAACTTGGATGACCAGCAACCAAATCGCCACAGTCTTTACAAAAGTGGCATGACTTACATGCTTTTCTGTTGTTTACCACAGAAAAATATCTGCTTACAAAACTGATATTCACATCACAGTGCCGTTTTCCATTGTTTTTATCTTTCAAATATTGCATCGTCCCGGAAACAGTATTCACCCTAATTGTAACATATGTGTTGTTGTCCACTTCATTTGAGGGGAATGGAACAAAAAAATAAGAAATCCACCCAACTTCGTTTGAGGGAGAGTTAATTTCATGGCTAGATCTTGAAACCTCATCTGTTCCGTTCTTTTCCTCCAAGGATTTCTATGGCTAAATCTCCATATCTTCCTCATCATCTAGCAAGCGTTTTCTTTTGAACAATCTTTGCTGTATTCTCCATCGTCTGTATCCAATCAGAGCTGTGAGACCGTATATAAACATACAGACATAGCCAACCACCTGAAACAGATCATCATACAATCACGGTTTGTTAATTATCAGGTTTATTTGACACATGACTTTGTACAGTTATTTTGCAGGGAAATGGTGCCCCTTGCTGGTAACTTGGGGAATTTTTGAAGATTTTTAGTTGGACCTTTGGTTTTTTGTATTAAAGTTTTCAATGATAGCATTCCTGGGTCAATTTTATCAATTGCTTACCTATTCAACCTAGAAATGCACAGGCCTAACATTACTGAAATTACTGAATTACTGAGTTGCTCAGCTGTTCTGCAGCTTTAACAGGAACTTTATCAGTTTGTTAGTTAAGTCAACATCAGAAAACTTGAAAGCCTTTTTCCCAAGCATGCAAAAATACCATGACCAACAAGAAACATTAACTTCTTAATACATTTAATCTCTGTGACCTCCAGAGTGGGCCAAGGTCATTTATATATAAATCTGAATTCTGAGATTTTTTATTTTTGTTCGAAGTTGTTTAAGAAGCTTAAAAAATTCAATCCCTGTGACCTTGAAATGGTAAAAAGTCAACAAGACCATCATGATGGAACGGCCCTGTCTATAAGCTAGCACACAAAAGGTTTCATACACCAGTGCAACATGAAAAGTGGAACTGCATGGTACTGACTTAATAAGGGTAACTTTGTCCCAAAAATCCATAAGAATAATTTATACCAAGTTAGAAATCAATCGCACCAGCTGTTCTTGAGAAAATGTCCTTTGTACCAGCATTCAAACCCCTTAACTCTTGTGGATATGAACAAATCTGATTACAAACACACAGTGTGCTGAAAGTAATTAAGTAGTAGATTTACAGCATTATCCAATGGTTATTGAATCAAAGTGATATCTCATGTACAGAAACACACAAACCAAATTTGGTGAAAATCTGACTGTATGGTATATTTTCTGCATTCAAAGTCCCATAACTCTTGCAAATTCTGATGGATGACACTGGTTATCAAACATCATGTGAAGTGTAATTTCTATCAACCCTCACATAAGAACATCTGACTACAAATACCTAAGTAATCAAACGGTTCAAACTCCCATAATGATGAATAATTTTAAATGTTTCCTTCTATTTCCCCTAATGTGCCCCACTTTTCCTTCTATTTCCCCTAATGTGCCCCACTTTTCCTTCTATTTCCCCTAATGTGCCCCACTTTTCCTTCTATTTCCCCTAATGTGCCCCACTTTTCCTTCTATTTCCCCTAATGTACCCCACCTTTGAACCTTAAAAGGTGCCAGAACCCTTCATTTAAAAATAAGAGGCCAATGGACCTATATTTCTAACCTGGTTTGGTTTGTTGAAACAGAAGGATGTAAAAGGTTCGACCTCTCTTTTCCCCATTGGGCCCTGCCCCTTTGTCTAACCCATATCAATAGTTTATAGAAATACTGTATTCTGTCTACACAATGACACTTCAATACCCAAATTTGTCAAAATCCCTTGACTTCTATAGCAAAAGTGATCAAAGTATTTCTGATGGTTATAAACCCTCCATTTATACAAAATTGTTCCCTTTTTCCCAAAGGATGCAACCAAATTTGGTCAAAATCTCCTGTGTCATTCATGACCTGTAGTGATACTTAAACACACCTTGTACGATATTAGATAAGCTCATCAGTCATTTGAACCAGGTGAGTTAGAAGTTTGAAGAATCACAAATAGATGACAAAGAAACACATGATATGATGGCTTATGTAAATACACAAAATAAACATCACATTTTAGAGAAAGGCTGTTTTACATTTCAATGATCACATGAAATTTTGTCATCATGAATGGTTCCGGAGTTTCATCTGTTTCCCTTTAAACTCCCTTGATGGGAACAATAATGTGTGTCCTTTGACCTTTATAAGATGGGATCTGAAGGGTTTGTATCCTGCTTTATACATCCCAGTCACATAACCTCTACTTAAGTGAGCAACTCTGTGCCAAAAACAGTGAAGAAACTGTCAATTTTACTGCAGTTTTGATACAAAAACATCTTGCTTAATCATAACTCAGTCATGATGAAAGAAATAAAGAATTATAAAGCTGAATAAATAAACCAGGGATGAAAATATCGATTTTTATTAAATTTCAAACACTTAAAGAAAGTGATGATACAGAAGGTTGTAGATGATTGCGTGAGAACGTACCACACATAGTATGAGTTTGTGGATGGTGGAGCTAGGAACATCACTGCCCATTTTCTGATAAAAGTCAAAAGCACTGGCCACCAGTGAGGATCCGACGAGATACAGGAAGGAAAGCACCGAGTACACAACCATGTCCTGTTGACAAACACATTATACAAGAATACTGTCAATTCACATATAAATAAAATGGATACATTGTTTCATTTGTGACACACATAACCCTTAAACTACAAACTTGTTACAATTTTTTCTATTTCAGTTTAAATGTTTCAAGCATTTCTCTGGTAGTAGCTTCAGAAATATTTCTGTACCACTTACAAATTTCCGTACCATTTACAAATTTCCGTATCACTTACAAATTTCCGTACCAGTTACAAATTTCTGCACCATTTACAAATTTCCGTACCACTTACAAATTTCCGTACCAGTTACAAATTTCCGTACCACTTACAAATTTCCGTACCATTTACAAATTTCCGTACCATTTACAAATTTCCGTACCACTTACAAATTTCCGTACCATTTACAAATTTCCGTACCATTTACAAATTTCCGTACCACTTACAAATTTCTGTACCATTTACAAATTTCCGTACCACTTACAAATTTCCGTACCATTTACAAATTTCCGATTTCCGTACCATTTACAAATTTCCGTACCATTTACAAATTTCCGTACCATTTACAAATTTCCGTACCATTTACAAACAGTTTAATCTGAAACTCTTCTGTCTCCTGTGTCCAAAAAACAGTGTTTGTAAAATGTTCAGCTGAAAACTTTACCCATCAAATCTTAATAAAATTTGTGGAATTCCTTCTTTAAGGAAAATGTGTTTCAGATTTGTGATTGTATCAGAAAAATATTTGAATCGATTAGATAACAAATTTCAATGGGTTCAAAACAGGGACCAAAGTAAACGTGACTATGAAGTTTGATCCTTCCAGTACTTTTTGAGATCTAGTGATGACAAACTTCAACTGCTAAAATCCAAGATGGCAACCTGTTAGCCATTTTGTTTTTCTAATCAGCCCCAGAAAGCAATGGGCAGAACTAGGTACCAAGGGAAACCTCAACATGAAGTTTGAGAAATATCCATGTAGTATTTTTCAAAAACAGCGAAGTCAGTAAGTTTACTGATGGACCTACCATTGATAAAGGGCAATCTGAAAAGCCAACCATCTTATCTTCATGGTTTAAAAAAAAAAGAATAATTCCAGACAAATGCAAAATCATAATATTGATTGAGAAACCAACAACCAACAACTAAAAGACATGTAAACACATATACAATGCCTGTCTTATTCAGAAAGCATGGACTTTTAGAGCTTCTGAGAAAAAATAACATTCACATTTTATATTCAATGAATTGCCTACAATATTGGACTTTAATAACACAACTTTAACTCCAGTGATTTTAATGCATACATGTATGTGATTATTTATAAAAATGAAACATGTAATAAAACAATGTGTTTACAGTCAATACGACAGAGAAATTCATAAAAAAATCCGCATCATCCTACGTACAACTTCGCTATTATATAACCAAGGGAGGTCACTCTGATCAGATTCACTGGTTGACTAAACTTGGCAGTCCAAAAACTCATCATCCAGATGAATGATGGGTGTCCGGATGACTGAGGTTCCACTCTATATATAACTACCAGTCAGAGATGGAGGGGTCAAGTACATGTATCAGTGTTCAGTGAGATGGAGGGGTCAAGGACATGTATCAGTGTTCAGAGAAATGGAGGGGTCAAGGACATGTATCAGTGTTCAGAGAAATGGAGGGGTCAAGGACATGTATCAGTGTTCAGTGAAATGGAGGGGTCAAGGACATGTATCAGTGTTCAGTGAAATGGAGGGGTCAAGGACATGTATCAGTGTTCAGTGAGATGGAGGGGTCAAGGACAAGTATCAGTGTTCAGTGAGATAGAGGGGTCAAGGACATGTATCAGTGTTCAGTAAGACGGAGGGGTCAAGGACATGTATCAGTGTTCAGCGAGATAGAGGGGTCAAGTACATGTATCAGTGTTTCGTAAGACGGAGGGGTCAAGGACATGTATCAGTGTTCAGTGAGATGGAGGGGTCAAGTACATGTATCAGTGTTCAGTGAGATAAAGGGGTCAAGGACATGTATCAGTGTTCAGTTGTGTTTTCCAGTAACAAAGAATTAATTACACCTGTTCAATTACTTCCTGTAAAAATCTATCAAAGAATGTCATTTGGTGAACAAAGAAATAATTTTGAAGAGATCGCAGACTTTCGCAGAAAAAGAAGAGGATATTTAACATTCCCCAACACAGAATTTGTAAAAAATGACGTGTTGCCAACTGTGGATGTGAAATATGTGAAAATCCAACAAACTGTAAGGCATAGTGATGAGTGTACATGTATATATAGTACAATTCAAATTGATGAATTCATTTGTATCTGCGACTGGATCATTAACTTATTGATTATCTCCCCTTTTCTTACAGGTGTGTTACCATGGTCCACTGCACACAGTCCCTTTTCATGGCCATGTAATCCTGATTTCCTATTAAAGGGGATGAGATGTACAGTGGACTGATTTATTACCCACACTGTTGTATTGTGAAGGTGTGAAATATGCAGTAAGAATAAATAATATTAAGTGGAAACAGTTAAAAAAGACGTCTCTGGCAACCTGTATATTGATTCAATAATCATTACATATATTAGATATTATTCTGGTCTATAACATCAAACAGCTACAGCAGCCTGAGAGTAGTCATTTAAAGTAAAATCAAAACACATCCACTACAACAAGAGGCCCATATGGCCTGCATCGTGCATCTGATTTTTTTAGCTTCCACATTTTTATTCACAATTGTATTTTTTTTCCCCTAGAGATAAGATACTTTAAAGAACCAAACAAAATTTCACCACAATACATTCATCCAAACAGAGTGATTTTGTTATGTTTACCTTTATTTCAAATATTGGTTCCTACATCAGCCTACATGAGGTCATTGTGTCTCCTTCACTAAAGGATATCCCAAACAAAATTCATTTGGTCAAAATAATTTCATTACAATAGTTTTTTTTTAGTTAGTTTTTTTTATGTAAAACCAATTTTCATGATGTAATACTTACCATAACTTTACGAAGTCCCACAATTTATTCCTCCCCTTTACTCCTCATCTTGACTGCCCTTTTCAGCTCCATAAATGTTTTGAGGAAGGGAGATCACTCTTTGGCTCTCTCATCAAAATATGTGTCATATGATGGTAGGAGGGCAGGATATTTGAATCTTTGTTCTTTGGGCTACAAAGATGTATGCAGGTACTGTATTTGCATACTTAAGTTATGGTAAGTATTACATCATGAAAATTGGTTTCTCTTTCAAAACCTCATTTTTTTCTCATAGCAAAAAAATGGTCACCTGGAGTACTTTCTTTACATTTTCCAATCATTATATGTCACCTGGAGTACTTTCTTTACATTTTCCCATCATTATACTATCATAGCGTCCTCCTAGTGTACGGTTTGCATTTCCAAAGCTTTATCATAGCATGTGTTGATCATTAGGATCTGATTTGGAGCGGTCAACAGTGGTTTATTTTTTGGATATTTCCAACCTACTTGTGACTCACAAACTATTATTGGAAACTTGAAAATTGGTTGATGAAAATTGGTTGATTAATATTTGGATTGTCTCCCTTGTATTTCTGATGAGTTGGAGAAAATCACATCATTATCAGTAACATGAAAACAGCATCTGACATGGTTCATATTGCTGGCAAGTTCTTGTGCCAAAATTTTGTCATACCTCCCATTCTTTCACAGATAAATAAATCTAAGAGCCAAGTATCACTGAGTAACAAGGTACCACATTAAAATAAGTGACATGAGTGTTCTAAGATAATCCATCATTCATCTGTTTAATGTAAACAAAGTGACAGGAGTCATCTAAGATAATTCATCATTCATCTGTTTAATGTAAACTAAGTGACAGGAGTCATCTAAGATAATTCATCATTCATCTGTTTAAAGTAAACTAAGTGACAGGAGTGTTCTAAGATAATCCATCATTCATCTGTTTAATGTAAACTAAGTGACAGGAGTCATCTAAGATAATCCATCATTCATCTGTTTAATGTAAACTAAGTGACAGGAGTCATCTAAGATAATCCATCATTCATCTGTTTAATGTAAACTAAGTGACAGGAGTCATCTAAGATAATTCATCATTCATCTGTTTAAAGTAAACTAAGTGACACGAGTCATCTAAGATAATCCAATAATAATGGGGACAGAAACCTGGAATTCCTAATCAAAAACAGATTTTTCAAGCATTTTCTCTACATCCCCTATTATTAGATCCGACCCTTCTGACCCCAGGAATAATTTTGTCTCACTTTGTCCAAGCTATATATATATTCCTTGACATAATATATATCTTTTGTTGGAATAAAACAGTTAAAAAGTCTCAAAATGATAATGTCATCTGGCTATAACAGCTGTATAGTAGTAGAGGGAATTAAATGATTATGGCAGTTCTGAATACTTCAGCAGTAAAGGCTACAGAGAAAACAACACTCTTCAATTCAACATTTCTACAAAATTTCAGTACAGTTACACCAGTGGAACTGAAGTCAATTTGAACATGTGTGATTCAAGATGTAAAAACATGAAGAATTTCGAACAAAAGTAGCAAAAAAAAGGAACACTTGGACAGGACCATCTCAGGATCATTTAAAGTAAGTTTCAGCTAAATTTCTGGTGATTTTTTGATGAGATTGAAAAAAAAACAATACTTTCTTAGCTCCCTCTCTTTGACATCTCCACCAATTTTCAGCTCAATGGTACAAATTGGTAGAATGTTTTTCAAGATGGCAGTCAAGGCAGCCATATTGATTTTCAAACTGATCAGAAAAATAACACTAGTTCAGGACCATCTGAGATTCAGCTGTCCTTAACATCCCTACTAATGGTCAGCTGAGTGGCACCATGAATGGAACATGAAAAAGTTAACAAGAAGCCTGAACTGTCATTTGACTATAAACACCTATGATATAACAGCAGCTGTAGTTATTAAGGTATTAAAATGGTTATGATTATTTAAGCAGCAACGACAAAAACACTTGTTTTACTTACTTAAAATACATATTTGAGTTCCTCACCAGTGGAACATGATAAGAAGTTTAAAAAAAAAATTTTCAAGATGACAGCCAGAGTGGCCATATTGGATTTCAGACTAACCACAAAATTAAGAACACTTGATGGTGACCATCCCAGGACTATTCCTGTTAGTTTAAGCTGATTCCTACTCATGGAAATAGAAAGAAGTTTAAAAGTAAGAAAAATTGATATGACAGACAGTGCATAATTAATGAAACATGATGACCTAAAAAAGAAAAATCAAGCATTTACATTTCATATCATATAGAGAAGGTTTTAAACAATATGACCCCTGTAACCTTGAATATGGGTCAAAATCCTTCCTTTTCCCAAGCTTTGTTGAACTTCATACCAGGAATATACCAGCTAAGAAACATGATACTAGCAATAGGCCGTGTGGTAAAAAGAAGACTTTTGAAGATCATAACATATTTGACCCATGTGACCTTCAATGTGGCTCAAGGGCACTATTTTGCTGACTTTGTCAGGCTTCATCAAACTGAACATAATAATTCTAGGCTTTTTGGTTATTGAGAAAAAGTTGCATGTATGTTTCAACATATTTGACTCCCAAGACCTTTGTATGGCCAAGGTGATTTCTTTTTGCAAACTTTGTTGAATTTCATCCTAGTAACTGTCCAGTCAAATACCATTTAGATAATGGAAAGGAGTTGTTTTCAGAAATTTAACTTCTGTGATGTCAAATATGAGTCCAGGTCATTTCTTTTTGCAAACTCTGTCAGGTTTGCCTGGAGTCTAACTGCCAAATGTAATTCTAGACCTGTTGGTTGATCAGATGAGGTTGTTTGAATGTTTTAACAAATTTGACACCTGTAACCTTTAATTTGGGTTGAAGTCATTTCTCTTCACAATCCTGATCTAGTTCCTTCCTACAAGCCAAATGTAATAATACTAGGCCTTTTTTATTACTATAAAGATGTCCTTGAAATCCTTTAATAAACACTGACTCCTGTGACACTAAATATTGGTCAAGGTCATTTATTTTCGCAAGATTTGTTAGGCTTCATCCCAGAAACCAACCAGCCAAAAGTCTTGATTCAAGTACTTTTGATTAATCAGAAGAAGGCATTTGATATATTTTACAAATCTGACCCAAAAAAATAATTCATGGTCTTTTTCATGTTTTGTAAACTTTGTTCAGTTTCATCTAAAGCTCCTTCCAAACAAATAACATTACACTTCGCCTTTGGTTTATTCAGAAGAAGTTGTACGCAGTGGAAAGCTGGAGATAGACACCAGAGAAACAGAATGAGATCACATGGCCATACAAACTGTCAAATTTAAGATGGTTGCCCATTTTCCATATCTAATGGTACCAAAATCAAAAGGGCACAAAAAGAGGCCAAGCGAAACCTATATAGTTCTGTGAGGCGCGGCATAATATGCCCATCAAAGGTTACATGAGCATTTTGCAACAAGGTGTGGGAGGACAGTGATGTTTGATGTCTGATCAACACATTTAGGTCATTTACAGACAGTGTCAGTTGTGTCATGGTGGAAGAAACTTGAGTAAATCACCAAGCGTCAATGGTAATAACAGTCTGAGATGATCTGTCTTCCAAAGGTCATCACTCAATAAATAACAAGGGAATACTGTTGGTTATCATACTTGTCTGGTGGTAATGAACATCCCACTGAAATTATAAGTGTATCCGTTGGAAACTGTTGAAGATATCACGTGGACACTGTTTTAGTACTTAAGTAAGGGCCATAACTCCATGAATTATGGTCAGAAAATTATGGTGATAAAACTTGTGCAAGCTATCATGATGATGAATCTCGCTATGAAGTTTGAAGTTGATCAGTAGAAAATAATTCAAGTTATTTAGTGGACATCTCATCTTTTGATGGTGTATAAAAATATCCATTCATTCTCAAAAAATAACCAGAGCAAACTTTAAACGTCACAAATCCAACAAGCCCCCTGTCAGCCATTTTGTTTCTCCCATCTAACTAAGATGGTTGCCTGTTGGCCATGTTGTTGATCTGATCAATGGCCAATGGGACCTTAAATATATCAAACTTCTCTAGTAATAGCAATAAGAAACTATAATAAAATCCAAGATGGCTGTCTGTCAGCCATTTTGCTTTTCTCATCCGCCATAAAATCAAATGGGCACATGATCCATCCAGTACTTCTCCAGAAATATCAATAACAAGTTGAAATCCAAGATAGTGGTCTGTAGGCCATGTTCTTCCTGAAATCAGTCTGAACAAGAGGTATCTATTTATGACATTTGAAAAAATTAATCCAGTCCTTCTCAAAAAATAGTGATAACAAGAATAGTTTAAGGACTGAAAAAGGGACTACAGAAAACTGACCACAGACAGAGGACGATTTGAAAAACCAAAACTCCTCGATGGCAAATGGTAAATTTTGATGATTTTCTAAATATTCCACAAATCTTATATACTGTGGTAAATGGTCTATTTGTAATACAAATGTCTTACTACTTGATATCACATACTCACTATGAAGTACCAGTTGACTGGTAACATGTAGCTTAGTCCTGTGCTGTGGATGAGCCAAATGAAAATGGTGGTGGTGAGGCTGAGGACGAGGACAAACAACATCACACGAAAGTGCCAACTGAGGGGTAACCGGAGAAAGTCTACATCCTCATGTCCAAAAGAAGAGGTCAAGCCCACCATGGACACCGATGATAAAATCTGGTGATAAATTTAATAAGGAGTGCAGGAAAGTAAATAAACAAGAGGTCCAATGGATCTGTATGCACCTCTCACTTGGTACATGTATTAACGGTTTTTCATAAATACATCATTTTGCTCATTGACATCTCACAGCATTGGGTTGAGTTGACTTCCAAATATGGTCTTAATTAAATTAACTGAAGCTAAGAAATGAAGAGGATCAATGGGCTTTTATCACTTGCCTTGTTAGGTTTGGTCACAATTGCTCTGTACAAACGGAAGGAAAAGATATTTTACCCAGTATCTCATTTATCTGACCTATTCTTTCTGTCCCAAGGGGGGCCAGACCATTGATTTATACCAAGTTGAATTCCCTCAACCTAATGATGTTTTAGGACAACTTTGGTCAAAAATCCTTCCTTCTTAAGAGGGAGGATTTCAAAGCTTTATCTTTCATTTACATACTGCATACAAGAGTCCTGTCCTTCTGTCCCCATACACTGTTTATACTTATACAAAATTAATTCTTTACCAAAATTTGCTCTAGACTATACCAATGAAGAATGAACTGCACCTAGCACCTCTGCCATAATTTATACAAATCAAGTTGCCTTCATCCAAGGATGTGCTCATACACACTTAAACAAAATCTAGTCATTTCTACAGATGAATTTCAAAGAATTAGTTTTTAATTTCCTTTTCCAGCCCAGCCTCACCAGTGATATAACAAGATGTGCCTCATTCGTCACATGAGTTCTATAAATGTTGTTCTTGTAACATAACTTGATAACAAAGTAATATAACTTGAGCCATATTGCATGTGTGTTAATAAGAATAATTGGCTTTATTTTATACTTCATAACATGTTGAGCATATAGTTTGTCTTACACATGGTCAAGATAAAACAAAGACGACATCTACAATATTTACAAACTAATGTCGACTGTGCATAACATTAACTGCAATCCCTGTAAAGGAGTCTAACCATGTCTGAATTTATTTTGCTCAAAAATGAAGTTTTCTGAGTAAACTATACTTGTCTTTTTTCAATTTCATCCTTTTTGACCATGCCCATCAGCCCCTGGGGATCATCCAGATTTATATATGTGCATATCATCCAAATGTCATCCTATGCAAATCTTTCTAACAAGATTTTAATGATTGTCAATGGACTTTAAGCAAATTATACTCAAAATTGTAGTTTTCTTCCATGGTGGCAATATGAGATTTTTCACAGATGTGAAAAATAGCAACACATGGTCTGAGCGATCTTATGATCATTTCAGTTAAGGATGAGCTGGATCTCACCAGTGAAACTTGAGTTTAAAAAAAGTATTGTTCAAGAAAGCCATGATTGTGCAATCACCTTAAAAAATGGCCACTATGGCTGCTACATTGATAGTTTGGAACTTTGACAGGGTAACCTCAGAGGTAATTTTGCAAAGTGATTGCATGATCACAATTTTTCTGCACACAATACCTACTTCAAACATGTTAGAAATGATTTGGGGACAAATAACAAGACTTGGGTCATCTCAAGATCATTTCTGGTAAGTTGGAATCCCACAGACAGGATGTGAGAATAATTTAAACATGCAGACAGTTAATGAATAGCAGAAGGCGCACGGCACACAATGACAGACACAACATAATGGCTATAGGTAACTCTGACCCTTCTCAAGCAATTAATGACAACATTTTTCTGAAAAGGATTAAAAATTCTAGACCTTTGACCAAACAGTGAGGATTTTTATTTGATTGAAAGAAAAAGGTCTCATGGATGTATGGTATAAGTAAATGGAGATGTGTTCTGATTAAGATTTTTACATATGCTAACCAATAATAATGGATTGTTGATCTCCAAGCGGGAACAGAAGAAGAACCTAACATCTGATGATAAGAGACACTTACAATCTGAAGTATACGAAGCATTCCTGTACAGGATTTAATGAATGGCTTGTTACAGAAGATGAACACCACCTCTGTAGACTCTGGAGGTTTGTTCTGATCGGATTTACTGTGGTAGCCTCCCCTGGAGTGAGATCTGACTGCCTTGTTGGGGGAGTCTGGGCCAGAATAGTTCATGTTAGCAACACTAGATGACTCAGAGTCACACAGACTTGTCCGTTCCTGTACAGGGCTCAAATCAAGATCATTGACATCCATGTTTATCTGAAAAAGAAAGTTTCCGTAACTTTAGAATCTGAAACAGGTCAAGCTGTTATTTATTCACAAAGCAATATTGATCAAATTATGTTTCTCACCAAACTTTGTTGAAATCCATTAAGGTTTTATGAAGGTTTAGCATATGTTAGACAGTTTTTTTCTTTGAACTCTACCTTCTTTCCCACAGAAACAAACCAACCTTATCTTTTAAGAAATGACTGCTCTACCTCAATGTTGTTTCAGATCAAAATTAGTGGAAATCCAGTCTTTCTAGCTATTAGATTAAAGTAAATTTTCTTTCCAATGGGAAATTTTACAGGGAATATTTTTTTACAAAATTCCTTTACATTTGAAAATTTTGCTTTCGTATTTGGAAAATTGCCCGATGACCTCACCAACAATCCATCAGGTGAGGATGGTGAACCAATTTCAGCACAGGCAATTTCTACCTATGGTGCTGATATGTATTGAACCCAGTAACATGTTGAATTTTGTCACTGCTCAAGTATATACAAGTAGTATGAGCTGTGAAACAGTAACACAATAAAATATATAACATTGGTCTGTTATTTATAGAACACTGTTAGTCATACATAATGCTAACATTTGAATAAATCATATGACTAGTTTAAAGGTATCAACACTTACCTGTGTAAATTAGTATTACTGACAGTGTGATAATATCAAGCTTCTCTTCATTTTTTATCGCTTCATTTTCTCAAATCTATGCATCTTCTTAGACTTAATAAAGTAACCTAAAATAGAATATAAACAATTCTTATCAGTCAGGTAATCCAACACATATATGTTTAACCAGTAAAGTTGTGCATCAGTTAGATAATAGAAAAAAATGGATTTAATTTCTATGTTCTGAGACAGATATATTCATTATATATATATATATTCCTTAAACAAGTAAAGATTGTTTAAGTCTTTTCAAGTCTTGAAAGATGGAAACAAAGTATATGAAAGTCAGCTGTTTTCCATAGCGCATTTTGTCGTTCAACACTGAATGTTGGTGATTATGAGCTTTCAAAGGCAAATAAGAGAAACTACAGGATGTTCGAAAAAGAAGTAAAATCGGCAGCCATTATTGGTCACATTTAAGACAGATTTTGTTCACTTAATGACACAAATGTACAGTATGTAAATCGTATTGATGTTAGTCATTAATCATCAGTCCGAGTATAAACCAAATATCAGATTGAAAAACTTATTGATTTTCGTTCCATACACTGCCAAGAGATGGAGAATGAGTAATCTTTCAAATTTCCAACCAATCAGAAAATAGTCTTGGCCAGCAGGACAGCATCAATATGCAGATGCCTATAGACCTAAATGCATAAAAATTAGAAATGCTCTATCCCTTTACATAAAACAAGATTTATTTCATATTATTTAGTTATTTGATAAGATTTTGTTGTGAATCAATGGTACTGCTGTAGAATTTGAGGATACAGGGTTACAGGTACAACTGTATAACCTTATAATTACTGTATTCTCCATTATACTACTCCCCTTTACATTACAATTGAGTTATTTCCCCTCAGTCCTTGTTGCCTTTTCCTGGTTTTAACACAAAAATTAGACTCAATCTACACGTTAGACATAGAACAAGAATAACTAAAAGAAATCTGCTGGTATTTGATAAATCTTTTCTGTGAATTTGATTTGTAATTTAATGTATATTCATATTTAAGTAAAAAATTAAGCCATCGGGGATCAGTGAGCCGGACAAATCGGACGATGTTAAGATAAAGCCAAATAAATACACACACACACACACACAAATCACTGCTGTTTATAAACTCACTAGCCTATGCACACCTTTTACCATATTCCCAAGCTCACGTATGTAATTCACATGCTCAGCTTCCGCAGCAATTCATCCTGGCCGTCATGCGTCGCTTAAGTACACAATGATTATCGTTTTTGAATTGACACTTCACTTTATTCGTTTAGTAAGTACATATTCTACCAATTTAGTAAATTATTTATTGTGAAATTTCATTTTATTTTATTTCTGTCTTTTAAAACAGGGTACAGTAATTTATTTTCAATGAGCTATCGGCTCGATTAATCACGTGATATTCAAAATGGCTGCCTCCATGAGTCAAAATATTGACGCTTAACTGTCATCACAAAATAGGTGGAAGCGACGAGATATGGTGTAAAAAGGACTATGAGTGGAAACGATAGAGATTTTGCCCCTTTGACAGCAATATGTGTTCGAAATCTGAACGACAAGTTATACGAGAAGCGCAAAATGGGGGCCCTGGAAGTAGAAAGGTAGGCTACTAGTCAACTGACACCAATTCGCCTATGGTTCATCCTTGGCGCATTGGTAATTCGCATCTTTAAGACCTCTTAATATGAAATAGGCACTGGCCAACAAGATGCACATTTTATACAGCTTGATCCATGTTTGCACTGAAGCGTGTTTTTTTTTAATTTGTTATATATTTCGCAAGATTTTAACAAAACATCGGCACATACAAATGTACGAATATATCATTATCAGCAGCAACAACACGTCTTCTTCTTCTAGAAAATAATGCATCACCGTGATCAGGCGATGGTTTGGTGCACCAGTTGTAACACATTTGTCTTTCACCTAGCCGTTTGGGGTTCGATTTCCCGAAGATGCAGATTTCCACCAAAAATTAGAACCTTCTCATGCTTACAACAAGTGTGATTTTCATAAGTTGAAATAATAAAGTTTCCATATGTGTAGTAAGTCATGCACATACAATCACACACCATGAAGGCAGACAAAGAAAAATAAAACAAAAGACGCCAAGATAACGCAAAATGTGGTATTTTCCCTTTGCCCAGCTGTTTAAAAGAAAGGCACACACGCACACATGCACCCACGCATGCACATACGCACACACACACAAACACACAACAAGTTAATTTCTATTTGATTTTTCTAATTGTTCCATACAAAGTATTGAAATTGAGAACTTCTGCTATAATACTAGCTTGATGCCTGTACAAAGCTTTGAGTAACAGGTAATTACCTTGAATGGTTTAAGAGAACTGGTCTGAAAAAACTGAACTTTGTGATTTGGCCTATCTGTTTCCATGGTAACATAAAAAGTATTTAAATAGAGAACTTCCCCATAGCAAAAGATACTACTAGCTTAATAATTGTGAAAAGTTTTAAGCAATTACCTTGTCAGAGTACTGGCTCAGAAAAACTGAAATTTGTGATGGTTATCGGTTTCATTGGTAACAATGAATGTATTAATAAACATATCTAGACTATAAAAATTGATAAAAAAGATAAATGCACAAGAGTTTCCTTTTTAGAGTTATAGATATTGCAGAGAGGACTATCTATCATATTTGCTTTAAAATAGAAAGGATTTTGTTGTCAAAATATGGTGAAAGATAATATATTATAGTTTTAGTCAGATTTGTAAAGGCGGTGCTTATATGTTTAACAAGTTTTCATTTTTAAAATCAGAATGTTCTCTCCCATCCTTTTCTTTTCTCTTTGCTATTGAGAGTTTTCGTTCTGTTAATCAACAAATCATAAAATGCTTTAGAACTATTTAAGACTTTTAGTATGATTTCACTTTCACACAGAAGCTTAAAAAGATATTTTGTCGGTCAAAATCATTTTAATCCATTCAACAGCTTGGTAGTTTTCATTGCGTGCTGTGGCAAGTGTATTGTGGGTAATGAAGTTCCAGCCACACTTCCGTTTAAAGTTGATGGTATGGGCAGGTTGTTGGAGTTGAGTTATCACACACACACAATACCATAAAGCGCTTGCTGCGCTTGTTATTAATCATATCTCGACAGCATCGCTCTGTCGATTATTTACAACCAAACAAATACAAAAATGTATTGAAACATGTTTATGTTTTGCAATTTATTCATTAAAGTGATCAGTGAACACTAGCATTTTTCTGAAAGATATCCGCAAATACGACCTCAAATTTGCTCACCTGAAATGACAGACATGTGTATAGGAAACTTGTCTATACTTCCGTGTGTGACATCATTGAATCACAGGGACGCTTGAGTTAACCTAACAGTGACCCAGAAATGCACAAATTTACATAAGACCATCACTTAGGACGGGAATGATATTTCAATGAAAAAACTCAAAATAAAATAATGTAAGGGAAATGGTGGCTGTATGTGTCTGTGTGCACCATTTCTAAATAGTGAGATGAAAGTTTTTATTGTTTACATTTTTTCCTTTCAAATGAGCCAAATTTCTTCCTGAACTTTTTTTGTACCACAAACTTTTCAAATAAGGTTATTTTCTTATATACCAGTTTACAACTTCCTTGTTAATTCAAGTCAGAAATCATTATTTTTCCAATATAAGATGTGCATGTTTGAATGTTTTGAATTCTATGGCTAAGAAATTCTGAAAAATGCATGGAGGCAACTTGGCCTATTCTTTTATTCATGGTCAGTTTTTATTGATTTGAATAGACGACAACAAAATACAGAGTTCTGAGGATTGATTGATTGCATATTTTGTGATATCTTGGAGGATGTTTAACGAGACAAAATGTATGTTAAGAAAAAGTACCCAAATTTGCCAATGAAACAAATATTCATAAAATTTTTATTTTGATGGATTTAATCACAGATTTATTTCCTGTGGGAAGTGTCACATGTTACAGTATCCAAAATCACACGGGTTCTAATGAATAGTTTATGTAATACAGGTCAACAAAATGGCTGTACTGAAAAATATAGCAAGCTGGAACCAATGTCTAGACGATACATATATATTGATATCAGCTGATAGTATTGCTTTAAAAAATTGCAATAAAGCAAAATGTTGATAGAAATTTTGAGAAGATTGGATTTAAACCAATCATATTCTAGGAAAATTACTGTATATCCTGTTCTTTAATTAATGATTTATGTCAAAAGTGAGAATTTATTTTGATTATTTCATCAGCAATGTTAATGGGTCCTGGCTTTATGTAGGCAGATTTGGTCATGCCTGGTATGTACAACATAAATGTCCAATCTAACTATACCTACACTAGGTAAATTGAATATAAAAGAACAGGTGAGGTCCAGCCACATTTTTCTTGTCTAGTTTGAAAAAATGAATGACCTATCAAGTGAGTCAGTGGAAGGAATTTTTGGCCGATTAATTCCATTTCAGTCAATTTTCAAAAATTTCATGTATTTGGTATCCACATACACTAACTATATATACAGGAGCAGTCAATCATGGTGTTGTCTGCAGATAAGGATCCCTTTGATGCAGAATTGGGCCTCAGGTGTGTGATGTTTCCATGCAAAAAATTATATTGCAATGAATGGGAATTGTGTGACTGAAAACAAAAGTGAGCTGTGGTATTTTGTTAATAAAATAAGAAAAATTTGGTGTCTCAGCAAAGGGATGAAAAAATGCAATACTTAAAACTACAAATTTTGTCTTTTGACTAAAATCTTTCATGTAATCAACTCACTAAATTTGTTGTCCAATTTTTGCAGTGTGCACATGAGTTTTACTACCAGGTATTTCTCATTTGTCTACATTTGCATGAAGGGCTTTACCTTCCTTTGGCCGGTAATCCATATATTTTCAAGTTAATTTTCTTCATGAAAATACAATTATATTTTTATCAATTTACAGACACAAAATAACAGATACATTCCATGTGGCAGTCTAAAAACTGCCATCATGGAACAGTCTATTGTTTCAGACTTTCTAATACCACTACGATGAAGTAAAATACACTTTTTAAAGATTTCAAATACTCATTTATCACTTTCTAACTAAAAAAGTTCAATCACTTTTTCTCGTAAGATCCATCTACGAAAACCCTAATACGGTAATTTATGGTAGTTAGACAAAGAAAGGACCATATTTCATAGGGACTTCATTTTGTGAAGACATTTTAAAACATGTGAATATTTTTAATCATTTGATAACTGCTGTTATATATAGGTCTTTATTGTTAGAAGGCCTTTAAAGCCAATGGGCCTGTTGTTGAATATTGTATCCAGATTTTGCTCTTCCAACAGAGAAACCAATGTGATTTTTTTTAATTGTTGACAACCCAACTATAAAACATGAACAAGTTTTCATTCACATATGCACTTGTATGTGTTCTGAAATAGCTTAGAAAGCAGATTTTAGTTTTAAAACTGTTTTCCAAAATTTTTATTATTCATATAGGACAATTGAAGTGCATTCATAACAAAGCTGTGATTAGAAGTCTGTACTGAGAAATCTGCCAGAAAGTCACTCATGCATGTATATCTGTGTTTACTTTCAGGATGGTGAGAGACTTCTCTTCATCTGGTCAAACTGTCCAGATTCAGCGGATCCTTAAAGTTCTTGGTGAAGATCTTGCATTGTCTCATAACCCCAACTCAAGGAAAGGAGGTGTCATTGGTTTGGCAGCCACGGCTATTGCTCTTGGAAAGGTATGTTACAGGGATGAAAGCACCCAGAGTAGGAATCAACCAGACGGTATGACATGTGTTTTCCTACAGCAAATTGGTAACTTCAGCTTTTTTTCTAATGATGAACATTGACATTAACGATATATCACCAGGTATACATACAGCCCCTTAACCAAGTTTTCTGTTGTCTTTAACTTTCCATTCAAATGACTTCTTAACAATAACCAAAAGACTGAGAGCTCTTATATTTGGTTTGTAGCATGATAGGAAGAAGGGCTATAAAGTTTGTTAAAATGAATGACCTTGACCAATCAAAATTTGTTAAAACTTTCAAATAATACATCTGACTGACCAAAAGATGCAGAAGCATGATATCTATCTGATAGGTTCCTAGGATGAGGCCCAACAAAGTTTGTGAAAAGAAAGGACCTTGACTCTTATCTCCTTATATGGGAGAGGCATGGCCCAATATGGAAAATAGAGCAGATTCAAATCTGCCTTTAATTGAGAACTTATTACCTTTCACAGGAGTCAACAAATTATGTAGGTGAACTGGTGAAACCTGTGTTGGATTCCTTCACTGACCAGGACAGCAGGGTGCGGTACTATGCCTGTGAAGCTCTCTACAATATCTCCAAAGTCTGTCGTGGTTTTGTGCTTCCATACTTCAACGAGATCTTCGATGGATTGAGTAAGGTATACAACTAGGGCCACCAATGTCTTGTGGCAGCCTATTCCAATCACATTTTCTCCTGCGTTGTGAATCATTATTTACTTTTGAAAAACCCTCTGACTTATCTAAATGGAAATTTGCAGGATTATTTCATGGCCAAAGGTGAACCAAAACTGAAAATTATATGGTTCCCTTTCCCATGACTTACAAATAAACAATGAGGATTATTCATTGGTGAGTGTAGATCAAAGATCTCTCTGGGATCTCTGTTACACTTCTCCAAATGCACAGTAGTTTCACACAAAAAAAAAATTGACCAGTGCCCTATTGTGTGGAATTGCTTATCTGTTTATCATTACCTTTTCCCTTCGAACAAAGAAGCCCAAAGTATTAATATCTGTTTGTAGTATCCTACGGTTAAGGTCTGGTCAATTGGGTGACCTTGATTGACCTTTGAGGCCCCAGGGATCAAAATCAGTTAAAGTTTTTTCACATTTACCAATTGGGCGATTGATATTTGGTCAGTATTGTGCGAGGATGAAGGCTCCAAAGTCTGATTAAATGAATGATCTTGACTTACTTTCAAGGTCACAGGGGTAAAATGTATGAAGAAGATCAATTTTTCACTAGCCAATAAGCCCTGTGCTACATTTTCTGTGTAGTGACAGGCTTGGGAAATGGGCTATCATGTCAGAAAATGGACTTAGGTGACAAAATCTTTTTAAGCTGCAAAACAGTGGATGATTCATGCTATTGGGCTGCTTTTTATCTACAAGTATATTTGTACTACTTACCGAGCTTAATTTGGTAAGATGAGCTTACAAATTTAATGTTTCCAATCCCTCATGCTTAAAGCTACATCCTATACAATTTTGCATGCAGAGCACTAAAACTTCTATTTTCTATTACAAAAAGCTCTCTTTTGGAAAAATGGTTGAAAATGAAGTGAAATACATGAATGTATGAAGTATTGATAACATTGACTGTTTGACAGCTATCATCCGATACAGACCAGAATGTTAAGAATGGAACTGAGCTTCTCGATAGACTTATCAAGGTAATTTCTTTTAATTTGTCATTTCAAGTAAAGATATCTCCTAATTCATGTCCACAGGACATTGTAACTTCTCTGAGATATCTAATAATGTAACTTCTCTGAGATATCTCCTAATTCATGTCCACAGGACACTGTAACTTCTCTGAGATATCTAATAATGTAACTTCTCTGAGATATCTCCTAATTTATGTCCACAGGACCTTGTAACTTCTCTGAGATATCTAATAATTTATGTCCACAGGACATTGTAACTTCTCTGAGATATCTACTAATTTATGTCCACAGGACATTTTAACTTCTCTGAGATATCTCCTAATTTATGTCCACAGGACATTGTAACTTCTCTGAGATATCTCCAAATTTATGTCCACAGGACCTTGTAACTTCTCTGAGATATCTCCTAATTTATGTCCACAGGACATTGTAACTTCTCTGAGATATCTCCTAATTTATGTCCACAGGACCTTGTAACTTCTCTGAGATATCTCCTAATTTATGTCCACAGGATGTTGTAACTTCTCTGAGATATCTCCTGATTTATGTCCACAGGACATTGTAACTTCTCTGAGATATCTAATAATTTATGTCCACAGGACATTGTAACTTCTCTGAGATATCTAATAATTTATGTCCACAGGACATTGTAACAGAAAGTTCAGCCTTTGACCTACGTGCGTTTATTCCAATTTTGAGGGAAAAATTGTATGTGAAAGAACAGTATCCACGTCAGTTCATTGTATCCTGGGTATGTATCCTTGCTAATTCAATACACACATTATGTTAACAGACAGACAGACGAGCTGACTCCAGTGAATTCCCCCTCCTGTCGCCCCACAAGGAAATTAATTTGGATTAGGGAGGGGGTTTACAGGTTTCAGCCTCACTGTCTTTGTCTGTAGACAAAATTTTTCCAACTATGCATTGCTCTTTTTCAATGAATTTCTTAGAATTCATGTGAAGTACTAGTACCATATGTAGCTGTGTCCCTGAAGTTCAAGGTCAGCAATTTCAAATAAAAGTCACATCTTCTGTTCCTTTACTGGTAAATATTTTGTTCAAACATTAAAAAACATAGTAACCAGAGATGTGCTGATTTACCAAAAGTTATGAGACTGAAGGTGGAGATAAAATAGTTAACATGGTTAATACATTTTTATAACCTTATAAACCAGGTTAATCAAAATCAAAGTATTGGTTGTGGGACGTCTTTCTTAACTGGTGTATGGATTTATCTCATTCAAAAATAATTTTAAATAAATGATGAGAATCATGAACAACAGCTTATTCTATCACACAGTACACAGTTAGTTATTACTTAGTAAATCAAACAGTTGAGGAAAGGCCTTCAGAATATATCAAATGTTTAAAGAATATATAGGCCGTAGTTTTCCTTCAGAAGTAACCTAATTGTTATCAGCTCAGCTATTCAGTATAGCCATTTTACTGTTGCACGTAAATGCATTAACAAATGATTTGAGGGGGAGTTGGTCATTATCAATATGGAATGGGGGGATTGGGGTGACGGTCAGCATCAATAGGGAATGGTGGGGGGGGGGGTTGACGGTCGGCATCAATAGGGAATGGGGGGGGGGTGACGGTCGGCATCAATAGTGAATGGGGGGGTGACAGTCGGCATGAATAGGGAATGGGGGGTGACGGTCGGCATCAATAGGGAATTGGGGGGTGACGGTCGGTATCAATAGGGAATGGGGGGGGGGACGGTCGGCATCAATAGGGAATGGGTGGGGGGTGACGGTCAGCATCAATAGGGAATGGGTGGGGGGTTGACAGTTGGCATCAATAGGGAATGGGGGGTGGGATGAAGGGGATTTGTGTTATCCTGGTAAACACAAACACATGATGTTATTTTGTAGATTGCAGTACTAGATGCTGTACCTGATATTAATATGCTTGTACTGCTACCCGAAATACTACACGGCTTGTTTGAGATCCTTGGAGACTCTAACACCGAAATCAGCAAAATGTAAGTATATAAATCTCCTACTGGTGGCTGAGGGGATGGACAATTTCCTTTTCATCTGTCTGTCCATCTGTCTGTCAGTCCCACCTGTGATTTTTACACATCTGCCTTAGGGAATGTGAACTTTAGCCATGATGTGGTGCCTGTGGTGTTATGAACTTTTTCCTTAAAAAATATCTCATTTACCAAAAGGCTTGTAGCATACTTGGATGAAGAGCCATGAAGTTGTTCATATAAATAACCTTTTAGGGTCAGACGGTCAAATATGTTAAAAAATAATTTTTTTCTTCCTTTCAATAACCAATTGGTCATGATAATTGTTGAAGTAACATGCATAGGGAATGGACTTTTAAACTATCAAAAATTGACTTCAAAATTTTCACAATACTGGAAATCTATCTGTTATACGATACTGGAAATCTATCTGTTATACAACTGCATTCAAAAATGAATGGTAGGCATGATGTTAAAAGTTTATTTTTGATATGCTGGATTATAAGAAACATTTTTATTGTCTTGTTTGTTTTTGTGTGAAGGTGCCAAGATGTTCTACAGGAGTTCCTGAATAGTATAAAGAAGACAAGGACTGGTGTTAACTATGAAGGAATGGCCAACATCCTCATCACTCACAGTCTTTCTGATAGTAGGTACTTTGATGTATATAGCATTCTGTCATAGTTCTGATGACATGAAATGGTTGTACTATAATATGAAGTATGGCCATTTTGTGTCGTGATATTTAGTCCTAATTTGGTTTCAGCTCATGTGTTGTTTGTTGGACGGAGAGATAATACTGTTGTTGGTGTAAGTTGTATAACAAGTACGTCAAGCCGACATCCATCAGGTTCTGGGCTAATTAATTGGCCTTATGTCTGTCTGTTGTCTCTTTCTTTGTCAATCAGCCTATCCTTAAACAACTCTTGTTAATGATATTTCTGGAGAAGTGCTGGATGAATCTGTCACAAATTTCATCTGTAGCTTCCCATTGTTTTTTTTTTATATATAGATCATTTTGAAACTGATGGGTAAAAAGAAACATGGCTGACAGGTGGCCATCTTTTTTTGTGACAGTCATAATTTGTACTCACCATTCTTGGAAAAGTACAAGATGGATCTTTCTAAAATTTTAGATTAATATTTCTTTCCTTTGTTTATGTGTTGTGCTTTTGTGAATTTGGAACTGATCAGAAAATGAAAATTGCTGGTAGGTGGCCATCTTGGATTTGACTACGAAAGTTTGTTATCACTATTTCTTCAGGAGTTCTTGATGGATCTTCCTAAAATTTTATAAATAGGTTTCCCTCAGTCCCTAATCATACTCTGTAGAGTTTCAGACTGATTTGTAAAACAAAGGTGGCCATCTTGGATTCGACAATTAAATACTATTTCCACTATTTCTAAAAGGAATTTTCATCTTTGATATAATTCAGAGCACAAAAAAGAGGGTTGGGTGGGGGAAGGAAAATAAAAGGAAAAAGATCCAGCTTGTAAATGCCGAAAAAGGTTGATGACAAGATCCCTGTGAGATCTCTGGTTGTACTTGATGTCATTACTCCCTATGGTAGTTAAATGATAATTTTTCCTCTGTTGTTGATGTATTTTTGTGGTCCTCTGGGTATCAGTATCTTTAATATTCTATTACCTTTATGTACTTATTCATTTTTCAGATGCTTTAATTCAGTACACAGCCATCTGTTGGCTCCAGGAGTTTGTTGCCCAGGCTGGAAGGACCATGTTACAGTATACCTCTGGTATCATAGATGCAGTGCTGCCATGTCTGGCTACTGAGGGTCACATATCTCGCTCGTATCCTTTACCAGTCACAGTACTTTACTGTCAATGTTTTTAAAATTGACCTGACATGTGACCAGAGATTCTTTGATCAAATGGAATTGTTTATTTCATTCTGATCATCTTTTGTGTTTTTGATAAAAATGTCTATTTTGAGATTTTGAAATAAGACTAATAAATGTTTTGTTTACTATTTCTACTCATCTGTTATGAAGGGGAAACAATTTAAAGATCCTTCCAGACTCCTCTTGTCAGAAAATAGAAGGTTCCTCAATGGAAGCTATCTTTAGCTTCCTTTGCAATATACTTCAATTATCAGATGGGCCATCTTATGTAAAATTTAAAAGATCGAAAAATGGAAGGGTCAGATTCAGTCTTCTGTGTCCTAGGATCCTTTGGTTTCCTGCAGGAAAATCCCTGCTCCTTGGTCCCCTTTAGGAATATCTCTGCATTTCTGTTCCCTCCAGTAATATCCTTGGCCCCTTTCCCCTTGGTCCCCTCCAGGAATATCACTTCCCCTTGGTCCCCTCCAGGAACATCCCTGCCTCTCTGTTCCCTCAAGGAATATTCCTGTTCCTTGATTCCATCCAGGAATATCCCTGCTCCTTGGTCCCTTCCAGGAACATCCCTACCTCTCTGTTCCCTCAAGGAATATCCCTGCCCCTTGGTTCCCTCCAGGAATATCCCTGACCCTTGGTCCCTTCCAGGAACATCCCTGCCTTTCTGTTCCATTCAGGAATATCCCTGCCCCTTGGTCCCTTCCAGGAACATCCCTGCCCCTTGGTCCCCTCAAGGAATATCTCTGCCCCTTGGTCCCCTCAAGGAATATCCCTGCCCCTTGGTCCCTTCCAGGAACATTCTTGCCTCTCTGTTCCCTTAAGGAATATACATGCCCCTTGGTCCCCTCCAGGTACATCCCTGCCCCTTGGTCCCCTCAAGGAATATCCCTGCCCCTTGGTCCCTTCCAGGAATATCCCTTCCTCTTTGTTCCATTAAGGAATATCCCTGCCCCGTGGTCCCATTCAGGAATATCCCTGCCTCTTGGTCCCCTCCAGAAATATCCCTGCCCCTTGGTCACCTCAAGGAATATCCCTGCCCCTTGGTCCCCTCCAGGAACATCCCTGCCCCTTGGTCCCCTCAAGGAATATCCCTGCCTCTTGGTCCCTTAAAGAAATATCCTTGCCTCAAGGTCCCCTCCAGGAATATCCCTACCTTTCTGTTCCCTCCAAGAATATCCCTGCCCCCTGGTCCCCTCCAGGAATATCCCTGCCCCCTGGTCCCCTCCAGGAACATCCCTGCCTTTCTGTTCTCTCCAGGAACATCCCTGCCCTCTGGTCTTCTCCAGGAATATCCCTGTTCCTTGGTCCCTTCCAGGAACATCCTTGCTAAAGATTCATTCATAGCTTTAATGCCTAAAAGGACATTTGCATTTGTTGAACCTGGTTGGAGATTCTGTTTTGATTGGTTAAATTCTCTGTAATCTATTTATAGAACAGATAATAACCTCTTGTGATTTTCCTCTTATGTAATTCTCTTGGGCCCAATTTTTGACATAGGACATAACAAAAACTTTTACATGTTGAAAGATATTATTGTGTAATGGGAGGGGTGTACTCACATGTTCACCCTCTCTACAGATGTGTACGGTTTGTTGCGTATGGACTGACCCAGGTTCTAACTGAGTTGTTATACATTATACCCCAGCAGCCTGTAACATTACTGACAACATATAATAATGGAGTCCACACTTACAGATAACTGGCCAATTGTAACTCAAAACAAACACAGCGGATTGGAAAATAATCTCCAACCCAAAGTATTGCCACATATAGAGTTCAGGTGGAAAAATGATAAAATTTCATCCTCATCTGTATAAATTTAACAAACAAGATATCATTGGACAGTAAGTGTGAAACAAAAAGTAGTAATTTCAAACAATCTCACCAATTTACCACATATAAACAAATCTTTGGATTGAATATAAACACTATTATCCCCATGAGTCTGCTAAAACCAGCTCTCAGGCCTTGTAGGCCTCTTGTTTTCTGTCACATAAAATGATCTTAACTTTTTAAGTGTCAGTGAGGCTGCCAAACACTTAAACCTTGCTCTACTGAACCTGATCTGTGAGGAGGACGACCTGCCCACGCCTACACTAGGAAGTCCTGTCAACAGTATACCAGATAGTCCATCTTCACAGGAACACAAGCCAGACAATACTTCAACAGCAAGCAGGTTGTTTACTAAAGCATTCCATCTGAAACCTCTTGAGAAGCATTGACTGCAGTTATTCATTGCCTAAGGGGATTTTGATTAGAGACTTATATCACAGTGAACTTTGATCAGTGAGCCTATTGTCTAAATGCAATTGGTAAATTTTAATCAATAAGATTATGTAGATGCTATGTTAATAATCAATTTCATGGCTAAACCAATCAAAAAAATATTTTGTGGTGATAGTTATTTGTAACCAGGAAGTAAAATACTATTCCCTTGATCTATCTCTATCTTTTTCCTAAATATCACTACTAGTTCTGATGGACTAAGTTGATTTTCACAAAATTGGTCAGAAGCATCCTTTGAGGAAACAACTTTTCATATAAATGGTCAGTATGAATCCCCCAGGGCTTGAGAGCAGGTGAAATGTCATATCACTGACCTACATTTTGACCTTAGACTTACATCGAAGACAAATTTTGTCTTGGCTTCTACTCTTACACTTCCAGTCACTAGAACTTCAAATTTGGGGTTTACATTCACCTTTGTGAGGTGCTGTGTTGTGTATCAACAGTAGGTTACTTTTATCTATATTTTGAACTTTGACCTACATCAAAGAAATATTTATCTCCTACACTACTTGTCACACTTGGAGGAAGGGTTCACTTGCAGTTAATTTTTGACACATATTTTCAAATTGGTGCTGGACTGTACTTTGCCAGATAGTCTATTTCTAAAGCAGTTCTTGATGGATCATTCTCAAATTTCTTAAAAAAATATTCCTCTTGGATGCTTGTTGTGCATTTTCTATTCTTGACAGGTTAAAGGTTGTTGTCTCTTTTTCTTAATGATGGGGTTCCAAAACCCACCACCCTCCAACTATTTGAAAACTTTGCAGAATTTTTAGATTACACCAACCTCAATATATAATTTCTTTGTGAAATGTAGAAGGTCCTTAGGGACTGTAAATTGCTTTTTCGCTCACCTGGTCTGAAGGATCAAGGTAGCTTATGCCTTACCCTGGTGTCCTTCCTCGTTTATTGTCTTTTGCCAAAATTTGGTTTGAAACATCCTTGGAAACAGGGGACTCATTTTTGCAGAAGTCCAACAGATTTTGTAAAAAGAAATGACCTTGACCCTTATTGTAGGTCACAGGAGCAGAATTTGCTAAATATTTAAACAACTTCTTCTGTCTACCCAAAAAAGCACAGAAGCATGGTATTCGACTTATATGTTTCTAGGATGAAACTGAACAATGTGTGCCAAAATAAAAGACCTTGACCCTTATCCAAGATTGCTGGGGTCAAATTTATTAAAGCTTTAAAACAACTTCTAACATACTTGGGAAAGCATTCTGATCAAATTTAGTCTAAAGCATCCTTTGGGAAAAGGGAGTCATCTTTGTATTGATGTTAGGTTTGACTGAGGACAGAAGGTTAGGAAAATAAAATTGGAATATAATTACAATAGAATTATGAATAGATGTGCTTTGATGTGAAAGCTGAAATATCCAGATAAGTCATACTGATCTCTTTGGTCTCTTTTTCAGCGTTGTTCAGCGTACGTGTTGTCCTGGTTGAAATGTATGCTATGCACATTGCATTTTAGTAGTTAAAGCATTTGCATCATAGTAAACCAGTCTAATTTCAAACCTAGTTACATCTTTCACTTGCCAGAACCAATAAGGCTGGACTTCAAGTAACCAAATTCTGAACATTTAATTATTGTTAACATCTATTTAGAACAATTAATTTGGTTTCACTGGAAGTTGAACTCCATGATTCCAATCACAATCGTGATGTTTTATTATATTAGAATGTAACTCAGACTGAGTTTGTATTTGTTGAAAGTCATTCCTTATCTCTTACCTGCTAAGGAAATGGAAATATTAAGGGTTTTTGACAAAGACTGAGCAAAGATGGAAGGTGACCCTTATTGTGATCACTTTGATGTTCATTTTGTTTGAAATCTTCAGGTATGTACTCCTGATATTTTTAGTGGTATTCACATTTTCTCAGTCTATTTTTTGTGTTTTATTTTTTTCCCCAGTACAATCAGACTAAACATAGCCAATGTGATCTCTGTTCTATGCCGGATGATACAACATCAGAGCCTTAGGACCAGGATAGCTGCCTTAGAGTGGCTGTCACATCTCTTACTCAAAGTACCAAATAAGGTAAAAATGCGTTACTGATGTACCTGTGAGGGTGTAGAAGTGTGGGGAGACTTCCCATATATGGTACATACACTGTAGTATGGTACTGAATTATACCCATAATAATAAAGTTAGTGAAAACCAATTAACAATCTTCGACTAGTAGATGACCAGTTTATAGATCAGAGATAAACACCCTCTGACCAGTGGATGACCAGTTCTGTCAGGAACTCTGGTTATAGATCAGGGATAAACACCCTCTGACCAGTGGATGACCAGTTCTGTCAGGAACTCTGGTTATAGATCAGGGATAAACACCCTGTGACCAGTAGATGACCAGTTCTGTCAGGAAATTTGTTGTTTTACTACTTTTTTTTCTTTTCCTACAGACATTCCAGCATGTGGACAGGTTTTTCCCCGTACTTCTGGCCACACTTTCTGACACATCAACAGAGGTAATGTAACTTGTATATGTATGTAGATATGCTGTGTTGTACATGATAACTGGGGTAACCATCACATTATCATAATTGTGCAAATTATTTTTGCTCACCTGCCTTAGGGGAAGTAAACTCATGCCTTAGTTTGATCTAGAATGACACTGTGATGAATTTGACAAATTATTTTTCAGACTTGGTGAAAACAAATTAAGTCTGTTATATATTTAAGTATATTTCAAAGGTTATGGTAGCTTAAACGGTCTGAATGACAGTTGAGCTTATGTCATACTGCAGTTTCCAGCTTATTGGTCTGAATTACAGGAGAGGTTATGACATACTTCACTATGCAGCTATCCTTGATCAACTTTTTCTGAATATTGCTTCTTGTCATAAATGACTAAGAGGATTTTGACCAAATTTTGTCAGAAGCATCCTTTAGGGGGGTAAGGGAACAAATTTTGTATAAAAGGTGGATCCCCAGGGGCTCAAATAGGGTAAATTATGGGATACTTCTTTTCCTGTAGGATTGATTTGATTTTGCTCAAACTTGGTCTGATGCATCCTTGGATGAAGAAGAATAAGTTTTTTGTAAGCATGAGTCTCAGTCCCTTGGAACAGGAGGACTTGAAACCAATAGGAAAAATAGAGTAGATGCTTAGGTGAAGGCAAACCAGATTGTATAAAACAGTGATTCCAGGTTCTGCATTGGATGGAGCATGGGAAAATGAGGCAAATTCTTTAAAAGTGCTGCTGTCGGAATGATAAAGTTTTGTCTAAATTTTGTTTGAAATATCCTTGGGTAAATGAAAGTTAAATTGTTTAAAAAGGATGTATCTCAGCCCTATGGAGTGTGAGGGTTGGACCCAACAGGGAAATTGGAGCAGTTCTTTGAAATCCTCCCTCTTATTATATAATAGAACTTTGTCCAGATTTGATCTGAAGTATTTTTAGGTAATGTGGACTTGAATTTGTACAAATGAAGAATCAGGTCGGTTGGAAGTCAGAATTTATACAAATGAAGAGTCAGGTAGGTTGAAAGTCAGAATTTATACAAATGAAGAGTCAGGAAGGTTGGAAGTCAGAATTTATACAAATGAAGAGTCAGGTTGGTTGGAAGTCAGAATTTGTACAAATGAAGAATCAGGTCGGTTGGAAGTCAGAATTTGTACAAATGAAGAGTCAGGTCGGTTGGAAGTCAGAATTTATACAAATGAAGAGTCAGGTAGGTTGAAAGTCAGAATTTATACAAATGAAGAGTCAGGAAGGTTGGAAGTCAGAATTTATACAAATGAAGAGTCAGGTTGGTTGGAAGTCAGAATTTGTACAAATGAAGAATCAGGTCGGTTGGAAGTCAGAATTTGTACAAATGAAGAATCAGGTTGGTTGGAAGTCAGAATTTGTACAAATGAAGAGTCAGGTTGGCTGGAAGTCAGAATTTGTACAAATGAAGAGTCAGGTAGGCTGGAAGTCAGAATTTATACAAATGAAGAGTCAGGTCGGTTGGAAGTCAGAATTTGTACAAATGAAGAGTCAGGTAGGCTGGAAGTCAGAATTTATACAAATGAAGAGTCAGGTCGGTTGGAAGTCAGAATTTGTACAAATGAAGAGTCAGGTAGGCTGGAAGTCAGAATTTGTACAAATGAAGAATCAGGTCGGTTGGAAGTCAGAATTTGTACAAATAAAGAATCAGGTAGGTTGGAAGTCAGTCTCTAGTGTTGTAAGGAAGGTTCATTTTGACCAGTTTTGGTCTGAAGTATCATTGTATTTAATGTGATTGTATAAATTAAGGATTTAACTCTCCAGTGAAGACTATTTAAAATCCTTCTCCTTCTGTTAAATCTGAAGATATCATGACCAAACAAAGCCAAGTGAGCTATACAGGCCCTGTGGGACTCTTGTTATGGTCCCTCAGAATATCATATCTACTTTCAGGTTGTGCTCCTCGATTTAGAAACCCTTGCTGAAATTTCATCAAATCCTGCAGGACATTTTGTTCACACAGATCAAAATCAAGTGTCAAAAGGAGAACAAACGACCAAAGAGGAAAAACCCAGTAAATCAGGACTTAACAGATTCTTCACAAAATTCATGAAGGCTTTGTTGGATTTGTTTAAAAAAGACCAGAATTTGCTCGAGCCAGAGGAGAGGGGTTACTTCATCATCAGGTAAGCTGTGGAAATGTATTCAAAAATAAAATACATGTAAATACTGATAAAGCTGACAATACAGAAAACAGAATTGAATATTTGGACTGATTTTGACACTTCCTGAAGGTGTTCAAATCCTTTTTCTGTTTGAATGTCAGAATTCTGTACCAGTTTTGTCTGAAACATCCTTGGAGAAAAGGGAATTAATTTTGTATAAATGGAGGGTCTGAGCCAGAATGTTGGGGTTCAGTAAAGGAAATAGAGCCAATTCTTTAAAATCATTGTTCCTCTGTAGAAATGTCAGGATTTATTTCCATTTTGGTCTGAAGTATCTTTATGGAAAGTGCCTCAAGTTTGAATGACCATTTGGCTCCTTGATTCAACTTTTATCAGTATTAAGTGTTGAATTTTTCAGACAGTTGTCTCAGTTGTTGAATGCCGTAGATGTGTTCCAGTCATTTTCCAAGATTCTAGTAGAGGAGGTAGACGTAAACTTTGCTTGTAAGATGGTACAAAGCCTAAACACCATTCTCCTAACGTCTACAGAACTGTTTGATATGAGGAATCAGCTCAAATCTCTCAGTACTCAGGTAAGTCACCACCTTTAGATTCTCAGATTTCCACCTCCCAGAAAATTCATCATCTGTTAATGTTGATAAGTTTGAAGTTTCCTAGCACATTGTAAGATAAGGAGTTAAAACTATGATAGTATGATATGTTGTAGGAAAGCTGTGTTTTGTTCTGCTGTTTGTACCAGTCCTGGTGTCACAGCCCGGTCGCCACAGTGTCATTGTGCTACTTATCTCAAAACTACCGCCATGCCTGTGATCTTCTCCTGTCTTTGTATCTTTTTTTGACATCTACATCAATACTTCTAACAGCCTGGGTTTGTATAGCCACATGGTGTTAATGAAGTCACAACCAGTCGAGGTCCTCATTACGCAAAGTTTATTCTGTAACTGAGTGTTTTAAAAGTTTTTAGGGGGTTTTTAGCTTACCTATTTTTTAATGCTATGGTGCAGTGTCCAGGGTCTGAATTTTTACTGAAAATCACTACTCATCATGAACTACTAAACAGATTTTGACCAGAAGCGTCCTTAAGGGGAAGGGGACAAAGTATACATAAATATTGTTTCTAAGCCCAAGGGGCCGATGGGGCGGGACCCAAAAAGGGGATTGTAGCAAATTTTTAAAGTCCTACTTCTGTAGAAATCAATGGATATTGCCTAAATTTTGCCTGAAGTATTCTTCGGGGAAGGGGATTCAATCTGCATAAAAGATCGGCCTCTGCACCTTGGGGTAGGAAAGGCAGGGCCCAATACGGGGAAACAGAGCAAGTTCTTTAATATCCATTTTTCTCTGTAAAGTATCAGGATGCTGTCCTGATTTGATCTGAAGCATACTTAGGTGAAATGGGATCAATTTTGTATATATGAAGGGCCTTGACCCTCTGGGGTGAAGCCAAATAGTGGAAATAGAGGAAATATTGCAAAATCCTTCTTTTGTGGGAATGACTTGATTCTGTCCCAATCTGGTCTGAAGTAAACTTAGTTGAAAGGAAAATTTTTATCAACCAGGAATCTGATAATCGGAAAATGTATATAAGTTCTTCAAATTCTTTTTCCATACAAGAATATTGTGTTAGTTTGGTCTGTAGGAGTCTTTATGAATGGTGAATCTGACTTCTATTTGATTACAAAGCGGGGACCCATTAGGGAAGTTATTTCAGAAATTACCACATTTGTCATATTTCAAATTCTTTCTTAAATGACTGAATATTTGATTTAGCCAGGTGAGCAGTGAAGGCTCATTAGACCTCTTGTTTACAGTATAAGATGTCCACTACAGTCTGTTAGGTCCAGTAAGGCATGCTTGGTCTATATACTCAGATAAAACTATTTTGGATTAGTATCCTTGACTCATGATTAGTGGTGACCTTGAGGTGACAGTTGACTTCCTGAAAGAGATCGACAAGTTGGTCCAGCTGATAGAATCTCCTATATTTGCATGTAAGTATTGACCATTCTAGATTCATGCATTGCCATGGTTACAACAAGCTTATAACTATACTACATTATACATTATATAGTGAAACCCAAAGTAGTCAGAAATGTACCATAATGGAACATCAGACGGATCACAGAAAGGGGCAGCTTCATAAATCGTCAAGTTCAGCCCCGTCTTGAATTTTTTTCATGTTTTGCTCACTGCGCCCGAATGCCAAGTCAGCTTGTGGCATACAGTAGGTGAGAAGAGTTGGGTTTGGAGGGGCAGGGTAGGGCCCAATCAGAAAAATGAGCAAATTCTTCTTCTGTAGTAATGCTAGGGGATTCTCACTCATCTGAAACATCTAGTGATATGTAACTTCATATTTTCAAAAGAATTTTTGACTCATCACACTAATGTTATTGAATGTGTTACATGATCAGACCTACGACTGCAGCTGCTAGATGTCCACAACAACCAAGAGCTCATCAAGAGTCTGTATGGCCTGCTAATGTTGCTGCCACAGTCGGAAGCATTCAAACTACTGCGGTATCGTCTTGATTGTATACCCCACTATCAATTAGCCACCATCAGTGAAAAGTAAGTCCTACAGTAATACAGTGGACCCTCTATAATCCAGACACTTTTGTTTCCGGCTGAAATCGTCCATATGATGGTTTTCCAGGCTGCATTGTTTCGTAAACTAACAGGAGTTATCTCCCTTATAAATAAACTCAATTTATTTTGCATGAACTGTGGAACAAGCTTTAAGCTTATATTAATCACTCTTCTTGGTGCTGATGGAAGATGATGAGGGTTTAACTGTTTTAGGAAACCAGAATACCCGAGGAAAACCCATGGGTCAGGCAGGTGACCCAATACCTTTTCAGGTGTGTTTGTTGTCGAACCCTACAAGCCTAGGTTACCAGGACCTCACCTGATCACTATTGATCACATGACTATAGAATTGATATGATACTCTTATTATTGACAGTCTATATAGTATTTACTGTGAATACAAGTATCATTGAATATCTTTTACTGTCTATGTAAATATGAATAATTATATACAAATCAAAATTTTGGCAGTGAAAGTTGCTGTTAATGATTGAAGTCCAAAATCACAGATGATTTATTCTCCTCAGTATCGGTAGTGATGTTTCCCATTTTACATTTAATAAACCATGCTTTGTGAACATCACAAGCACTGTTTTTAGTGTCCGTCGTCTGTTCGTCCTGTGTTTTTCAACTTTTCATTTAAACAACTTTTTCTGAAATACCGAAAGGTGTAGAGTTATCATATTCGGCTGGAAGGATCCTTTGATGAAGCCCAACAAATTTCGCATAAAGAAATGACCTTGATCCATATTCAAGGTCACAGGTCAAATGTGTTAAAACCTTTAAACGACTTCTTCCAAAATACCTGAAAGCCTAGAATCATTATATATGGCTGGAAGGTTTCTTTGTTGAAGTACAACAAAGTTTGCAAAAAGAAATGACCTTGACCTATATTCAAGGTTGCAGAAGTCAAATGTGTATAAACCTTTAAACAACTTCTTTCCAAATAGCAAAGTTTGGTTTCCTACAAAAAAGAAATGACCTTGACCCATATTCAAGGTCACAGGGGTCAAATGTCTTAAAACGTTTGAACAATTTCTTCTGAAATATCGAAAAGCCTAGAATTATTATATTTGGCCAGTATGTTCCTTTTATGAAATCCAAGAAAGTTTGCAAAAAAAAATGACCATGACCCATAATCAAGGTCTCAGGGTCAAATGTTTTAAACTTGGAATATGTACAGATATAGTACTGTTGATCATAAAGATCCAGGTGAGCGATACAGGCCCTCTGGGCGTCATGTTAGAATCAAGCGAGTCCATTAACTGTGTAGATAATCACTGCATTTGATAGCTATAAAATACTGTAATATGAATTTTTCTGAAAACTTGTTTTCCCCTCATTTTTTTACATACAAACTGAGAATACCTGTATCATGTTTATATCAAATGTGACGACATATTGAGAGATGGCGGCCAACCATTACAACTGGAGGGGACTAAAGTTGTGTGCTGTGTCTGTCCATATGTCCTTCCATCCTTTTACTCTCTTTTCCAGGCAATACCTCCTACACAAATATTTTGATTTTGACGTAAATACAGAAAGGCTAGCCTTACAGGGGCTGTGGACCCTGTGGCTGGTTTTTTACTCAGTTCATTCAGTGATGTTTATACATAAAGACTTACTTTTACACAAAACTGCCCTGAATCTTTTATAATTTTGAAGAAAATGAGCAAATTTACATGTCTAAAAATAGTAACTTGTATCTATATTTTTACAGGCACAGAGGGAAGAACCTTCAAGATCAGCGACCTCTGGTGTCAAAAATTAACTTTCCAGATCTCCTTAGACATTTTCAAAAAGTCCAGGAAAAGCATCGAGAAGCACGCCATAAGATGGCTTTCAGAGGACGAATGATCCATACAAAGTGATTGGTTTGAGAATTCAAGGACAATGGATAGGACATTGTAATCCTGACTGATCAAATGAAACTGGTAGCTAGAGTGTTGATATCTGGATTTGATTTATAACAAAAGTTTCACAAAAAAGACTTCAGGTGTACTTCAATCAAACATGTATCGTTACATAAAAATACAAGTGAAATCCTGGTATCAAAAAAATTCATTTTACAAAAAGACAGAATTTCTTAATGTTATCAGATTGTGTTATATATCATGTTAATCATAGACTATTGTTGTATGGAGAAGTATAGAACATAAAACTACAAAAACACACTGCTCCCTCACATCTTAACATCAGACAAGTCAAATTTCTCCTCTTTTGTCAGTATGGTCATTTTTGAATCGACATCGTGGTAAAAACCTATTATCAGAAATTATTGTTTACCCTCCTAATTATGTGTAGATGTTATCACAATTTTCACTGTCCATCATATATGTCCAGTTTGATTGCTCAAATTAGACAGGAAATGCCAATATGTAGCCCCAAAAATATTCATAGCAAATAATAAATTTGAAAACGAGGCAGTGGGCGAGAGAAGGAATTTGCATCGCCTGCAGTGATAAAAACTGTAAATGCTAGTTTGGTATGGAACATTATTTTCTTAAGAACTTTATACACAGTATATAACAATTTAACCTTAATTATACATTTTATAACATTTGTCATTTTAGCATCTCAGTTTCTCCTTTAGCTTACTTGTCAACTTTGATTTAATGGAAGGTCCTATTATAAATTGTTGGTTGATGAAAAAGAATTCCCGTGTTATTTAACTAAGTATTAAATATTTGCTTTATTTATCAACAAAGTTCACTATTCACCATATAGACCAGTACAACATTTGTTAAAGAAGAATTAAAGAAAAAGAAAGAAAAAAAATTCAGTGTGATGTCCTCTTAATGTAGAGCACTCTAAATTCTATGTCTCCCACCGTAGCACATTTCCTAATGAATGATAATCAATATTATATAAACAACACAAATATGACCATTTACTATAGTATTGAAAATCTTAAAACTCGATCAATTCTGTTTTCAAAATTCACTCAAATATGACAGTTCTGCTGCAAAAGTGTCACTCTCCTTGAGGAAAGAAAACTGATAATTTACAGTACTTGCCTCTTGTCATTCTGAAGTGAAATACAACATTGTAGTCATGTCTAAAAATCTGAGTTTGTCCCAAACTACACCAAAAGATAAAATTCACGTAACATATTTATTGGTTGTTAATGTCTAAAATATAACATATTTAGTGGTTGTTAATGTCTGAAATACAATGTAAGTGTATTCCAGTTTTGATTGCAGTGACAAAAAAACTTATTTAATGAGAAACTAAAGAAAACATAAAACATTAAAGTCCAGCTTTCAAGCATCCCAAATTTTCAGTTACTGGATCATGAAATCTGGAAGATATTTCGTAAATAGTGTATGTGTTGTGTTCACAATCTAACGAAGTTGGGTTAAAGTTAGATGTATACTTAATAAGTAAGAGAACAAAAGACAAAAACTTTATTAACATGAAATGTTATAATTACACATGGCTATCACTTCTGTAAAAGTATTTTCACTTCTTTATAGGTGAAGCTAAAATCATGTCTAACAATTTGATTGATATGTGTTATCTACTGAAACATTCTGTTACCTACAATATATAAAAAAAATTCTGAAAGGTGGGATTTCCTCATGAAATTAACACAGCAAACAATTAACTGGGTATATGTCTTAAGAATCTAAATGTGTTTGATCCTCATTTTAAATGTGCAATATTGAGTTAATAAATTGTATAAATGACTATTGATAATTGTTTTCTTATTTTTGTATGAATTATCTGCCCCTTGTTAGTGTATTGTATTTGTGTTGTCTGTATTACTGTGTATGATTTATCTGCCCTTTGTAAGTGTATTATATTTGTGTTGTCTGTATTATTGTGTATAGATTATCTGCCCTTTGTTAGTGTTTTATATTTGTATTGTCTGTATTACTATGTATGAATTATCTGCCCCTTGTTAGTGTATTGTATTTGTGTTGTCTGTATTACTGTGTATGATTTATCTGCCCTTTGTAAGTGTATTATATTTGTGTTGTCTGTATTATTGTGTATAGATTATCTGCCCTTTGTTAGTGTTTTGTATTTGTATTGTCTGTATTACTATGTATGAATTATCTGCCCTTTGTTAATGTATTATATTTGTGTTGTCTGTATTACTATGTATGAATTATCTTCCCCATTGTTAGTGTATTGTATTTGTGTTGTCTGTATTATTGTGTATGAATTATCTGCCCTTGTTAGTGTATTGTGTTTGTGTTGTCTGTATTATTATGTATAGATTATCTGCCCTTTGTTAGTGTATTTTTTTGTGTTGTCTGTATTATTGTGTATGAATTACCTGCCCCTTGTTAGTGTATTATATTTGTGTTGTCTGTATTATTGTGATTATTGTGTATGAATTATCTGCCCTTTGTTAGTGTATTGTATTTGTGTTGTCTGTATTATTGTGTATGAATTATCTGCCCCTTGTTAGTGTATTATATTTGTGTTGTCTGTATTATTGTGATTATTGTGTGTGAATTATCTGCCCTTTGTTAGTGTATTGTATTTGTGTTGTCTGTATTATTGTGTATGAATTATCTGCCCCTTGTTATCGTAGTGTATAGTTTTTGTGTCGTTGTGTACTTACTTTATATTTGTGTTGACATGTTACAGAAGTGTGTGTAATTATATGTGTGTGAGAAAGTTAACTTCTGGAGTATCGAGGCCATGTTACAGAGGTGTAGAGATTGTAACCCCTGGAGTATCGAGGCCAGTGATATCGAAAGTGTAACCTCTTTGCCATGTTACAGAGGTCGAAAGTGACCGTAACCTCTGGAGTATCGAGGCCATGTTACAGAGGTATAGAGAAAGAAATGACCGTAACCTCTGGAGTATCGAGGCCATGTTACTATGTAGAGATTGCAGAGAGTTACAGAAGAGACCGTAACCTCTGGAGTATCGAGGACATGTTACAGAGGTGTAGAGATCGTAACCCCTGGAGTATCGAGGCCATGTTACAGAGGTGTAGATATCGAAAGTGACCGTAACCTTTGGAGTATCGAGGCCATGTTACAGAGGTAGAGATAGTTACAGAGGTATAGAGAAAGAAAGTGACCGTAACCTCATGTTACACAGGTGAGTAAGTGTTACCGTAACCTCTGGAGTATCGAGGACATGTTACAGAAGTGTAGAGATCGTAACCTCTGGATAATAGATGCCAACGTAGGAACTGCAAGAGAAATAAAGTGACCGTAACCTCTGGAGTATCGAGGCCATGTTACAGAGGTATAGAGAAAGAAAGTGACCGTAACCTCTGGAGTATCGAGGCCATGTTACAGAGGTGTAGAGATTGTAACCTCTGGAGTATCGAGGCCATGTTACAGAGGTGTAGAGATCGTAACCTCCATGTTACAGAGGTGTAGAGAGTAACCTCGTAGGACATGTTACAGAGGTGTAGAGATCGTAACCTCTGGTGTATCAAGGACATGTTACAGAGGTGTAGAGATCGTAACCTCTGGTGTATCAAGGACATGTTACAGAGGTGTAGAGATCGTAACCTCTGGAGTATCGAGGCCATGTTACAGAGGTGTAGAGATCGTAACCTCTGGAGTATCGAGGACATGTTACAGAGGTGTAGAGATCGTAACCCCTGGAGTATCGAGGCCATGTTACAGAGGTGTAGATATCGAAAGTGACCGTAACCTCTGGAGTATCGAGGCCATGTTACAGAGGTATAGAGAAAGAAAGTGACCGTAACCTCTGGAGTATCGAGGCCATGTTACACAGGTGTAAAGATCGAAAGTGACCGTAACCCCTGGAGTATCGAGGACATGTTACAGAGGTGTAGAGATCGTAACCTCTGGTGTATTGAGGACATGTTACAGAGGTGTAGAGATCGTAACCTCTGGAATATCGAGGCCATGTTACAGAGGTAAAGAGAAAGAAAGTGACCGTAACTTCTGGAGTATCGAGGCCATGTTACAGAGGTGTAGAGATCGTAACCCCTGGAGTATCGAGGCCATGTTACAGAGGTGTAGATATCGAAAGTGACCGTAACCTCTGGAGTATCGAGGCCATGTTACAGAGGTATAGAGAACGAAAGTGACCGTAACCTCTGGAGTATCGAGGCCATGTTACAGAGGTATAGAGAAAGAAAGTGACCGTAACCTCTGGAGTATCGAGGCCATGTTACAGAGGTGTAGAGATTGTAACCTCTGGAGTATCGAGGCCATGTTACAGAGGTGTAGAGATCGTAACCTCTGGAGTATCGAGGCCATGTTACAGAGGTGTAGAGATCGTAACCTCTGGAGTATCGAGGACATGTTACAGAGGTGTAGAGATCGTAACCTCTGGTGTATCGAGGACATGTTACAGAGGTGTAGAGATCGTAACCTCTGGTGTATCAAGGACATGTTACAGAGGTGTAGAGATCGTAACCTCTGGTGTATTGAGGATGACCTGCATGAATAATCGAGACACCTACCGCACTTGATTTTAGTTGATAACTTTGTATTTGTTTTATGTTTTGTGTATGTGATGTAATTTATGTTTGTGTCTTGATAAACAGGCAGGTTTGACGATTCACTGTCCGACCTGTCGTTTTTACTTCATCATTGATCATATATCTATTTACATGTGTTTGTGGGTGAGTGGATGGGGTTACGGGAGCGTTGGGTTGTGTGTGTGTGTGTGTGTGTGTGTGTGTAGGTGTAGGTGTGATGGTGTGTGGCTGCTTTCTAAATGAATCCGTGTGTTTCTTTTTCATATTTGTTTTTCTAGTGACTGTAAATATGATACTTTTTTAATTTTAAATGGTCTTCAGTACATACAACTGTAAGAAACCGGATGAGTGAAATAAACGAAAGCTCAGCCCATCCCTTTCAGCTTTATGATAGAGAGAATGCACAGGACAATAACCTGTATTTATAATGAGCAGCACCCCATGTTTTATACCTGTTATACAAGCCCGACACGATGTAGTAGTTGTGACACAAATTGCCTTGTCAGTTGTCTGGGATATTTGAGAAGATTTGTGACTCTACTGCTTCATCACTCAAGTCTCACAAAAATAAGTAGTCGATGAACGATCAGACTTACATATTTTATTAATTTTTATGTTTCTTGAAAGTCCATACCTATCCTCGTTATCATACCTGAGGATGGTGTTGTATTTACACCAACCCACATACTTACCTTAAGTTCATGTTACACCTTACCCACCTGTTGACGTCCCGCTGATGTCATACCTAGACAAAAGGTACGGCGCACACCTAATTTCGTGTGTTAATAAAATACATTTATCCGTAACACACCTGATTTCATAATTGAACGATGATAAGTCACAACTTGTGTATATCACATAAAAATCTAATGATATGGAGAAAAAATATGGAATTTCACGTAAATTGATATTTACGAGATAACTATAAACATGGGAAAAAAATAGCATCTGATTATAACATAGAATAGATGTATAACTGTATGTATGTTGTTGTGTATTTGAATTGCTGGTGAATCATTAAGAATGTCGTTAATTTGTAATGATACATGTAAATATGTGATATACTTCGTCTAAAAGCAACAGAAACCAACGTTTAAGTTATTCTAATTTTCACTGATAATTCTCTATATCTTATAACTTTGCAAAAGAAAAACGGGCACGAGGTGTCGCTAATAAGTAAAATGATTGCAAACTTATTTTTCCATCATTTACTTAGATATATAAGCTTAATGCCTGAAAACACTGGTAAAGTTCATAAGGCTGGATACCGACGGTTCTGCATGCATAGTGTAATTTTCAGTTTAATCTGATTCCTAAAACTTGAAAAAATATTTATGGCTGTTCTCGAGCTCGCGTAACCCTCCATGCACGTGACTGCTTCCGTCTTTGAACTTGTGACGTCACACCAATTGGGCTATATCATCGCGAGTTATGCATAAATACATCAGAAATTTGATGTAGTTTTCAATCTTTACTTTTTCTATCTACCGATCATATTTTTTCTCAAGGTTTTGGCAAAGAAAGTTTAGATCTGTGTTGATTTTACTCGTGTTTTGTTTGCTGACGTACTTTGAGGCAACTGATTCACATAAACGTTTGACATCATTTTCACGAGATCGTCACCTTCATGTATGTGGCAACATGGCGGTCGCCATTCGATGAAAAGTAACCGGGTATATAACTGGTATTAACTTTATGTGTAAAATATCGGCTTTATCAAATGTATATTCTGGAGTCTTATTCCACAGTCTTATTCCACAGTCACATTAGACAGTCTTTACGAGGAGTGGTAACTCGTAGTCGGAAGCTCGTCGGACGGTCGGATTAGACAGTCTTTACGAGAAGTTTTAACTCGCCACAGTGTTCGGCCGCTCGTCGGACGGTCGTATTAGTCGGTTTTTACGAGGAGTGGTAACTCATGGTCGGCCGCTCTTCAGACTGTCGGATGAATCGGTTTTTACGAGGAGTGGTAACTCGTGGTCGGCCGCTCGCAGGACGGTCGGATTAGACAGTCTTTACGAGAAGTGGTAACTCGTGGTCGGCCGCTCGTCGGACAGTCGGATTAGACAGTCTTTACGAGGAGAGGTAACTCATGGTCGGCCGCTTGACGGACGGTCGGATTAGTCGGTTTTTTACGAGGAGAGGTAACTCGTGGTCGGCCGCTCGTCGGACGGTCGGATGAGACAGTCTTTACGAGGAGTGGTAACTCGTGGTCGGCCGCTCTTTGGTCTTTCGGATTAGTAGGTCTTTACGAGGAGTGCTAACTCGTGGTCGGCCGCTCGTCGGACGGTCGGATTAGACAGTCTTTACGAGGAGAGGTAACTCATGGTCGGCCGCTCGACGGACGGTCGGATTAGTCGGTTTTTTATTAACGATATATCCGATTACCTCGAAAGCCTCTCCAAACTGTTTACCGACGGTACTTCATTATTGTGTTCCGGAAGTTCCCTTTTGAACTTGATAACTGAAATTGATAACTGAATAACTGAATAAAAGTGGCTCATCAAATTTAATCCCTTTAAAACGGAAGCTTTGCTTATTTCTAACATTGAACATGATCGTGTCCTTGATATCTAATCCAATTATGTGGGTGTTGACTTTGTTGGTCATCATAAGCACAAAGGAGTAATTTTAGATGAAAATTGTAAATGGATTAGAAAATATTTGTAATAATGCATCCAAACAGGTAAGTATTCTCTTTAAACATAAACACATGTTGAATAGACTAACTTTAGTCAAAATCTATGAAACATTCATATTACCATTATTAGAATATTGTTGTACGGGATGGATGTTCTCTCAGTGACGCGGACAAACTGGAAAAACTTCAGATAGAATCCGCTCGAATGTTTACAGGTTCATCAGCATATAGCAGCAGAGAATCTCTCTATATCGAAAGTGATTTAGAACCGCTATCAGAACGAGGCTCTAGAAGAAAACTTCAGCTATTCTACAAAATAAGTAGCAAACTCACACCTAATCATCTCTCCTCTTTATTTCTTCAGTTAGTGTCAGAAAATTCACAGTTTAACCTCCGCGATGTTCAAAAATATTCTTTGTCAAATTTCCGTCTACATCTACCGAACTTTTTTTTACTTTTCTACTATCCGACTTTGGAACCAATTTGACCTTGAAATTAGACGATGTGTTTCTTATTCAGTTTTTTGAAATTCCATTCGAACCCCTGTAATAGTTCCAACTTATTATTTAATTGGTAATTAGAAAGCTAATACACTGCATGCTCGACTAAGAATAATTATAGTACTTTAAAAAATGACGTTTTTCATGTCCAATTTAATAGATTACCGTCACTACAATGCGGACATCCTCTTGAAGACACTTATCACTACTTCTTCACTTGTAATAATTATGCGAGATCAGAGAGTAATTCTTTACTGAAAGCTAACCCACTAGACCTGCAGTTACTAATACATGGTAACCTAAAATAAAATGTTAAATGTCTCTACTCACTCCGACCCACTAGTGGTGAGTATTCCAAGGACCCGGATGACAGGAGAAAGTGGGATAAGGCACTGGATGTGATTGACTTTAGAATAGCTCGAATGCATTGAAGAGTTTACAAAACATACATTGTATGAATGACTCTCTCTCTCTCTCTCTCTCTCTCTCTCTCTCTCTCTCTCTCTCTCTCTCTCTCTCTCTCTCTCTCTCTCTCTCTCTCTCTGTCTCTCTCTCTCTCTCTCTCTCTCTCTCTCTCTCTCTCTCTCTCTCTCTCTCTCTCTCTCTCTCTCTCTCTCTCTCTCTCTCTCTCTCTCTCTCTCTCTCTCTCTCTATGTGTAATTTTGTATTTATACATGTCGTTTTGTATTGTCAACTTGTATTTTGTCACATTTTATGGGGGAAACGGCTTGATATAAGTTGGAAAACTTGTGCCCAATCCACTTGAAATTGTTCAATAAAATATGTCTAAATCAAACACGGCACTTACACATTCCTGACATGACACCTGGGTATAAACCATTCTCTTATCAGGGTGCGCTATACATGAGAATTAGTATAAAAAACAACCAAACATATTTTTTAAACAAAATCCCTATCTTATCGACCCTATATTTTCAGGCAGAAACAGGAAACACAGACAGGTAATTTTTGGTCTCATATAGAATATCGATTTATTCATTCCAGTTTTTTCCAAGAATATACGTAAATTTACCCACTCCTGTGACCGACTTACGTTTCGTGGCGAGTTTGTTATGTGAGACAGCGTCAGCATGTAACATGTGTAGTAAATACCCTGTTATATCATTCAGGCTTCTGATATGTATGAGTACCCAGAATATAGTTATCTTTCTACTGATACATAACCCCTTAAAAACTCCACATTTTGTTACCGCAGACTGATTGGTCTGCAGGCCTATGTACTATTTTGATGATATGTATATGTCATTAAACATATGGTGTGATGTTGGCCCTTTTTCAAGCGATCAAGGTAATAATCAAGGGGCGGATTCAGGATTTCGTCGGGGGAGGGGGGCATTTTTTTACTCGAAAACTCCCTTCCTCTTTTTTCACGCTTTCAGCTCCAATTTTACCTCTATTCCTGAACTGGACTTGTAGCCAATCGGGGTTGTAGGATCCAGGGGTGAAGCCCCGGGAGAGGGTTTGGGAGGTTGATCATGGACAGAAATCAGGATAGCGTAATATATAGTTTGTTTTCTGAAAATGATGTTATACAGCAGTGTATTTGCGTAAAGGCAACTACGCGCCTGGAGACCCCTCGTCTGCCTTTGATATCATTCAAAACGATATCCCTCGAAATCTCTTATTGCTGTTTCTTGCTAGGAGCTCTAGAGATAATTCTCATCATTTGTAGATTTTCCTCTGTCCGTAGCTGGGCAAATGCAATTTTAAAACTGCGACATCTGATAAGATAAAATCGCTTCTTGGATTTTGAATGAAAAGGCTTTTTGCTGCTATATCTTGATAGAAACGTATGGATTCTTTTCAAAAATGTGTACGCTTCGGTTTTCCTTGGTACAGAGTATTTGGTTTTCAGTTTTGGGTATTGTGAATTGAAAAAAAAAAAAAAACATCTACAATAGAATACATATTATCTTGGATTTCGACCAATGATCTAACAAAATTTCAAAGGCTAGATTTTCGTCGAAGCTTTTTTTATCCATGTCTGATTTGGAGACTAACCGGAAAGGCAACTTGTGGTCGCTACTTCATGTTCTAAATTGAAACAATTGAAAATAACAAGGGACCGTGCTCCACATATGAATGATTAATCAATATTCAGGCCCGTTCTTTCCTACTTAAAAGAGTGAAAGCTAAAGCGCATCTTAAGGTAGTAACAGTAAAGAAATTTGTCGATGAAATTGCAAAGTATCAGATAATCAGGGTCCAATTTTTTTCATGAATACTAACAAATAGTGTCCCCAGTTCGTGTGTGATTTAAGAGGGTGCGCCCCTCCACCCAGTTCGTGTGTGATTTAAGAGGGTGCGTCCCTCCACCCAGTTCGTTTTTGATTTAAGAGGGTGCGCCCCTCCACCCAGTTCGTTTTTGATTTAAGAGGGTGCGCCCCTCCGCCCAGTTCGTTTGTGATTTAAGAGGGTGCGTCCCTCCACCCAGTTCGTGTGTGATTTGAAAGGGTGCGCCCCTCCACCCAGTTCGTTTGTGATATGAGAGGGTGCGCCCCTCCACCCAGTTTGTTTGTGATATAAGAGGGTGCGCCCCTCCACCCAGTTCGTGTGTTATTTAAGAGGGTGCGTCCCTCCACCCAGTTCATTTTTTATTTAAGAGGGTGCGCCCCTCCACCCAGTTCGTTTTTGATTTAAGAGGGTGCGCCCCTCCACCCAGTTCGTTTGTGATTTAAGAGGGTGCGCCCCTCCACCCAGTTCGTTTGTGATTTAAGAGGGTGCGTCCCTCCACCCAGTTCGTGTGTGATTTGAGAGGGTGCGCCCCTCCACCCAGTTCGTGTGTGATATGAGAGGGTGCGCCCCTCCACCCAGTTCGTGTGTGATTTGAGAGGGTGCGCCCCTCCACCCGGTTCGTTTGTGATATGAGAGGGTGCGCCCCTCCACCCAGTTCGTTTGTGATATAAGAGGGTGCGCCCCTCCACCCAGTTCGTTTGTGATTTAAGAGGGTGCGTCCCTCCACCCAGTTCATGTGTTATTTAAGAGGGTGCGCCCCACCCTCCCTGGATCCGCCATTGTTATAGTGGATTAAAAATATTTGCATTCTCTCAGAATCCGCAGGTACTGGTCATGTGTTTTATCTATTAAAAATAGATTTTTTTTTACTTTCATTTCTATTAGCATATCCTTGAGATTCCTGCCGTTCGATCTTATCCGCACACTTTTAGAGTCAGTCTTATGTCCTGTTGCTACTTTACTGTTGTCCTTCCTTACTTACTATTATCATTGTTTTATTTTATGATTTATAACAGGGCCAACAACGCAGCCACACCAACACAGAGCTTCTCGCGAACATGTCTAGAGAAAAGTAGGCCACGATGAATGGGTCTGTCTAGACGTCACTGTTAGACTCGGCCAATCAAAACGTCATGACGGTATCACGTGGTATCTAGTCGTGTGTGTAATTTTTCTCACAGCGGAAACGGAGGAACACGAACCGCTGATTGTTCAGAAAATGTGGATTATTTGTACATGAAGATATGGCCGATCTGTCACTCTGTCGGTGTTGGCGAAGTAGTACCTTGGGGTGATGCTAACCCTTAGCAGATGAAATACCTATCTGGTTCGGAGTGGATTATTACTTAAAATCACCGTTGTCTTCATCTTTGTTTAGAACGGAAGTGTAGATAATCACGGATTCAACTAACCCAACGTACGGGGCTCAACAGTTTCTTTAAGATTTCGTTATAGCATTCATTTGATAACAGTTACCATGGATGGTATAGACAAGGACTGCACAGCTCTTGGAGGACTGTTCCAAACCATAGTCAACGACATGAGGGTATGTACTACGTAACCTCTAGTATAACCATGCATAGTACGGGGCTTCTGGCACAGCGGGGGGATTGACTGCACAGGGTGCCGCCCCTTTTCAGAGGGGTCGCCTATTCTGGGAGTTGGATGGGGAGGGGAGAATCGTTTTTAGGAAGCGATATTGAACAAAGATGTTTCAAAGCCACTGGTTCTAAACCAATAATTAAGAGTTGATTTTAGCACTTATAAGACGTACTTAACTCCCCTGTGGTTAATGAGGCATCAAAAAATATTAAAAACTTCATCAGTTTCCGTCACAAACAGTGTGAAGGATTCAGAGATATATCTGAAATGTTTCGAAATTCTTACTTATGTATGTGTGAGTGTATGCTGCAAATGAAAATGAGCCAAGTCTCGAAAGGAAAAGATTCCTGAAAGGCTAGGAGCTTGGATACCGGAAGTTCATAAACAGCTGCTGAAGGATCGAAGTGAGAACCATGTCACTGACAGCTAGATATTTGTTGTAGTGAAGTGGTCTTACAGAAGCAGCTACCTGAATGCACATGGACATTAAGTTTGCATTTATTAAGCTGAATAATTATGTTTTCAAAAATACATACACTATGAAGGACTTCTACTAGAGTAAGGGACAGTAAATATGCACGCTCTTAAGTTCTTGTTGTCACATCAAGTACCACCACGGACCTGTCCTACCAGCAACACAATATTGTATTGTTGTTGTTATGAGCACTTCTATCTCAAATGAAAAGTAAATCTATAATTAGTTCTGAATGTATACATTGTATACTCTTCATGAAATGTATTTTGTATCAATATAGTTATGACATCATAGTTCAGTTGTTTAGTGAAAACAAAAAACAACAGAATGGCACATATTTAGTGGGAAGGTATGAATGAAGAAGCTTTATTCTCTCCCTTTACATTTACTGATTTGAATTAGTAGATGAGGTTAATAAATAACCAATGTACATTAGACATGGAATCAACATTTTATTAATTGTCATGTGAAGATGTTGAAATAAGACAATACACACCATGCATTATTCTATCATCATTGTCAGCAACACATGTTGCATGCAAGATTTTGTTATTAAAATGAACAAGTGCCATGTTGGATCAATTTTAAAATTTATGACATTGCAATTTTTTGGTTAGTCAAAACTTCAATGCAATAATCACTGGGCAGTCACAGACACTGGGTGGTCACAGACATTGCTTGGTCACAGACACTGGGTGGTCACAGACACTGGTTGGTCACAGACACTGTGTGTTCACAGACACTGGGCGGTCACAGACACTGTGTGGTCACAGACATTGGTTAGTCACAGACACTGGGTGGTCACAGACACCGTCGTTCATGGACACTGGACGGTCACAGACACTGGACTTTCACAAACACGGTGCATTTACGGAAACTGGACGGTAACAGACACTGTATTCACGGACACTAGATGGTCACAGACCCTGTGTGTTCACATAAATTTGCAGTCACAGACATTGGGTGGTCACAGACGTTGTGCGTTCATGGACACTGGGTGGTCACAGATGCTGTGCATTTATGGACACTGGGCTATCACAGACACCCTGTGTTCACGGACGCTAGGCAGTCACAGACACCGTGCATTCACAGACACTGGACTTTCAAAGACACCGTGTGTTCACGGACGCTGGGCAGTCACAGACACCCTGTGTTCACAGACTCTGGGCGGTCACAGACACAGTGCATTCATGGACTCTGGGCAGTCACACGCACCCTGTGTTCATGGACACTGGGTAGTCACAGACACTGCGTTCATGGACACTGGGTGGTCATAGACACAGTGCGTTCATGGACACTGGGTGGTCACAGACACAGTGCGTTCATGGACACTGGGTGGTCACAGACGCTGTGCGTTCACTTACACTTGGCGGTCACAGACACCGTGCATTCACGGACACTGGGCGGTCACAGACACCGTGCGTTCATGGGCACTGGGTGATTATTGACACTCTGTGTTCACGGACACTGGGTGGTCACAGACACAGTGCGTTCATGGACACTGGGTGGTCACAGACGCTGTGCGTTCATGTACACTTGGTGGTCACAGACACCGTGCATTCATGGACACTGGGCGGTCACAGACACTGTGTGTTCACGGACACTGGGCGATCATTGACACTCTGTGTTCACAGACACTGGGTGGTCACAGACACAGTGCGTTCATGGACACTGGGTGGTCACAGACACTGGGTGGTCACAGGCGCTGTGTGTTCACGGACACTTGGCGGTCACAGACACCATGCGTTCACGGACACTGGGCAGTCACGGACACTGTGTGTTCATGGACACTTGGTGGTCACAGACACTTGGCAGTCACAGACACCGTGCGTTCAGGGACACTGGGCAGTCATGGACACTGTGTGTTCACGGACACTGTGAGTTCACAGACACTGGGTGGTCACAGACATTGGGTATTAACACACACTGGATGGTCACACATGGTTGCTACCTGACGGTCTATGACCAACCTCTGATTACGTGAATACTATCGACTGGATACTGAGGAGTTTTAATTAGCAGAGTTTAACTTATATGTAGAAAATTTGAAGTAACTAATCATTTGATTTTAATTCAAGATCAAATTTAATTCCTGTAGTTCGATAATTAGGTTATATGGCTCAGGGATGGCATGGTTAGGATAGAGATTACATCTCCCACAAACCCCAGGAATTTAGATAATTCTTTTTTATGAACATGGCATGCTCAAATTATGGTGTTATCATAGCATTTAAGCTGTGATGATAGCTCTTATTAAACTAGCTGAAGGAATAGGTGAGGTTGCCTGAAAACATTACACAATAGCACAGTCAATGTAGTTAGTTAGAGCTCTTTTGCGAGGTCAGGACTGATGTGAAAATAATAGGTATTAATTGAATGTGTGCACATGTACCAGGTGAACAAAGATGTCAAGCGTAGTTGTGACAGCTGTTTAAAGTGGTCACTGGCAGGAGTTCATACACGAGGTGTATTTCTTCAGATACACTCGGGAGATCTATCATTTTGATAAAATTGTGCCTCAGTCTCGACTGTTTGACCTTACATTTTACAAGAAATAGAATATTTGTCTTATTTTTCCAGTAATTGATCATTACTAACAACTGTGGTTAGGATGTAAGTACGATGTACAACATCTGATGATATTCCTTACAGACAACACAGGTAATACAGGCATAATTAAAAAACTAAAGCTTTAATTAGTACAAAATATGACCAGACAGGATTTTTTTGCTGCACAGTACAGACAGCAACAGTAGTAGACATGGTTCAGCAGGCCACACGATATAAGTACACAAAGTTTTCAACAATGAATTAGCCTTTTTTCCTGTATACAACTGACATCTGTGACTACGAACAGAAGGCTCTCACATTGGCTGATGTGTATGCATAAGGAGAACTGATGAGGAATGTTGATAAACTTATCAACAGGAACAAAACCACCGGCCAAGGATATGAATCATTTACTAATGTAAAGTATTAAAGCACCATCCAAGTGCCGAAGTGTGTATGATTACAAATATAGCACTAAACTGTAGTTATTACACAGGGGTCTCTATCACTGTAGTTATAACACAGAGGTCTCTATCACTGTAGTTATAACACAGAAGTTTATATCACTGTAGTAGTTATAACACAGAGGTCTCTATCACTGTAGTTATAACACAGAGGTCTCTATCACTGTAGTTATAACACAGGGGTCTCTATCACTGTAGTTATAACACAGAGGTCTCTATCACTGTAGTTATAACACAGGGGTCTCTATCACTGTAGTTATAACACAGAGGTCTCTATCACTGTAGTTATAACACAGAGGTCTCTATCACTGTAGTTATAACACAGAGGTCTCTATCACTGTAGTTATAACACAGAGGTCTCTATCACTGTAGTTATAACACAGTGGTCTCTATCACAGTAGTTATAACACAGAGGTCTCTATCACTATAACACTGTAGTTATAACACAGGGGTCTCTATCACTGTAGTTATAACACAGAGGTCTCTATCACTATAGTTATAACACAGAGGTCTCTATCACTGTAGTTATAACACAGGGGTCTCTATCACTGTAGTTATAACACAGGGGTCTCTATCACTATAGTTATAACACAGGGGTCTCTATCACTGTAGTTATAACACAGGGGTCTCTATCACTGTAGTTATAACACAGAAGTTTCTATCACTGTAGTTATAACACAGAGGTCTCTATCACTGTAGTTATAACACAGAGGTCTCTATCACTGTAGTTATAACACAGAGGTCTCTATCACTGTAGTTATAACACAGAGGTCTCTATCACTGTAGTTATAACACAGAGGTCTCTATCACTGTAGTTATAACACAGAGGTCTCTATCACTGTAGTTATAACACAGGGGTCTCTATCACAGTTATAACACAGAGGTCTCTATCACTGTAGTTATAACACAGGGGTCTCTATCACTGTAGTTATAACACAGAGGTCTCTATCACTGTAGTTATAACACAGGGGTCTCTATCACTGTAGTTATAACACAGAGGTCTCTATCACTGTAGTTATAACACAGGGGTCTCTATCACTGTAGTTATAACACAGAGGTCTCTATCACTATAGTTATAACACAGGGGTCTCTATCACTGTAGTTATAACACAGAGGTCTCTATCACTGTAGTTATAACACAGAGGTCTCTATCACTGTAGTTATAACACAGGGGTCTCTATCACTGTAGTTATAACACAGGGGTCTCTATCACTGTAGTTATAACACAGGGGTCTCTATCACTGTAGTTATAACACAGGTCTCTATCACTGTAGTTATAACACAGAGGTCTCTATCACTGTAGTTATAACACAGAGGTCTCTATCACTGTAGTTATAACACAGAGGTCTCTATCACTGTAGTTATAACACAGAGGTCTCTATCACTGTAGTTATAACACAGGGGTCTCTATCACTGTAGTTATAACACAGAGGTCTCTATCACTGTAGTTATAACACAGAGGTCTCTATCACTGTAGTTATAACACAGAGGTCTCTATCACTGTAGTTATAACACAGAGGTCTCTATCACTGTAGTTATAACACAGAGGTCTCTATCACTGTAGTTATAACACAGGGGTCTCTATCACTGTAGTTATAACACAGAGGTCTCTATCACTGTAGTTATAACACAGAGGTCTCTATCACTGTAGTTATAACACAGAGGGTATCACTCTATCACTGTAGTTATAACACAGGGGTCTCTATCACTGTAGTTATAACACAGGGGTCTCTATCACTGTAGTTATAACACAGGGGTCTCTATCACTGTAGTTATAACACAGGGGTCTCTATCACTGTAGTTATAACACAGAGGTCTCTATCACTGTAGTTATAACACAGGGGTCTCTATCACTGTAGTTATAACACAGAGGTCTCTATCACTATAGTTATAACACAGGGGTCTCTATCACTGTAGTTATAACACAGAGGTCTCTATCACTGTAGTTATAACACAGAAGTTTCTATCTCTGTAGTTATAACACAGAAGTTTCTATCTCTGTAGTTATAACACAGAGGTCTCTATCACTATAGTTATAACACAGGGGTCTCTATCACTGTAGTTATAACACAGGTATGATGATGTTTATGACATTTGACAAAAAGAAGTTACTAAATATTTTCTCACTAGTAATGGTTGTATAGCAGCCAGCTCTTGATGTGACTTGATTTGTTCCGGACGTCTGGGCCACTGATATTGTGGTATGCCGATTTGATTGTTAGCTCAATTTCACATTTTATTAAAGATGGTTAAAACCATCTGTCGGTATACTCTTTATATGAATTTTCATTGTAGTAGGTCGCCTTAGACTTTCTGTAACTTGTGAAGTGTTCAGTAGTTATGGCTGTCTTGTAGTGCAATCGGGGGATTATTTATACCTATGGCTGAAAAGTCCTAGAAATACAAGCATTTTCACACGATATGATACTGCCAACATTTCCAAGGACTCTTCTAGTCAATATTCCTCAGTCAATCCAGAGAACAGACATCAGTTTTTGGCAGTGTCCAGGCCTGATCTGCCTGATTCACCTAAAAACAATGGGCCGGAGCTTTTTACGTTGAGCATCTGTAGTAACCGGATCAAAAAAAGAAACAAAGTGTTTTTTTATAGTCAAGTCAGGGATGTATTTGATACAAAATAATACAGTGATGTAAAATCTGTCATCGTTTGTGTTATTGTACAACTTTTAACATGCCAACAAATGTTCTACATATTCTGTATAAACTAGTACAAGTCACACTTGGGTTGTAAAAGACTTCTAGATTCAAGAATATTTATGACATTGTAAGTATCGGAGTATCAGATTTTAAAAATGTGTAACATCATCCAGACTGAATGTTGAATACATATATATATCCTGAACATCATTTACATATTTTGAAGTGCTTGGATCAATATAACAGTTGTGTTATGGAAATAAAGACCTTGAACTTTCAATATACTTGTTGAATCAATACCAAACTTATGATTTAAAAAAAATTTCAAGCATCTGCCGGTGGCACTATTTGAAAAATAGTGGAATCATGATGCATGCCCAAAGACCTGGTAGTGTTATTTGATATGATTTTACCATTTTAAAATTCCAATGAATGGTTGATGATTCTAGGATTCAAAAGGCTTCAAGTATGATCCAGATGAAATGATATTTTAAATCTATTGTTACAGAATGAAAAAAAAACCCCAGATGTTTTGTTGTTTTCTTTCACCAGTTGGCAAGGATATTACATTGAAATCAAAGGTGTTTGGAGATATCTATAACACCAAAAACCAGAAATCTGCATCTGTAGTTCTTGTCAAGATCAGAAAATGTGTGATTTACAGAGAATGTGATTCATGTGTGTGTCTGTGAGAAGGAGAACACTGCCTACTGCTGATATGGTGACCATTCTTTACAGTACAGGGCGTCTAATATAGCTGCACAGAGACCAAAGATACACTGTAGCATTATAAAATCTGTCTGCAGTACTTCAAGAACTTTGATTTAAAAAAAACTAAAATTTGCAGTAAACTGATACCAACATTTCAACACTAAACTTTATTATTTTTACAACAATTGCAAAACAAGTTCCTCCAACTTATGGAAGCGTGGGAGGGGTCTTACTGTAGGGGGAAACCAGAGTACAAAGGGAAAACCAGAGTACAAAGGGGAAAACCGGAGTACAAAGGGGAAGGGAAAACCCATACCCATATCTTTTCACGTCTGTGCGGTAATCAAACTCCGCACATCTAGGTGAAAGGCGACTGAGCCATCTGACCAATAGTCTTTTTATTAGATTACATATATAAATAAAACTTTGTTATTACCGGGGTCTTTTTATTTATGTTTCAGGGTAGCAGCTTCATCTGGGAAGACTTCACCAGTAAAGCAGCCAAGCTGCACTCTTCCCTTAAGTAAGTTACATAAGACCGTTGACTCCTGTCAAACTATTATCACTATCCATACTGCTAATCTCACTGACTGTTACAGATATCTTGTTCTGACTGTTACAGATATCTTGTTCTGACTGTTACATATATCTTGTTCTGTTCTGACTGTTACAGATATCTTGTTCTGACTGTTACAGATATCTTGTTCTGACTGTTACTGATATCTTGTTCTGACTGTTACAGATATCTTGTTCTGACTGTTACAGATATCTTGTTCTGACTGTTACAGATATCTTGTTCTGACTGTTACATATATCTTGTTCTGTTCTGACTGTTACAGATATCTTGTTGTGACTGTTACAGATATCTTGTTCTGACTGTTACAGATATCTTGTTCTGACTGTTACAGATATCTTGTTCTGACTGTTACAGATATCTTGTTCTGACTGTTACAGATATCTTGTTCTGACTGTTACAGATATCTTGTTCTGACTGTTACAGATATCTTGTTCTGTTCTGACTGTTACTGATATCTTGTTCTGACTGTTACTGATATCTTGTGCTGTTCTGACTGCTACTGATATCTTGTTATGACTGTTACAGATATCTTGTTCTGACTGTTACAGATATCTTGTTCTGTTCTGACTGTTACAGATATCTTGTTCTGACTGTTACAGATATCCTGTTCTGACTGTTACATATATCTTGTTCTGACTGTTACAGATATCTTGTTCTGTTGTTCTGTTCTGACTGTTACAGATATCTTGTTCTGACTGTTACAGATATCTTGTTCTGACTGTTACAGATATCTTGTTCTGACTGTTACAGATATCTTGTTCTGACTGTTACAGATATCTCGTTCTGACTGTTACAGATATCTTGTTCTGACTGTTACTGATATCTTGTGCTGTTCTGACTGCTACTGATATCTTGTTATGACTGTTACAGATATCTTGTTCTGACTGTTACAGATATCTTGTTCTGACTGTTACAGATATCTTGTTCTGACTGTTACAGATATCTTGTTCTGACTGTTACAGATATCTTGTTCTGTTCTGACTGTTACAGATATCTTGTTCTGACTGTTACAGATATCCTGTTCTGACTGTTACATATATCTTGTTCTGACTGTTACAGATATCTTGTTCTGTTCTGACTGTTACAGATATCTTGTTCTGTTCTGACTGTTACAGATATCTTGTTCTGACTGTTACAGATATCTTGTTGTGACTGTTACAGATATCTTGTTGTGACTGTTACAGATATCTTGTTCTGACTGTTACAGATATCTTGTTCTGTTCTGACTGTTACAGATATCTTGTTCTGACTGTTACAGATATCTTGTTCTGACTGTTACAGATATCTTGTTCTGTTCTGACTGTTACAGATACTGACTGTTACAGATATCTTGTTCTGACTGTTACAGATATCTTGTTCTGACTGTTACAGATATCTTGTTCTGACTGTTACTGATATCTTGTTCTGACTGTTACAGATATCTTGTTCTGACTGTTACAGATATCTTGTTCTGTTCTGACTGTTACAGATATCTTGTTCTGACTGTTACAGATATCTTGTTCTGACTGTTACAGATATCTTGTTCTGTTCTGACTGTTACAGATATCTTGTTCTGTTCTGACTGTTACAGATATCTTGTTCTGACTGTTACAGATATCTTGTTCTGACTGTTACTGATATCTTGTTCTGACTGTTACTGATATCTTGTGCTGTTCTGACTGCTACTGATATCTTGTTATGACTGTTACAGATATCTTGTTCTGACTGTTACAGATATCTTGTTCTGACTGTTACAGATATCTTACTGTTCTGACTGTTACAGATATCTTCTGTTCTCTGATATCGTGTTCTGACTGTTACAGATATCTTGTTCTGACTGTTACAGATATCTTGTTCTGACTGTTACATATATCTTGTTCTGACTGTTACAGATATCTTGTTCTGACTGTTACAGATATCTTGTTCTGACTGTTACAGATATCTTGTTCTGACTGTTACAGATATCTTGTTCTGACTGTTACAGATATCTTGTTCTGACTGTTACAGATATCTTGTTCTGACTGTTACAGATATCTTGTTCTACAGATACTGTTACAGATACTGTTTGACTGTTACAGATATCTTGTTCTGACTGTTACAGATATATACAGATATCTTGTTCTGTTCTGACTGTTACAGATATCTTGTTCTGACTGTTACAGATATCTTGTTCTGACTGTTACAGATATGTTACAGATATCTTGTTCTGACTGTTACAGATATCTTGTTCTGACTGTTACAGATATCTTGTTCTGACTGTTACAGATATCTTGTTCTGACTGTTACAGATATCTTGTTCTGACTGTTACAGATATCTTGTTCTGACTGTTACAGATATCTCTTGACTGTTACAGATATCTTGTTCTGACTGTTACAGATATCTTGTTCTGTTCTGACTGTTACTGATATCTTGTTCTGACTGTTACAGATATCTTGTTCTGACTGTTACAGATATCTTGTTCTGACTGTTACAGATATCTTGTTCTGACTGTTACAGATATCTTGTTCTGTTCTGACTGTTACAGATATCTTGTTCTGACTGTTACAGATATCTTGTTCTGACTGTTACAGATATCTTGTTCTGACTGTTATTCTGACTGTTACAGATATCTTGTTTGTTCTGTTACAGATATCTGTTACTGACTGTTACAGATATCTGTTACAGATATCTGACTGTTCTGACTGTTACAGATATCTTGTTCTGACTGTTACAGATATCTTGTTCTGACTGTTACAGATATCTTGTTCTGACTGTTACAGATATCTTGTTCTGACTGTTACAGATATCTTGTTCTGTTCTGACTGTTACAGATATCTTGTTCTGACTGTTACGGATATCTTGTTCTGTTCTGACTGTTACTGATATCTTGTTCTGACTGTTACAGATATCTCGTTCTGACTGTTACAGATATCTTGTTCTGACTGTTACTGATATCTTGTGCTGACTGTTACAGATATCTTGTTCTCTGTTGATATTCTGACTGTTACAGATATCTTGTTCTGACTGTTACAGATATCTTGTTTTGACTGTTCAGATATCTTGTTCTGACTGTTACAGATATCTTGTTCTGTTCTGACTGTTACAGATATCTTGTTCTGACTGTTACAGATATCTTGTTCTGACTGTTACAGATATCTTGTTCTGACTGTTACAGATATCTTGTTCTGACTGTTACAGATATCTTGTTATGACTGTAACAGATATCTTGTTCTGACTGTTACAGATATCTTGTTCTGACTGTTACAGATATCTTGTTCTGACTGTTACAGATATCTTGTTCTGACTGTTACAGATAAATTGTTCTGAATGTTACAGATATCTTGTTATGACTGTAACAGATATCTTGTTCTGACTGTTACAGATATCTTGTTCTGACTGTTACAGATATCTTGTTCTGACTGTTACAGATATCTTGTTCTGACTGTTACAGATATCTTGTTCTGTTCTGATTGTTACAGATATCTTGTTCTGACTGTTACAGATATGACTGTTACAGATATCTTGTTCTGACTGTTCTGACTGTTACAGATATCTTGTTCTGTTCTGACTGTTACAGATATCTTGTTCTGACTGTTACAGATATCTTGTTCTGACTGTTACAGATATGACTGTTACTTGTTCTGCTGACTGTTACAGATATCTTGTTCTGTTCTGACTGTTACAGATATCTTGTTCTGACTGTTACAGATATCTTGTTCTGTTCTGACTGTTACAGATATCTTGTTCTGACTGTTACAGATATCCTGTTCTGACTGTTACAGATATCTTGTTCTGACTGTTACGGATATCTTGTTCTGTTCTGACTGTTACAGATATCTTGTTCTGACTGTTACTGATATCTTGTTCTGACTGTTACTCGTTCTGACTGTTACAGATATCTTGTTCTGACTGTTACTGATATCTTGTTCTGACTGTTACAGATATCTTGTTCTGACTGTTACAGATATCTTGTTCTGACTGTTACAGATATCTTGTTCTGTTCTGACTGTTACAGATATCTTGTTCTGTTCTGACTGTTACAGATATCTGTTACAGATATCTTGTTCTGACTGTTACAGATATCTTGTTCTGACTGTTACGGATATCTTGTTCTGTTCTGACTGTTACAGATATCTTGTTCTGACTGTTACTGATATCTTGTTCTGACTGTTACAGATATCTCGTTCTGACTGTTACAGATATCTTGTTCTGACTGTTACTGATATCTTGTTCTGTTCTGACTGTTACTGATATCTTGTTCTGACTGTTACAGATATCTTGTTCTGACTGTTACAGATATCTTGTTCTGACTGTTACAGATATCTTGTTCTGACTGTTACTGATATCTTGTTCTGTTCTGACTGTTACAGATATCTTGTTCTGGTCTGACTTTTACAGATATCTTGTTATGTTCTGACTGTTACAGATATCTTGTTCTGACTTGTTCTGTTCTGACTGTAACAGATATCTTGTTCTGACTGTTACAGATATCTTGTTCTGACTGTTACAGATATCTTGTTCTGACTGTTACAGATATCTGTTGACTGTTACAGATATCTTGTTCTGACTGTTACAGATATCTTGTTCTGACTGTTACAGATATCTTGTTCTGATCTGACTGTTACAGATATCTTGTTATGACTGTTACAGATATCTTGTTCTGACTGTTACAGATATCTTGTTCTGACTGTTACAGATATCTTGTTCTGACTGTTACAGATATCTTGTTCTGTTCTGACTGTTACAGATATCTTGTTCTGTTCTGATTGTTACAGATATCTTGTTCTGACTGTTACAGATATCTTGTTCTGTTCTGACTGTTACAGATATCTTGTTCTGTTCTGACTGTTACAGATATCTTGTTCTGACTGTTACAGATATCTTGTTCTGACTGTTACAGATATCTTGTTCTGACTGTTACAGATATCTTGTTCTGACTGTTACAGATATCTTGTTCTGTTCTGACTGTTACAGATATCTTGTTCTGACTGTTACAGATATCTTGTTCTGTTCTGACTGTTACAGATATCTTGTTCTGACTGTTACAGATATCTTGTTCTGTTCTGACTGTTACAGATATCTTGTTCTGTTCTGACTGTTACAGATATCTTGTTCTGACTGTTACAGATATCTTGTTCTGACTGTTACAGATATCTTGTTCTGACTGTTACAGATATCTTGTTCTGTTTACAGAGCCACACTAGGAGCTATTGGTGCATTTCTGGATGCCTTCCAGAAGGTCGCTGACATGGCAACAGGATCAAGAGGTAACTCAATAAATTTCAACTTTTTTTAACTTCCTAAATCTGGTTTTTCCTGTAAGTTATAAAGGCATGTTGTTGCTGTATATATATTAGATGATGCCCAATCCTTATAAATCATCAATCAATTATAGTTACATTAAAAAACAACTATGTGTTAAACAGTACATGTTAGAAAGTAATCAGAAGGCATGATATACATTTTGATATTTTAGCCAAGCATCTGTACTTTTGATTTTGGGATTGATCAGGAAAAAACATAATGGCTGACTGGCGGTATCTCTAAATAAGACATATTGTTAGTGCTATTTCTTGAAATATGGTTTTTTTTTAGATTTCATTTAAAATTTCCCCTTGGTCCCTGGATTTTGAGTTTTGGACTGATCAGAACAACAAAATGGCTGAGAGGCAACCATCTTTGATTTGAGACTAAAAGATATCCAGTGCTATTACTTATCAGTTTTATATAATATAGAGAATATAGAACAGTTTTTAATAAACAAATACAGATCAAACAAATTTTATATAATATAGAGAATGTAGTGCAGCTTTTAATAAACAAATACAGATCAAACAATGCTGGGTGCCTTTAGTATCCCTTGACAGAGATTTAACTAAATAAGGAACCATTTCACAGTCAAGATGTTACCATGGCAACCATAATCTTATTACCATCCTGCTATCGAAGACTATTGAGATAATACTTTTACCATCAAGTGAATTGTGTATGGTGATCTAGCAGTCCTTAATAAAATATGGTAGAATCAAATGATTTTAATGGATGGAAGTACCATTAGGTGTTTTACCAAAATTGTGAATTCCAAGGCCACAGGGTCTCATATTTCATCCTGAACAGGTGAAGTTTACTAAAGATTTTATAGAAAAATTGCAGTTTTGAGCATAATGCTTATTTTCCATTGGAAATAACTTGGTAAAAATTCTTACATTAAGATGACAGTTTTGATGGTATGTAGGTATTGACACTGGCTTACTATCATCAATGTCACAATTTCTGTTTCATGACACTTGAAATCTATGCTTTAACCTTTATATTCAATATTGTTTATCTCATGTGACTGTCAAGGCGGCTCAAGGGCTCTTTGGTCGAAATGACCGTCATGTTTCATCCCTCATTCTGCACATTCATTTTAACTTTTCTGATATATAACTTCTCCGGTAATACTTTTACTGATGTTATTCAGTTGAAACTCATTAGGAATCCAAGATGGCTACCATCTTAAAAAAGACATTTCGAACCTCATCTTTAGTTCCATAAGTGCTGTATGTTGAGCTGAAATTTTTTCGAAAATGTTTAGGAACTGAATTAAGCTATGTTTCTGTTTTTGTTACCTCAACTGTTACAATACAGGAGCTGTTTTAGTCATATGTCTTTGTATTAAGTTGATGTTAAGGCCTATTTCTGATTTCAAGGTATACTTGTTATCATAGCTGTAAGTAAAGGTTGCTAGCCATTGTATAGGATTGTTATATTTTTCTCTTTGTGTCTTTTCAGGAGCTACCAAGGATATTGGCTCAGCTTTGACAAGACTTTGTATGCGCCACAGAACGATAGAGACAAAGCTTAGGAGTCTGACTATGTGAGTGTCAAGGAATATTCATATCCAATGTTTGGTGACATGTCTTTTGGCATTACTTCTTATTTCTTTAACTGTTCTTGGCATTTAGTTTTGTTGGTGTTGATCTGAATGTGATCACCTTCGAGTATCTGTGGGTTTTTGTGTGGCCTGCCAAAGGCAACATATAGGTATTATGGCAATCTCAAACTTCATACAGTGCTTCCTCACCAAAAGTGTTTTTGTGATGATTGCTTTCAGCACTGATTGTCAAAGGTCAAGGTCACTGTTATATAAATAGAAAATTTGTTTTTTGCAATTAAATTCAGTTCCCTTTGTCCGATCAATCTCAAACTTACTTATCATAAATGCTTGCTTGGGAGATTGCTTTTTTGGTTCAGATGCCAAAGGTCAAGGTCACTGTTACTATAAATAGGAATTTATTTTTTTCATGGTAACTTAGTTCCCAATCTTTGGCCAATCAACATCAAACTTCATACAGTGCTTCCTAACCAAAAGTGCTTTTGTGATTGCTTTTGAGGTTTTTAGGTCAAAGGTTGAGGACAGTGTTACCATATAAAGGAGATTGGTTTTCATGTGATAATTGAGGTTTCTTTTGGACAATTTCACTCAAACTTCATACAGTGCTTCCTCACCAAACGGGCTTGCTTGGGATTGCTTTTCAGATTTGAAGGTCAAAGGTCAAGGTCACTAACTGCAAATAGAAAATTTATTTTCGTACAATAATCTTGCTAAAGATACTTTCTTGGAATTGCTTTTCACATCAAAAGGTCAAAGGTTTTCGTTGGACAATCAAATGATATACTGCAAATGACATTTATTTTCCTGCTTTTACATCTACACATAACAAATATTGGTATATATACACTGTATTTTGAAATCATTTCAAATAAATGTGTTAATATCTGTTACTATCTTTAAAAATCAGAATTTAAATAAAAACATTATGTTGTGTTAATATGGAAAATCAGGTCCCTCCAATGCTACACATTTACTCCGCAAGTTTACTCCTCACATCCCAAACAAATGAACAGATTACATAAATGGGATAAAAACAATGAATATCTATGGCTATTGTTCCATGAAACTCCAGAAACCTCGCTGGGCAGGCGACACATTTACTTCTGTGGAATTCTTGTGTTGGTGTTGACCTGATTGTAACTACTCTCTAGTATCTGGTGGTTTTGTTGTTGTTTAACTGATTGTGAGTACTGACTAGAATTTTTGTTGTTTAACTGATTGTGAGTACTGACAAGAATCCTTGTTGTTTAACTGATTGTGAGTACTGACTAGAATTTTTGTTGTTTAACTGATTGTGAGTACTGACTAGAATCCTTGTTGTTTAACTGATTGTGAGTACTGACTAGAATCCTTGTTGTTGTTTAACTGATTGTGAGTACTGACTAGAATCCTTGTTGTTGTTTAACTGATTGTGAGTACTGACTAGAATTTTTGTTGTTTAACTGATTGTGAGTACTGACTAGAATCCTTGTTGTTGTTTAACTGATTGTGAGTACTGACAAGAATCCTTGTTGTTGTTTAACTGATTGTGAGTACTGACTAGAATCCTTGTTGTTGTTTAACTGATTGTGAGTACTGACTAGAATCCTTGTTGTTTAACTGATTGTGAGTACTGACTAGAATCCTTGTCGTTTAACTGATTGTGAGTACTGACTAGAATCCTTGTTGTTGTTTAACTGATTGTGAGTACTGACTAGAATCCTTGTTGTTGTTTAACTGATTGTGAGTACTGACTAGAATCCTTGTTGTTGTTTAACTGATTGTGAGTACTGACTAGAATCCTTGTTGTTGTTTAACTGATTGTGAGTACTGACTAGAATCCTTGTTGTTGTTTAACTGATTGTGAGTACTGACTAGAATCCTTGTTGTTGTTTAACTGATTGTGAGTACTGACTAGAATCCTTGTTGTTTAACTGATTGTGAGTACTGACTAGAATCCTTGTTGTTGTTTAACTGATTGTGAGTACTGACTAGAATCCTTGTTGTTGTTTAACTGATTGTGAGTACTGACTAGAATCCTTGTTGTTGTTTAACTGATTGTGAGTACTGACTAGAATCCTTGTTGTTGTTTAACTGATTGTGAGTACTGACTAGAATCCTTGTTGTTGTTTAACTGATTGTGAGTACTGACTAGAATCCTTGTTGTTGTTTAACTGATTGTGAGTACTGACTAGAATCCTTGTTGTTGTTTAACTGATTGTGAGTACTGACTAGAATCCTTGTTGTTGTTTAACTGATTGTGAGTACTGACTAGAATCCTTGTTGTTGTTTAACTGATTGTGAGTACTGACTAGAATCCTTGTTGTTGTTTAACTGATTGTGAGTACTGACTAGAATCCTTGTTGTTGTTTAACTGATTGTGAGTACTGACTAGAATCCTTGATGTTGTTTAACTGATTGTGAGTACTGACTAGAATCCTTGATGTTGTTTAACTGATTGTGAGTACTGACTAGAATCCTTGTTGTTGTTTAACTGATTGTGAGTACTGACTAGAATCCTTGTTGTTGTTTAACTGATTGTGAGTACTGGCTAGAATCCTTGTTGTTTAACTGATTGTGAGTACTGACTAGAATCCTTGTTGTTTAACTGATTGTGAATACTGACTAGAATCCTTGTTGTTGTTTAACTGATTGTGAGTACTGACTAGAATCCTTGTTGTTGTTTAACTGATTGTGAGTACTGACTAGAATCCTTGTTGTTGTTTAACTGATTGTGAGTACTGACTAGAATCCTTGTTGTTTAACTGATTGTGAGTACTGACTAGAATCCTTGTTGTTGTTTAACTGATTGTGAGTACTGACTAGAATCCTTGTTGTTGTTTAACTGATTGTGAGTACTGACTAGAATCCTTGTTGTTGTTTAACTGATTGTGAGTACTGACTAGAATCCTTGTTGTTGTTTAACTGATTGTGAGTACTGACTAGAATCCTTGATGTTGTTTAACTGATTGTGAGTACTGACTAGAATCCTTGTTGTTGTTTAACTGATTGTGAGTACTGACTAGAATCCTTGTTGTTGTTTAACTGATTGTGAGTACTGGCTAGAATCCTTGTTGTTGTTTAACTGATTGTGAGTACTGACTAGAATCCTTGTTGTTGTTTAACTGATTGTGAGTACTGACTAGAATCCTTGTTGTTGTTTAACTGATTGTGAGTACTGACTAGAATCCTTGTTGTTGTTTAACTGATTGTGAGTACTGACTAGAATCCTTGTTGTTGTTTAACTGATTGTGAGTACTGACTAGAATCCTTGTTGTTGTTTAACTGATTGTGAGTACTGACTAGAATCCTTGTTGTTTAACTGATTGTGAGTACTGACTAGAATCCTTGTTGTTGTTTAACTGATTGTGAGTACTGACTAGAATCCTTGTTGTTTAACTGATTGTGAGTACTGACTAGAATCCTTGTTGTTGTTTAACTGATTGTGAGCACTGACTAGAATCCTTGTTGTTTAACTGATTGTGAGTACTGACTAGAATCCTTGTTGTTTAACTGATTGTGAGTACTGACTAGAATCCTTGTTGTTTAACTGATTGTGAGTACTGACTAGAATCCTTGTTGTTTAACTGATTGTGAGTACTGACTAGAATCCTTGTTGAATCCTTGTTGTTTAACTGATTGTGAATACTGACTAGAATCCTTGTTGTTGTTTAACTGATTGTGAGTACTGACTAGAATCCTTGTTGTTGTTTAACTGATTGTGAGTACTGACTAGAATCCTTGTTGTTTAACTGATTGTGAGTACTGACTAGAATCCTTGTTGTTGTTTAACTGATTGTGAGTACTGACTAGAATCCTTGTTGTTTAACTGATTGTGAGTACTGACTAGAATCCTTGTTGTTGTTTAACTGATTGTGAGTACTGACTAGAATCCTTGTTGTTTAACTGATTGTTTACTGACTAGAATCCTTGTTGTTGTTTAAGTACTGACTAGAATCCTTGTTGTTTAACTGATTGTGAGTACTGACTAGAATCCTTGTTGTTGTTTAACTGATTGTGAGTACTGACTAGAATCCTTGTTGTTGTTTAACTGATTGTGAGTACTGACTAGAATCCTTGTTGTTGTTTAACTGATTGTGAGTACTGACTAGAATCCTTGTTGTTGTTTAACTGATTGTGAGTACTGACTAGAATCCTTGTTGTTGTTTAACTGATTGTGAGTACTGGCTAGAATCCTGACTAGAATCCTTGTTGTTTATCTGATTGTGAGTACTGACTAGAATTTTTGTTGTTTAACTGATTGTGAGTACTGACTAGAATCCTTGTTGTTGTTTAACTGATTGTGAGTACTGACTAGAATCCTTGTTGTTGTTTAACTGATTGTGAGTACTGACTAGAATCCTTGTTGTTGTTTAACTGATTGTGAGTACTGACTAGAATCCTTGTTGTTGTTTAACTGATTGTGAGTACTGACTAGAATCCTTGTTGTTGTTTAACTGATTGTGAGTACTGACAAGAATCCTTGTTGTTGTTTAACTGATTGTGAGTACTAGAACCCTTGTTGTTGTTTAACTGATTGTGAGTACCTAGAATCCTTGTTGTTTAACTGATTGTGAGTACTGACTAGAATCCTTGTTGTTTAACTGATTGTGTGTTCTGACTTGAATCCTTGTTGTTGTTTAACTGATTGTGAGCACTGACTAGAATCCTTGTTGTTTAACTGATTGTGAGTACTGACTAGAATCCTTGTCGTTTAACTGATTGTGAGTACTGACTAGAATCCTTGTTGTTGTTTAACTGATTGTGAGTACTGACTAGAATCCTTGTTGTTGTTTAACTGATTGTGAGTACTGACTAGAATCCTTGTTGTTTAACTGATTGTGAGTACTGACTAGAATCCTTGTTGTTGTTTAACTGATTGTGAGTACTGACTAGAATCCTTGTTGTTGTTTAACTGATTGAATCCTTGTTGTTGTTTAACTGATTGTGAGCACTGACTAGAATCCTTGTTGTTGTTTAACTGATTGTGAGTACTGACTAGAATCCTTGTTGTTTAACTGATTGTGAGTACTGACTAGAATCCTTGTTGTTTAACTGATTGTGAGTACTGACTAGAATCCTTGTTGTTTAACTGATTGTGAGTACTGACTAGAATCCTTGTTGTTTAACTGATTGTGAGTACTGACTAGAATCCTTGTTGTTGTTTAACTGATTGTGAGTACTGACTAGAATCCTTGTTGTTTAACTGATTGTGAGTACTGACTAGAATCCTTGTTGTTTAACTGATTGTGAGTACTGACTAGAATCCTTGTTGTTGTTTAACTGATTGTGAGTACTGACTAGAATCCTTGTTGTTGTTTAACTGATTGTGAGTACTGACTAGAATCCTTGTTGTTTAACTGATTGTGAGTACTGACTAAAATCCTTGTTGTTTAACTGATTGTGAGTACTGACTAAAATCCTTGTTGTTTAACTGATTGTGAGTACTGGCTAGAATCCTTGTTGTTGTTTAACTGATTGTGAGTACTGACTAGAATCCTTGTTGTTGTTTAACTGATTGTGAGTACTGACTAGAATCCTTGTTGTTGTTTAACTGATTGTGAGTACTGACTAGAATCCTTGTTGTTTAACTGATTGTGAGTACTGACTAGAATCCTTGTTGTTTAACTGATTGTGAGTACTGACAAGAATCCTTGTTGTTGTTTAACTGATTGTGAGTACTGACTAGAATCCTTGTTGTTGTTTAACTGATTGTGAGTACTGACTAGAATCCTTGTTGTTTAACTGACTGTGAGTACTGTCTTGAATTTTTGTAGTTTTTTCTGTAATTTTGAGAATCTTTAATTATAAAAGTGTGTGTTTGTTTTATTGCTAGATATCTAAGTAAGAATTTTAATACTCTGCAGGTCAATTATCGACAACTTGGTGAACCCTCTGCAGGAAAAAGGTGAAGACTGGAAGAAAACAGTTGCACAACTAGATAAAGAACATGCGAAGGGTAGGTAGGATTAAAAGGTGACCAGCATTGATAGGAACTAGCTTTGGGGTAGTACAGAGAACTCTCCTAGTAGAGATGTTTTTGCTTTACCCAAAAGTTCATCCTTTTTCTGGTTCACATTTAGGTCCCCTAGAAGGAAGCATCAGGAAGTGTGGATACATTATGTCTGTTGGTAAACAATTGACATTTTTAACTTCTCAAACCTGTGAACCACTTTCATCTAATTTTTTCGATCACATTTTCTTCATCATGTTGGATATCATGAAGAAGAAACCATACTTGGGATCTATTTTGATGGAATTAGATACAAAGTTTTTAGTGTAATACATATTTAACAAGTCACATAATTATTGTGTAGTGTTGACAAAGTTGGTCACACTCATTTCTCCCAATGTTCTGATTTCTGAAAGTTGACAGAAATGTGCTTCAATATCAAGTTATACAGGCCTAATGGACCTCTTGTTTTCCTGAATCTTTACTTACATTATATGTCATTAATGAATTTGTTTTTGACTCCAGAATACAAACGTGCCAGACAAGAAATAAAGAAGGCTGCCTCAGACACAATGCGATTACAGAAAAAAGTGAAAAAGAGTACAGGTAACTAACTAGGAATTCCTTAATTCTGTAGTATAGACCAGATATAGCTTAGTATTCCTTAATTCTGTAATACAGACCAGATATAGCTTAGTATTCCTTAATTCTGTAATATAGACCAGATATAGCTTAGAATTCCTTAATTCTGTAATATAGACCAGATATAGCTTAGAATTCCTTAATTCTGTAATATAGACCAGATATAGCTTAGTATTCCTTAATTCTGTGACATAGACCATATATAGCTTAGAATTCCTTAATTCTGTAATATAGACCAGATATAGCTTAGAATTCCTTAATTCTGTAATATAGACCAGATATAGCTTAGAATTCCTTAATTCTGTAATATAGACCAGATATAGCTAAGAATTCCTTAATTCTGTAATATAGACCAGATATAGCTTAGAATTCCTTAATTCTGTAATATAGACCAGATATAGCTTAGAATTCCTTAATTCTGTAATATAGACCAGATATAGCTTAGAATTCCTTAATTCTGTAATATAGACCAGATATAGCTTAGTATTCCTTAATTCTGTAATATAGACCAGATATAGCTAGAATTCCCTTAATTCTGTAATATAGACCAGATATAGCTTAGAATTCCTTAATTCTGTAAGACCAGATATAGACCATTCTGTAATATAGCAGATATAGCTTAGTATTCCTTAATTCTGTAATATAGACCAGATATAGCTTAGAATTCCTTAATTCTGTGACATAGACCAGATATAGCTAAGAATTCCTTAATTCTGTGATATAGACCAGATATAGCTTAGTATTCCTTAATTCTGTAATAATAGAATTCCTTAATTCTGATATAGACCAGATATAGCTTAGAATTCCTTAATTCTGTAATATAGACCAGATATAGCTTAGAATTCCCTTAATTTTGTAATGTAGACCAGATATAGCTTAGTATTCCTTAATTCTGTAATATAGACCAGATATAGCTTAGAATTCCTTAATTCTGTAATATAGACCAGAAATATAGATTCCTTAATTCTGTAATATAGACCAGATATAGCTTAGAATTCCTTAATTCTATAATATAGACCAGATATAGCTTAGAATTCCCTTAATTCTGTAATATAGACCAGATATAGCTTAGAATTCCTTAATTCTGTAATATAGACCAGATATAGCTAAGAATTCCTTAATTCTGTAATATAGACCAGATATAGCTTAGAATTCCTTAATTATGTAATATAGAGCAGATAAAGTTCAGAATTAATTTTTCTTTAATATATGTACCACAGTGAAGGGTAGTGGAGTGGCTATGTTATAGTGTGTACAGTGAAGGGTATTGTGTCTATGTTATAGTGGGGACAGTGAAGGGTATTGTGTCTATGTTATAGTGGGGACAGTGAAGGGTATTGTATCTATGTTATAGTGTTGACAGTGAAGGGTATTGTGTCTGTGTTATAGTGGGGACAGTGAAGGGTATTGTGTCTATGTTATAGTGGGGACAGTGAAGGGTATTGTGTCTATGTTATAGTGTTGACAGTGAAGGGTATTGTGTCAATGTTATAGTGTGTACAGTGAAGGGTATTGTGTCTATGTTATAGTGTGTACAGTGAAGGGTATTGTGTCTGTATTATAGTGTGTACAGTGAAGGGTATTGTGTCTATGTTATAGTGGGGACAGTGAAGGGTATTGTGTCTATGTTATAGTGGGGACAGTGAAGGGTAGTGGAGTGGCTATGTTATAGTGGGGACAGTGAACGATATTGTGTCTATGTTATAGTGTTGAAAGTGAAGGGTATTGTGTCTATGTTATAGTGTGTACAGTGAAGGGTATTGTGTCTATGTTATAGTGTTGACAGTGAAGGGTATTGTGTCTATGTTATAGTGTGTACAGTGAAGGATATTGTGTCTATGTTATAGTGTGTACAGTGAAGGGTATTGTGTCTATGTTATAGTGTTGACAGTGAACGGTATTGTGTCTATGTTATAGTGTGTACAGTGAAGGGTATTGTGTCTATGTTATAGTGGGGACAGTGAAGGGTATTGTGTCTATGTTATAGTGGGGACAGTGAAGGGTATTGTGTCTATGTTATAGTGTTGACAGTGAAGGGTATTGTGTGTATGTTATAGTGTGTACAGTGAAGGGTATTGTGTCTATGTTATAGTGTGTACAGTGAAGGGTATTGTGTCTGTATTATAGTGTGTACAGTGAAGGGTATTGTGTCTATGTTATAGTGGGGACAGTGAAGGGTATTGTGTCTATGTTATAGTGGGGACAGTGAAGGGTAGTGGAGTGGCTATGTTATAGTGGGGACAGTGAACGATATTGTGTCTATGTTATAGTGTTGAAAGTGAAGGGTATTGTGTCTATGTTATAGTGTGTACAGTGAAGGGTATTGTGTCTATGTTATAGTGTTGACAGTGAAGGGTATTGTGTCTATGTTATAGTGTGTACAGTGAAGGATATTGTGTCTATGTTATAGTGTGTACAGTGAAGGGTATTGTGTCTATGTTATAGTGTTGACAGTGAACGGTATTGTGTCTATGTTATAGTGTGTACAGTGAAGGGTATTGTGTCTATGTTATAGTGGGGACAGTGAAGGGTATTGTGTCTATGTTATGTTGGGGACAGTGAAGGGTATTGTGTCTATGTTATAGTGGGGACAGTGAAGGGTATTGTGTCTATGTTACAGTGTTAACAGTGAAGGGAATTGTGTCTGTTATTTTTATTTTCACTTTTATTTTCAGTGAAAAATGAAATGCAACTGAAGCTTGACAGTGCCATGCAAGATGTGAATGACAAATACTTGCTGTTAGAGGAGACAGAAAAAAATGCTGTACGGACGGCTCTCATTGAGGAGCGAGGGCGCTTCTGCCTCTTCATCAGTTGTTTGCGGCCGTTTGTGGTAATTATTTCCAAATTACACTTAAGAGTACAGTATAAGTCTATTTTTAGAAGTTTTGAGTTCCCTAAGTGTACAGTATAAGTCTATTTTTAGAAGTTTTGAGTTCCCTACTGATAAATTTTGATGTTGGCTATAACCTCCTGTAGGTAAATCTAAAGCCTTTGGTATAGGTTCTTAATGGTGTCCACTGATACCAATACTTTACATAGGAGTTCTTTAAGAAGTTAACATTAAGGTTTCAGAGTGAAACTGGCAAATCATTTTCATTTCATCAGATAGTTCACATCACTCTTGTGTCGTCCATCTCTCATCCATCCATCAAAATTGGATATTAGCTAAAAAACTAAATTTTAAAGTTTAAAAAATCTTATTTTTGATAACCAAGGGTCCCTGGTTACTAATATTAGACCATTAGTACCCTGGGTGGCTGACTACTTAGTTTGTTCAAATGAATGTTATTGACCTTTTCTTAATATCTCAAGGGTCAAATGTCTAAAGAAATCTTCAAACAACTTCTGAATAACCAAAAGATACATACATAAACTTTCTATTCAAATGAATCAAAAGACCTAGGGTGCTGATATTGGGCCTGTAGCATGCTGGGATAAAGGGCCACCAGGGTGCTGATATTGGGCCTGTAGCATGCTGGGATAAAGGGCTACCAGATTAGTCAAAATGAATGACTTTGACCCACTTTCAAGGTCACAGGTGTCAAATATGTCAAAATGTTTAAAAGACTTCTTCTCAATGACCTTAAGACCCAGGGTGTTGATATTGGACCGGTTGCATGCTTGGATGGAGAGTTACTAAGCCTACTCTAAATGAATGACCATGACAATTTTTCAAGGTCAATATTGTCACAGGGGTCGGTTTTTTTTTTTTTTTTTTTTTTTTTTTACTTTTTACATATTTCAAGATGCAATTTTTTAATTGAAGCTTTCTTAGTAACTAAGAGGTGGAGGATTATAATAATGGGCCAGTAGAACATCTGTATGTATACATCTTGGCTGTGTAGATACAGGGTCTGCAGCAACAAATTTTAAATGTATTTTTAGCTCTCCTCAGATTGTTTGCTGTTCAGATTGCACTATGTCTTGGATTTTGATGTATGAAAGTTTTGTTGTGACTTTTTCTTCAATACTACTGAATGGATCTGTCTCAAATTTCATATGTAGGTTACACTTCACAGTTGGCTGTGCTGTTTTGATTTTTGGACTGATCAGAAAAACAAAATGGATGACATGCAACCATCCTTAGAACTTGCCATATTTATGCAATTTTGAGTAAAAACAGACGAAAGATAATAAAATGATTCTTGATGATGTTTTGATGAGATTTAAACCAAATTTGGTATAATGCATCAATAAGATCTTGGATGACATTGGTCAAAATCCATTATCAACTGGATGACTTTAAAATCTTCAAAATCTTCATATTTTTTTCTTCTCATTAAATAACTTAAATTTTATTGTTAGCTTTGAACCAAATTTGTTTATTGCTTTGCATTAATAGGGTCTCGCCTAAGTTTGATCAAAATCTGTGAACGTTTATGATATGATGTGCCAGAGTTAAAGGACTGAAAATAGAGGATTTCTTCATTTCTGTCAAGTAACTTAAATTTTTACCGTCAGATTTGAAGTTTGGTCAGTGTATCAGTGAGATATTGAATGATACTGGTCAAATTTTGTCAATGTTTCCAGTATTTTCAGGGCTTTAAACATGTTAAAATACATCATTTCAGTTTTGAGATAACTTTCATTTTTATATGCCTGTCAGTAATTTGGTTAAAACATGGTATGGGGTTGTTGTCTGTCTTTAATGTATCAGTATGGCATCCCCTCACACAGTTTCTGAAGATCAAACTTAGTAGGCATCAGTTATTTCACTGGATACAAATTTTTTTTACCTTTACCATTTACATATTGCAAAAAAGCCTTTCAGTTGAATGTCCTAGCCCTTGTATTTGCCTAGTCTTCATGAACAGCCTCCCCTACTGGAAGTAGTTTTTCTGAAATGTATCTTGTTAAAGAGGACACAGATATAACTGTGTGTACCCTTGTTTTATCTTTTGTGGTATTAATTACAGGAACACGAGATAGGCCTGCTAACAGAGATCACACACCTACAGGAAATCATGGACAGCTTATGTTTGGGGGCAAGTGAGCCAGAGAAACTTCCAACCTCCAGTGAGCAGTGCATCATTGACATCAAGGGACAGGACTCCTCCTCCTGGAATTTCCAGGTAATTAGACTAGTGAGCAGTGAGGGGATCTTACAGTCCGACAGTCCTGTGGTTTTATAATTAGTATTAGTAATCATCTCTTGTGTCAGCTAAACCATTTATTTATTTTTACTTGTGAAAATGTAGAAAATGATTTCGTAATAAATATATCATATTTTACAAGTATGACAGAATATATATGCATAAGTGAAAAATATAGCTTTATTAGCCCTACGTCTGTCCGACATCTGTTGGTCTGTCCACCTGAAAACAAATTTTGTTAACGCTATTTCTTGAGAAGGATGGGAGGGATCTTTTTCAAGTTGCATATGTAGGTCCCCTTGGTCCCTAGATGTGCCCGATTGATTTTGGGACTGATCAGAAAAACAAAATGGCCATTTCTGAAGTCTGAAGTTGTAGTGATCTCTGACTATTGAGCTGGTGGTTCAGTGTGAAGTTGTAGTGATCTCTGACTATTGAGCTGGTGGTTCAGTGTGAAGTTGTAGTGATCTCTGACTATTGAGCTGGTGGTTCAGTGTGAAGTTGCAGTTATCTCGTATTTAGATATTTCTGCGTGGAATACACTCCACCCTGCATGATTCTTTCTCAATATTTTGTTTGCAGCAACAGTCTCCACCAAGTTCTCCAAGCTCTCTAGGCTCAAGGAAATCCAGCATGTGTAGCATCAACAGTATCAACAGTTCTTCAAGTGGCTCCCTCAAGTCACACTCTCCTAGTCACCTTACAAAGAATCGTGCACATGTGAGTAGACACTTCAGATAAGTCAGGCACCATAATCCTACTTTCTTCAAGATGTCTGTGTTGAGGAGCTGCCAATTTTTCCTCAAATGACAGAAAGCTTTATCACTCCCCATATGTCTGTGTGGATGTGAGTTGCCGTTACACTCCCCAAATATTTCTCATCATCTAATAACCCACCCCCTTAAGATCTTTGCATTGATGTCTCGCCATTACCCCTAAATATCTCTGTATTGATGTCTCACCATTACCCCTTAAGATCTCTATTGGTGTCTTATCATTACCCCTTAAGATCTTTGCATTGATGTCTCACCATTACCCATAAATATCTCTGTATTGATGTCTCACCATTACCCCTTAAGATCTCTATTGGTGTCTTATCATTACCCCTTAAGATCTCTATTGGTGTCTTATCATTACCCCTTAAGATCTCTATTGGTGTCTTATCATTACCCCTTAAGATCTCTATTGGTGTCTTATCATTACCCCTTAAGATCTCTATTGGTGTCTTATCATTACTCTTTAAGATCTCTATTGGTGTCTTATCATTACCCCTTAAGATCTCTATTGGTGTCTTATCATTACCCCTTAAGATCTCTATTGGTGTCTTATCATTACCCCTTAAGATCTTTGCATTGATGTCTCACCATTACCCCTAAATATCTCTGTAATGATGTCTCACCATTACCCCTTAAGATCTCTATTGGTGTCTTATCATTACCCCTTAAGATCTCTATTGATGTCTCACCATTACCCCTAAATATCTCTATATTGATGTCTCACCATTACCCCTTAAGATCTCTATTGGTGTTTTATCATTACCCCTTAAGATCTCTATTGATGTCTCACCATTACCCCTAAATATCTCTATATTGATGTCTCACCCTTACCCCTAAAATCTCTGTATTGATGTCTCACCATTTCCCCTAAATATCTCTATATTGATGTCTCACCATTACCCCTAAAATCTCTGTATTGATGTCTCACCATTACCCCTAAAATCTCTGTATTGATGTCTCACCATTACCCCTAAAATCTCCATATTTATGTCTCACCATTACCCCTAAAGACCTCTGTATTGGTGTCTCACCATTACCCTGTTTGTTGATGTCCTGCAAGTGTACTGATGCAGTGTAATTGTGTTTATCTGTCCATACGTCCGTCATTAAAATGACTACTCAATAACTGAGAGGCTTAGGGTAATAGTATGTGGCCAATTGCATGCTGGGATGAAAGGCATCAAAGTTTGTTCAAATGAATGACCTTGAACAACAGAAATTTGACCTTTCACTGCATGTCATAAGAGGTACACCTCTTGGTCCACCAAACATGTTAAAACACTGTATTTCTACCAGGAATGTGTAGGTGAAGACCTGTTATAAGCAATATATTTTGAGTGGTTATCTCTCAAAACCTAATATCACTTTCTTAAATATGTGCCTAGCATCAATGTAAGTAATTTATTATATGCATCCTATTTATTAGCTGCCCTGGCCTGAAAAGGGCTTAGTGATGTGGTGCCCATCCTCATGAATGACTGAGAGGATTTTAACCAAATTTGGTCAGTAGCAGAAGTAATGATTTTGTCAACATTTGGTCAGAAACGTTCCTGGGGGAGGGGGAATCATTGATGTATAAATGGTGGTTTATAAGGGGAGGGGCATGGTGGTGCTCAGATAAAGCAAACCGAGCAAATTCTCTTCCTGTTTGAATGATTTGATTACCTCTAAATTTTTCTTAAGCATTTTTGGGGAAATCAGTTTTATATAAACAATAAATCTTGGCCCTAAGCATCTTTTGATGAAAGGGAATCAATTTTGTATAGACGGTTGATTTTTATCCAGGTTGAGGTCCAATATGGGAAATAGAACTTATTCTTTAAACAATCTTACCATTGTCTCCTAGGATGAAAGGGAATTCGTGGGGATAAGTTGTGGGTTCCATGGCCCCCTAGGTCATGGGGATTGGGGATAAGTTGTGGTTTCATGGCTCCCTAGGTCATAGGGATTGGTGGGGATAAGTTGTGGGTTCCATGGCCCCCTAGGTCATGGGGATTGGTGGGGATAAGTTGTGGGTTTCATGGCTCCCTAGGTCATGGGGATTGGTGGGGATACATTGTGGGTTCCATGGCCCCCTAGGTCATGGGGATTGGTGGGGATAAGTTGTGGGTTTCATGGCTCCCTAGGTCATAGGGATTGGTGGGGATATGTTGTGGGTTCCATGGCCCCCTAGGTCATGGGGATTGGGGATAAGTTGTGGGTTTCATGGCCCCCTATGTCATGGCGATTGGTGGGGATAAGTTGTGGGTTCCATGGCCCCCTAGGTCATGGGTATTGGTGGGGATAAGTTGTGGGTTTCATGGCTCCCTAGGTCATAGGGATTGGTGGGGATAAATTGTGGGTTTCATGGCTCCCTAGGTCATGGGGATTGGTGGGGATAAGTTGTGGGTTCCATGACCCCCTAGGTCATAGGGATTGGTGGGGATAAGTTGTGGGTTCCATGGCCCCCTAGGTCATGGGGATTGGGGATAAGTTGTGGGTTTCATGGCCCCCTATGTCATGGGGATTGGTGGGGATAAGTTGTGGGTTCCATGGCCCCCTAGGTCATGGGGATTGGTGGGGATAAGTTGTGGGTTTCATGGCTCCCTAGGTCATAGGGATTGGTGGGGATAAATTGTGGGTTTCATGGCTCCCTAGGTCATGGGGATTGGTGGGGATAAGTTGTGGGTTCCATGGCCCCGTAGGTCATGGGGATTGGTGAGGATACATTGTGGGTTCCATGGCCCCCTAGGTCATGGGGATTGGTGGGGATAAGTTGTGGGTTCCATGGCCCCCTATGTCATGGGGATTGGTGGGGATAAGTTGTGGGTTTCATGGCTCCCTAGGTCATGGGGATTGGTGGGGATAAATTGTGGGTTTCCTGGCTCCCTAGGTCATGGGGATTGGTGGGGATAAGTCGTGGGTTCCATGGCCCCCTAGGTCATGGGGATTGGTGGGGATAAGTTGTGGGTTTCATGGCTCCCTAGGTCAAGATAGGTCAAGCCCATTTTGTGAAATAAAACCAGTTCTAGAAAATTCTTATCCTATAGGATAGCAGGATTTTGTCTAAACTTGGTCTGAAGCATGAATGATTTGACTGACCCCCTAGGTACAGAGGGGTGGGGCCCAATAGGTAATTATGGAAGATATGGTGTGTTTTGTATGCTTGGGTATTTAGAAGTTCTTTTTTTTTTGTTTGGATAAAGCAATTTCAGCCAAGTGAAACTAGGTGAGCAGTACAGGCCGAAGGGGCCTCTTGTTTTAACTGAAATATAGCACAGACCTCACAGGCATCAATGAAAAGTTTGTCAGAGAGAGAGAGAGAGAGATCCAAATCCCTGATCTTGGACTGTTATTAATCAAAACTCGGGTAAAACTTTTCTGTAAGCTTATATTACACAAATAATGTAGATTATCTCTGTATGTGAAATCTACATGTACTATTGAGATTCATTTTTAGATCAGGCAAGTCTCGATGTGGCCTGTTGTGATACCTTTTTAACATTTTGACTTCCTCTGGAAAACTCCTGTACCAATTTCAATGAAGGTTAACAGAAAACTTCCATTGCCAAAGGTGCACCAAAATTTTACTGTAAAAGTGATGAAATTACATAATATCAACGACATTCAACAAAAGCTAAGATCTGCACTATTTTATTTGAAACAGTCTTTCACATGTTCTTAGCCAAGCAAATCACTCTTTTCAACTATTGTAGGGAGAGGTGTACCAAATACTTTCAGAGTTTGTCTGCATGGATTATTTGCCACAATTATTGTTTATATTGATTGCTAGTCTACATACCCAACATTTATCATGTCTATCTCTGAATGGTATTCAATAAAGTAGATTGATATTGGTAAAACAACGAACATCGACCAATGATGGAAGATTCCTACCCAGATGTCAACGGTTTTTTTTTACAATGAAGTTTGGGATTAATGTATCATTCTGTACAGGTTTATACAGTAAAGGTAGACGAAAATACGACGTAATATGATTTAAGATAGTTGTGATATTATAACTGAAATTAATCCCTGATTTGAAATTACTACCAACTGTATGTCTTAATTTTATTCCTGGACAGTCTGTCATTACTGGCAAATCAGAGTAAATTGAATTTTAATAAGCTTTAAGAAAATTATCATCATACTCTCCATCTCTTATCTAATGACGTGTTTGAGCATATCATTATCATATATTTCTACAATGGTCATTGATCATTTTCCTCAACGAAAAATATGGCTGACATATTTGGGCTAGTGGCAGAAATAATGATGTAATATTAACAACTTTGCAACTCATGCGTATATCGGGGATTGAAGAAAAAATGTGTTTCATGACACTATTTTTTGTAGAGTTTGAATTTGAAATAAAAGAAAAATTGCGTGGTGTGGTTTTATATCCTAGATATTACAAGGAGTGGATGGTTTTTATTTGTATTAGCATGTTTGCTTTATTGGATTATGAATTGAATGCATCTTGATAGTACAACACCTTAGAATAGTTATTGTAGATGTCACCACATCAGTAATCTTTAATTCTTGCAAGGTTTGCTGGGAAGTTTTTTTTTCTGGCTGGTTAGTAATTTGAAAGAATGGACAAGAAGAAATCTTGGTGCTAAAATTCTGTCATGAAAAAACTATAGAAATGTTAACTTAATTTGTTTTTAACAATTAACAAACAGTTGTCTTGTATCAACTTCTCATGTCCAAACTGATTAAATCAAAGGTAATCTAAATACTGATGTATACATCCCTCACTGTCAGGTCTTTATAGTGTATAATGATGTATACATCCCTTACCAGTCACTGTCACATCTTTATAGTGTATAATGATGTATACATCCCTCACTGTCAGGTCTTTATAGTGTATAATGATGTATACATCCCTTACCAGTCACTGTCACATCTTTATAGTGTATAATGATGTATACATCCCTTACCGGTCACTGTCACATCTTTATAGTGTATAATGATGTATACATCCCTTACCGGTCACTGTCACATCTTTATAGTGTATAATGATGTATACATCCCTTACCGGTCACTGTCACATCTTTATAGTGTATAATGATGTATACATCCCTCACTGTCAGATCTTTATAGTGTATAATGGTGGATACATCCCTCACTGTCAGATCTTTATAGTGTATAATGATGTATACATCCCTCACTGTCACATCTTTATAGTGTATAATGATGTATACATCCCTTACCGGTCACTGTCACATCTTTATAGTGTATAATGATGTATACATCCCTTACCGGTCACTGTCACATCTTTATAGTGTATAATGATGTATACATCCCTCACTGTCACATCTTTATAGTGTATAATGATGTATACATCCCTCACTGTCACATCTTTATAGTGTATAATGATGTATACATCCCTCACTGTCAGATCTTTATAGTGTATAATGATGTATACATCCCTTACCGGTCACTGTCAGGTCTTTATAGTGTATAATGATGTATACATCCCTTACCGGTCACTGTCACATCTTTATAGTGTATAATGATGTATACATCCCTTACCGGTCACTGTCACATCTTTATAGTGTATAATGATGTATACATCCCTTACCGGTCACTGTCACATCTTTATAGTGTATAATGATGTATACATCCCTCACTGTCAGATCTTTATAGTGTATAATGGTGGATACATCCCTCACTGTCAGATCTTTATAGTGTATAATGATGTATACATCCCTCACTGTCACATCTTTATAGTGTATAATGATGTATACATCCCTTACCGGTCACTGTCACATCTTTATAGTGTATAATGATGTATACATCCCTTACCAGTCACTGTCACATCTTTATAGTGTATAATGATGTATACATCCCTCACTGTCAGATCTTTATAGTGTATAATGATGTATACATCCCTTACCGGTCACTGTCACATCTTTATAGTGTATAATGATGTATACATCCCTCACTGTCAGATCTTTATAGTGTATAATGGTGGATACATCCCTCACTGTCAGATCTTTATAGTGTATAATGATGTATACATCCCTCACTGTCACATCTTTATAGTGTATAATGATGTATACATCCCTTACCGGTCACTGTCACATCTTTATAGTGTATAATGATGTATACATCCCTTACCGGTCACTGTCACATCTTTATAGTGTATAATGATGTATACATCCCTCACTGTCACATCTTTATAGTGTATAATGATGTATACATCCCTCACTGTCACATCTTTATAGTGTATAATGATGTATACATCCCTCACTGTCAGATCTTTATAGTGTATAATGATGTATACATCCCTTACCGGTCACTGTCAGGTCTTTATAGTGTATAATGATGTATACATCCCTTACCGGTCACTGTCACATCTTTATAGTGTATAATGATGTATACATCCCTTACCGGTCACTGTCACATCTTTATAGTGTATAATGATGTATACATCCCTTACCGGTCACTGTCACATCTTTATAGTGTATAATGATGTATACATCCCTCACTGTCAGATCTTTATAGTGTATAATGGTGGATACATCCCTCACTGTCAGATCTTTATAGTGTATAATGATGTATACATCCCTCACTGTCACATCTTTATAGTGTATAATGATGTATACATCCCTTACCGGTCACTGTCACATCTTTATAGTGTATAATGATGTATACATCCCTTACCAGTCACTGTCACATCTTTATAGTGTATAATGATGTATACATCCCTCACTGTCAGATCTTTATAGTGTATAATGATGTATACATCCCTTACCGGTCACTGTCACATCTTTATAGTGTATAATGATGTATACATCCCTTACCAGTCACTGTCAGGTCTTTATAGTGTATAATGATGTATACATCCCTTACCGGTCACTGTCACATCTTTATAGTGTATAATGATGTATACATCCCTTACCGGTCACTGTCAGATCTTTATAGTGTATAATGATGTATACATCCCTTACCGGTCACTGTCACATCTTTATAGTGTATAATGATGTATACATCCCTTACCGGTCACTGTCACATCTTTATAGTGTATAATGATGTATACATCCCTTACCGGTCACTGTCACATCTTTATAGTGCATAATGGTGGATACATCCCTCACTGTCACATCTTTATAGTGTATAATGATGTATACATCCCTTACCGGTCACTGTCACATCTTTATAGTGTATAATGATGATCTATGATTTAATCAGTTTGTAAAATGAGGACTTGTAGTCAGACTTTCACAAGAACCCAGGGACAGATTACCTCATCAATGAGGTCACCATTTACCATGTTAACATCCAACCAACCTACCTTATACCATTTTATCACCACCTCAACAACCCTGTAACATCACAACCCCCTGTTATGATTTTACCACCACCCTCCTACCTGTTACTACTCTACCACCACCCTCCTAACTGTTACCACTTAACCATCACCCTCCTACCTATTATCCCTTTACCACCACCCTCCTACCTGTTACCATCACCCTCCTACCTGTTACCATCACCCTCCTACCTATTACCACCACCCTCCTACCTGTTACCACTTTACCACCACCCTCCTACCTGTTACCCCTTAACCACCACCCTCCTACCTGTTACCACTCTACCACCACCCTCCTACCTGTTACCACTTTATCACCACCCTCCTACCTGTTACCCCTTTACCATCACCCTCCTACCTGTTACCACTCTACCACCACCCTCCTACCTGTTACCACTTGACCACCACCCTCCTACCTGTTACCACCACCCTCCTACCTGTTACCACTTTACCACCACCCTCCTACCTGTTACCATTTTACCACCACCCTCCTACCTGTTACCACTTTACCACCACCCTCCTACCTGTTACCACCACCCTCCTACCTGTTACTACCACCCTCCTACCTGTTACCACTTTACCACCACCCTCCTACCTGTTACCACTCTACCCCCACCCTTCTACCTGTAACCACTCTACCACCACCCTCCTACCTGTTACCACTTTACCATCATCCTCCTACCTGTTACCACTCTACCACCACCCTCCTACCTGTTACCACTTTACCACCACCCCACCACCCTCCTACCTGTTACCATTTTACCACCTTGACCTTGTATGTGCCTTTTGATTTTGAGACTGATCAGAAAAACAAAATGGCTGACATGTTAAGTTTGACAATGAAAGAATATATCTTTTTTTTTATAGGATGATTTTTTCTGTCTTCTGTAATTAAGAGCAAGAACAAAGAAAAGAAAAGATGGAAACAAACAATGGTTGATGCTTCTTCTGGGATCTCTACTTATTTACGAAACATTTTCAGTAATGAAATAAAAATAAAATTTTCAGCAAGAAAACGACATTTACATTGATGCCTTAGAGGTACATATACTGGACCTTCATGTACAATATTTTAAAGATCAATTTAAAAAAAAAAAACCAAAAAGCAGCACCCACATCTCTAATACTACCCACATCTCTAATACTACCCACATCTCTAATACTACCCACATCTCTAATACTACCCACATCTCTAATACTACCCACATCTCTGATACTACCTACCTTCCTGATACTACCCACTTCTCTGATACTACCCACTTCTCTGATACTACCTACCTTCCTGATACTACCCACTTCTCTGATACTACCTACCTTCCTGATACTACCCACCTCACTGATACTACCCACCTCACTGATACTACACACATCCCTGATACTACCCACATCTCTGATACTACCTACCTTCCTGATACTACCCACCTCACTGATACTACCTACCTTCCTGATACTACCCACCTCACTGATACTACACACATCCCTGATACTACCCACATCTCTGATACTACCTACCTTCCTGATACTACCCACCTCACTGATACTACCTACCTTCCTGATACTACCCACCTCCCTGATACTACCGACCTCCCTGATACTACCTACCTTCCTGATACTACCCACCTCATTGATACTACCCACCTCACTGATACTACCCACCCACCTCATTGATACTACCCACCTCACTGATACTACCCACCTCATTGATACTCATTGATACTACCACCTCCCTGATACTACCCACCTCCCTGATAAACCCATATCCCTGTCTCCTGATGAAGATTCATGTCCATTCTCCTGATACTACCCACATCCCTGTCTACTGATAAAGATTCATGCCCTTTCTCCTGATACTACCCATATCCCTGTCTCCTGATGAAGATTCATGCCCTTTCTCCTGATACTACCCATATCCCTGTCTCCTGATGAAGATTCATGCCCTTTCTCCTGATACTACCCATATCCCTATCTCCTGATAAAGATTCATGCCCTTTCTCCTGATTCTACCCATATCCCTGACTCTTGATAAAGAATCATGCCCTTTCTCCTGATAAACCCACATCTCTGTCTCCTGATAAACCCACATCCCTGTCTTCTGATAAACCCACATCCCTGTCTTCGTATAAAGATTCATGCCCTTTCACCTGATAAACCCACATCCCTGTCTCCTGATGGAGATTCATGCCCTTTCTCCTGATACTACCTACATCCCTGTCGCTTAATAAAGATTCATGCCCTTTCTCCTGATACTACCCACATCCCTGTCTCCTGATAAAGGTACATCCCCTTTCTCCTGATAAACCCACATCCCCTTTCTCCAAGTCCTGATGACCAAAGTGTCAGCTTTGCATGTAGTGTTATATCTTTGATGATATTCAGAACTGTTATACATGCATGTCTCCATTTTATTCATGTCCAACAGCATCCAGAAGTAAGTGGCATTGTACGCCTGACAAGTGTATCATCACAAGATTCCGGGTTTACATCTCAAGATACATTGTTCCTGCGACCAACTACCCCAAACTCTTTAAGTATCCGACAGAAGGTAGGTGTCCCCTGTAGCAGGGATTGGGCACCATGCAGCATGCTAGTCTATGACAAACCCCTGGCACTATTTATAACCTTATGTATTACAACCTACACATTTACCCTAAATCATTTATTATCTCATCTGTGCGGAAGGCCAAGTTAGATACCATGGCGTCCGTCGTCTTTCAACTTTTTCTATAAATCACAACTAGTCATGAGTGACTGAGCAGATTTGAATCAAAATTGGTCTGAAGCATCCTTTGTTGAAGAGAAATCAATTTTGTATTAACTTTTGGTTTCAGGCCTTGCCGATGGGAAGGGCAGGACCCAATAGGGGAAAGAGAACAAATTCTGTAAAATCCTTCTTCTTATGCAGGAATGCCTGGATTCTGTCCCAATTTGGTCTGAGACATACTTGGGTCAAAAGGGATCAATTTTGTATTAACAGTGGGTTCCGGCCTACAGGATGGGAGGGTGGGAGACAAATAGCAGAAATAGAATACATTCTGTAAAATCTTCCTTATGTTGGGACTGATAAGGTCTTTAGTGAAGAGAATCAAGTTTTTTGACAAACCTGTATCCCCTTTCAGAGGAGGGGGCGAATCTGTTACAAGGAAATAAATACAAGTGTTTTGAATACTTTTACTTTTGTTTAGATAAATCAATTTCAGAAAGTTAAACAAGGTGAGCGATACAGGCCCTAGGGGCATCTTTTCTTATCAACTTTACCCCCATGTTTTTATCTCACTTGATACAAAGGGTAAGTGAACATCTGGCATGGTCTGGGTTTGTCTTCTGTACATCTGTTGTGTGTTCTCAAACATCTTACCTTACCTGGTGCAAAGAACCCAGGGTGAACTCATGCAATGCCTTGGCATCCAGCTCGCTTCGATCAACTTAAGCTCACTGCCATTTTGTGGATCTGTCAGTCAATTTTTCTTAACCATCATTTTTTCTTCTGTTGTCTTTTGCCACCCACCAAAATATTTAGGTTATGATGGTGACCTATTGTGATACCCTTTTGACCAGCGTTTTCCAGCACCTGTCTGTAAACCTTTTTTTTTCTTAATATCCAAAAAATGTTAGAATCAGATACTCTTCATCGGTGGATAGGTCTTAAATGTGAGAAGTCTTCTGTCCCTGTACAAATAGAATTTTTCATTTTCTCTACACTACACATTCATTCCAATTTTTTCTGTGAATGAATTCACTCAGATGACAGTTGAGAACCTTTCACTAGTGGGATTCAGCTGAAACTCACCAGAAATTATCCTGACAAAGAGTTGATTTCCAGATCCATATTTCAATATGTCTGCCATGAAATTTTATGGGAATGTTAAGAAACTGAAATAAGGGGTGTTTTTTTGCCTTTACTGCTGAAATATTTTGAACTTTTGAATAGGTTTTACAGTCAGATGGACGTTAAGAGCCAGTGGCCTCTTGTGTCAGCATATTAGGTTGTATTTTTTTTTATCCCAATCTAGTCTAGTGGGTAAGAGCAATCATTTCTTATATTCAGAAAGTTTATTTAACCCCTAGGGACCTGGACATTGGGCCCCCATACTTATACAGTATTTAGCTTTAAAAAGCTACCCTTCCTTAATGCCTGGGTAGATTTCAACCAGATTTGGTCTGAAACACCATTAGAGGTGGGCAATCATTACTTTCATTCAGAAAGTTGGTTCGAACCCATAGGACTTGCGGGCGAGATCTCACAAGGGAAGTTAGGTAATGTTTTGTTATAAAACACTAGATAATGTTTTGTTATAAAATGCTACACTACCTTAATTCTTCGGTGGATTTCATTCAAATTGTGTCTGAAATGTTATTAGGGGTGTTTAATTAAAAAAGTATTTTCAATCCCAAGCAAGGAAATTAGGGGCAGGGCCAAAAAGGGGAAGTTAGACAAAATTTTGATTTAAGATGGGTGGATTTTAGGTCTGAAAGATCACCTGGGGTGGGAAATCATTTCTTAAATTCATAAAGGTGATTTGACCCCTAGGGACAGGTTTTCTTTTCAACAAAAATTTTGTTTTTCAAATGATATATTCCTCAATGCTCAAATGAATTTCAACCAGTTTGCTTGAAACATGTCAAGAGAAAAGAAGAAATTTCTGATGGAATGGTTTGACTGTCATATAACCGTGAAGGACCATGTTACAAACAGTATCTTGTATCTTTATTATCAAGTTAGCTGTTTGTATATTAACTTTGTATGTGTTTGCTAATGTAGATATTTTAGTATGTATTGCATGTATTAGATTAGTGTAATGGTGGAGGAATGGGTTGTGCATGTAATATATACAGTACAAACCTACTTATATCTCACTTATTCTTTCTATGTACCAAATATTCCCTACATAAGTAATGACGAATGTGCATTATATCGTCCAACATGAAATATTGGCTATTGATTTTTTTTTCCTGTTTTTTTTTTTTGTCTGATTAGAATGTGATTTTTGTAAGCTTTACCTCCATGAGTGTCCTAAACTTTTCTAGTATCACTAGGACTCATAATTTTAAAACACTTTGTATTTAAAAAAACTACTAATGTGCAGTACTTAGCAAGCTATGTACTGAAATGTTATTGGTCACTATTGTGTAAGATAATTTAAAAGAATAAAAAAAAACAACAGTTTAATTCAGTTCTTTGAAACGGAACTGAAAGTGAAAGTAGAAATTATTTTACACTTAGTATTATTGTACTGACAATTGAATATACATCAATTAGCATTAGTGTAAGTCATATACATGTTCATCATAATTATTACAAAATGTTTTTATTCATTAATATTACCTTGTTACAAAATCCATAACGTCATTGCCAGACTAACACATTATGTGCCTGAAACTTGGACCACTGAAGAAAAAAAATCTTTACCTGAAAAAAAAAGCTCAGATTATTTTCCTCAGTTAAATCATTAAGTAACCATAAATTAACACTAAAGTCATTACATATCAGATTTAAGTGGCCCGCTCCAAAACTTTAACCCAAAATAGTCTAAATCCCAAACATGTCAAAAAATTTGAAAAACATTGTAAAGTTATTTCAAAATACTTATAATCATTATTAGACTCCACAAGAACACTCATAGCAAAGACAATAAAGAGATTATCTGACAGAACAGTGGTTATACAGGGTCACCTGACATGTAACAACAAAGAAAAGATGGCCATGATAACGTCAAAATATCGTTGATTGATGTATATCATGCTGATGTAAATTCATGGAAAACTAATCTAGTGGAACTTCTCCAAACGAACCATACATGTGGACATGGATATTTGGCTGGTTAAGGAAGGGTTTGTAGAAATGAACAAACTAACCAGTTCAGAATCCAATAGAATTGATAGAGTTCTGTAAATACATCAACGTTTCAGTATGTACATTGTACATGTCCAACTGAATACAGAAGAAAACTCGTATACAATCTGCTTGCATTGCTCTGTCACCTCGAAACTTGTGTTACATTCGGCTGAACTTAGCGAAATTGTGGATTTCCAGCTCTGTATCAGTACTTATTTTCACTTTTCTAGCTTCATTGAAACAGTTGATAGATTCTTGTGATATGGTTTCATTTGGAGACAACTATTTGTACTGTTTATTATAACCACCCAATCAGGGTAGTTATTGTGTACAAAGCCTACCCATGACAGGTATGTGCCAGGGCACAAAGCTTTCAACTGTCACTATGGACCTTTGTTTGATTTCGCAGTCCGCTCCTTGGAGTTTGAGTCTTGATCACTACTTTACTGAAGTAATTTTCAATATATTTCCATGAATCTGTTGGGTATTCAAAAATTGAGAGGGATAAGTATTTGGAAGTGTTTTAGCTCACCTTGCCTGAAGGTCCAAGTGAGCTTATGGCACACCGCGGCGCTTGTTGTCAATCTGTCACTTTCTATGAAGTGTCTACTACTTGTCATAAAACAACTTACAGGATTTTTAGGAAATTTAGTCAAAAGCATCCTTGGGAAAAGAAAAACAAGTTTTGTGTACAAGGCAGTTCTTGACCCCATGTGGTGGGAGAGGTGGGGCCCAATAGGGAAAGTAGAGCAATTTTTTTTATAAGCCTACTCTTCCTGTAGAATGATTGCATTTTAACCAAATTAGGTATGAAGCAGTGTCAATAATTGGTAGGTCTTGGATGGTCGCCCTGGGGCGGGAGGGGCAGGGCCTAATAGGATAAATAGACCAAATTCTTGAAAATCCTGTAAGAATTATTGGATATTGCTGAGATTTGGTCTGCACGTTTCTTTTGTAAAGGGAATCAATTTTGAATAAAGGAAAGGTATCAGCCCCCTGGGATGGGAGTGGTGGGGTTCAAAAGGGGAAAATGTAAAATCCTATTCCTAAAGGGGTTTTACCTATTGGGGATTGGAAAACAAGCTAAAATGAGTTATTGTTGTCATTCATTTATACATTGTTTAGTTTTAATGTCGTTCTAGCTTCAATATTCCAATCCTGAGTGGTAGTGGGATTTGCATGCATGAGTTACTGCCCCTTGTTGTTTTCATAATATTTTTCTTGTCTGGAGAACTACTTTCTTAGTTTTCAACAGATTTCTTTCAAACTTTATAGACTTAATTACCTTGACATAAAGTTATGTTTTTCCTGAATGGAAATGTGATTTGACTATTTTAAAGAGTTACTGTATCTCGTTACTTTTATTTTTGTTTATTGTCAAGTATCTCCTCTCAGTGTTCATCGATCTCTTACAAACTTGGTAGGCTTGAAAAACATTATATTGTGTTCTTGTGAATAACATTTTAATTAAACATTATTTCAAATAAGTTACTTCCCTTTGTTCTTTTCAGCATTTTAATCTTGTCCAGATATTTCTTTGTTTTCCACCCATCTCTTTAAAACTCTGCATGCTCTAATTTACCATTAAAACATGTAGCACTGTTTTTCCTCATTTTTTTTTACTCATTTTTACGGTTTCCATATTTGTATTCTTTTCGATACAACAATTTATAGATATTTCTATAGTGTGGGACAGATATATATCCTTCTATCCCACAATACCTATAGTGCTCTTATTTTTACTATCAGGTCATCACACCCTGATTGTATGTAATGCCTACATTGTGATATGTTTCTGAATGTTACAGGATGTAGATAGTCGCAGCATTGGGGCAGAAACTCCTGAGGATGCTACACCTTCAGACAATACGCCCTCTGCCTGCTCCACATGGACAACGTGGCCAAACCCGCCTAACCAGGAAGGCAAATCTGAGGCTCAACGTCCTCACACGATATCCTCAGCATATGAAAAGTCTCAGAAACGCCCAGCACTTTCATCCAAACTGTTTGAGCCACTGCTACAGGAGGGAGAGGACCAGCTGAAGGAACAACCAGTTATAAGAAATGAGAGGTCAAACAGTACGTCTAGTTCAGCGAATTCACGTCCCCAGTCAGCCACAATCAACAAGCTGCAGCCCATGCTGCCACCGCTGGCTCCTAAACCGAAGTCACGTGCTGTGGCTCCCCCTAAGGTGCCAAGTGCAGGTGAGATTTGGCAAAATACTTAGATATCTTAGTGAGGTACAGAGAGTAGAACCAACGCTGTGATTGCATGGATGTTGGGTTCCTTTTCTCTCCAACTGGATACCCGCAGGTATGAAGGGTGATTGAGCAGTAGAGAACATCAAGTAAGAACTACCAATAATAACAGCATCAGAGTAGGTTCTTTAATGTCTTCAGTGTTGGTTGATTGGTTTCGTCTGTTAAATAGCTTCTTCAAGACAAAATACATCATTTCTCTATCCCTAAGGTACATAAAATATTGACACAATATTCAGTTAATGGCTGATACAGTATTGTGATGTGCAGCCAATCTCCTTGTATGCAACATGGCAACTATTTTAGTGAGAGTATAGCAAGCTACCTGGACAGCCAATCTAGGCTATTTACCTCTGTGTGATTAAATTCGAAGGTAGAAATTCTTTAGTTGGAGTTTATAGTTTTGCTGAAGGAGGAAGTGCCTTTTAGCTATGCAGCAGTATTTCAATAGTAATTTAGTAAGTTAGACTCCTATATCCACGTGGTATTCCTCCGCGGCAATGTTATACTTCTTGTTGATATTTAGAGGTTTGTGTTTCTGTGACAGCCAGTTCTTCAGCTTGTATTTTTATGTTTAAGCAGGAGACACCCAGGCACTTTATGTGAATCTGACAGACCTTGCTAACATGGCAGTGGAACAGCAGAAGGAAGCAGTCACTGACAGTGACACAACCCCCACAGAGAGGAGCCCCCCTACTACTATGTTTCATCAGGTAGATCACCAACCTGTCCATTAATTAGTGAAAAATTCACAAACGACAAAACTTAAATTAGTAAAAGACCAATAAATATCCCACTTATTGGTGATGCTAAGTGTATGTTGTGATTGAAACTTACTTGTACTGATAAGTAAAAACATTCACTACAGATGGAACAGTTAAAATGCTAACAATTTGTATTGATTAATTATACCCATCCCACCTTTGGGGTAAAGGATGGGGGGGAGGGGGGAATGAGGAAGTTAACACTGTAATCAGCTTGTCTGTCAGTCCGTAAAAAAAAATTGTTTGTACAACTCCGCCTAACCCTGCTCATCACTTACAGTGAATCTGAATAGGAATGTTGGTTAGGGAGCATGTGTAGATGTGCATGCAGGTTTGGTTGCCATGGTAACCAAGTCTCTATATAAAGGCTTTTGTGAAATGACTGATATCTCTTCAGTTATTGGATGAACTTTATTGAAAAAAAATTATCTAATGGTGTAACTTGTCAAAGTTTAAAATTGATAGATTTAACAGGTTTAAATGTCAAGACTCCTAAAGTTGGTAACTTTTGGTAAGGTTGCCTTTTTTTTTTTTTTTTTTTTTGCAAAAATATTGGTTGCCTTGGTAACCAGGTCACTAAAATGTAATGTAAGAAATTTTGGCTTGACAATGAAATGATAAATGTATAGAGAAATTTGTAATTCCAGGTCAGAATTAAAGAATATGTAAATTATTGTATCTGCCAGGGTTACATCATAACATGACATAATCAAGTTCAACACCTTCGTAATCTTCTGTTTGGGTTAGGATAAAGGGATTTGATGAAATCTAATGTGAAGCATCGTTGGGATGATTCAGTATAAATCATCACAGTAATGTGAAAGGTGAATAACACCAGTCACATTTCATTTCTCAAAGTCAGCATACTTGGAAATGGAACTTTAAAGTTGATTGATGTGATGTAAGAAAGCAAGACATTGTTTGTCACTAACTTAACTATTACAGCGTTGTAGCAAAATTGCTTGACTATTTAAAGCATGTTTTATTGAATAAGGTTTCTCAAATTAACAAATTCTGGCCATTTCTGTTTTTTATGCCTTGCTTACGGCTGGATGGCTACAATTGTTACCTTGGTTACACATATACACTAGTCCTTGTTCCGTCTTAACTTGGAGGAGGCCATCCGCGATCTGGACAGTTGTACGGCTGCACTTCACACGGATTACAACCCACGTAGCCCTGCTAATCAGAACACTGAACAACAGGCAAGGCTAGCCCTCTTACTATCACCAATTATCTATAGTTACCTGTTGGGTTTTTGCTATAATCTATTTTGAAAATTTGTTTCTCTGTAATATCTGTTTTTGGAAGTGGTTTCTTTCACTAGTATTTATATATCAGCCACTTTTAGATTTTTTTTTTACGCTATATTAAATGTTTACTCTTTGTTTCTGTTTTATTATCTCATTTCCTTCTTAGTCTTTTTATTCATAGTTTTAGAATCAAATTTGAAAAATCCCCATCATACCTATTTTTCTTTCAGCCCCATACATACACATGCCATTTTCCTTAATAGACACTGTACAAGTGTGTCTGGTTAAAGTGAATTCTTTTCACTTAGGGTATCAATATGAATTGATAAAATATGGACAAATGCTCTACTGGTGGCATTTGGTGGTGTTTATTTAATGACAATATCTGTTCCTGAGGGATTGAAAACGATATAGCACTGTCTAGCACCTTTTTAACAAAAACTTATGAATATTGATTTCAATGGATACATTTTTAGGTCATCTGACCTATTGCTAGCGAGCATCGTCCAACCTCATGCGTGGTGCTCTGTCTGTAAACTTTTCCTTTAAAACGCTACTCCTGCTTAATTTCTCGGATGTCAACCAAATTTTGTCTGAAACATCATTGGATGGGGAATCCTTTCTTAAATTCAGAAAGTTGAATTCATTTAAAAGAAAAATGTTTTGTCTGTGACATCAGTATGGATGGTCAGTTAATTCTTAAATTCAGAGGATTGATTTGACCCCTAAGGACTTGGGGATGGGGGCCAACAGGGGAAGTTAGACAATATTTTGCTCAAAAATACAACTCCTTTTCAATGCCTGAGTAGATTTCAACTAAATTTTGCCTGCAACATTATTAGGGAGTGGCAATGATATCAAACGTGAATGATCCTGAGATTGTCCTGACCAAACAGGTATTACTTTTTCACTTTGGTCCAAAATCCAAACTAAATCATCTAGAACAAATTGTCTGAACTCCTCAATTCACATCAGTGAGAAAAATATTTGGGGTTGGATTTGTCAAGAAAAAAGAAAGAGATAAATTTTTAATTTTCAGACTGATCAAAACTTCAACATGGTAACCACAGGAGCCATTTTGTAACATGATTGCACAACTCCTACCATGTATTTCAAAAGATGTTCAGAATTTGAATTCATTAGATTTGTAAGACCACCAGTAGCGAATTTTGTGGTTTGTCCAACCAACCACCAGTTGTTGAATGACTGTTAAGGGCCTTGGCCCTCTTGATATGTCATGTGACTGAAGGGGTCAAAATGAAGTGTTCCTGTCGTGCATCATCCGTCGTTGTCCGCTAGCTGTAAACTTTTTCTTTAGATATTACTGCTGCCTAATACCATGGCATAATTTGATCTGAAACATCATTGGGAGTGGGGAATCCTAAATTTAGAAAGTTGATTGGACCCCTAATGACTTGGGGGACCCCATTGGACCTCTAAGGACTTGGGGATGGGACCTCAAAAGGGTTGTTCAATAATGTTTTGCTTCAAAACACTGCTCTTCCTTAATACATGAATGGTTTTATTCAAATGTTTGCTGAAATATCAGTAGGGATTGGCAATTAACTCTCAAATTCAGAAAGTTAATTCGGCCCTTAGGGACTACGAGGCGGGGCTCAAAAAGAGGAAGTTAGACAATATTTTGCTTCGAAATGCTATTCCTTCTTAATGCCAGGGTAGATTTAACCAAAGTTTGTCTGAAATGTTATTGCAGATGGGTAAAGGGCAGAGCCCCAAAAGGGTAAGTGTGGTAATATTTTGCTTCAAAACGCTGTTCCTTTTTAATGATATATCTGTCCTCTTGCACTGACAGATGTTAGATCTGTCCAGGATAAACTCCCCTTGTACTGTCAGATGTTAGATCTGTCCTCTTGCACTGTCAGATGTTAGATCTGTCCATGATAAACTCCCCTTGTACTGTCAGATGTTAGATCTGTCCAGGATAAACTCCCCTTGTACTGTCAGATGTTAGATCTGTCCAGGATAAACTCCCCTTGTACTGTCAGATGTTAGATCTGTCCAGGATAAACTCCTCTTGTACTGTCAGATGTTAGATCTGTCCAGGATAAACTCCCCTTGTACTGTCTATAACTCTGAAATGATGTTCTGTTTTTATACTGCATTTAGATTCAACAATATTTAAGGAGTTATTGCCCTTTGATTTTTAGATCATCCGACTTGTAGGGTCAACATGATGTAATTTCATCGTGTTCCTTCCATTGCTGTGCAGTGTTTGCTGTCTTCAGTATGAAAACTGTTTTTTTTTGACATTTTCATTAAAAGTAATAGGCTAGATTTAATCACAAGCCACAAGCATACCATGGAGCAAGGCAAGTCACCCCCAAGCCGCCCGCACCCCTACATTTATATCTTATTTTGTCAAAATGTCTTTCCTCAGGTTTCATTTAATTTCTTTGAAACTTGTTTTTTCTCTTGACGTTTTGACTCATCATTTGTATATTTGTATATTTGTACCAGTTTTTATACAATAAATCATAGATATTTCTTTGAACATCCATTGTTCCACTCCATATTTTTCTAGAACTTTATTAGGGAAACATTTAGAGGCTAGAAATGCTTGGTTTGCATACATGCACATTCTTCAGCAAGGTCTTATTTTACGCAGCACATTTTAACTTGTAGATGTAATAATGCCTACTGATAATTATGGTGATTTCTACCACTTTGATTGCAGCAAACATTGTAAAGCTTGTCAATAGCACGGATTTCTGATGGAAATTCCAGACCTTTGTTGTGGAATTAACTGGATAGGGGAGTAGTATAGTGTCCCTGGATGTGGGAAATTGGAAGTACAGTGTCCCTCATTGTGGGGAATTGGAGGTACAGTGTTCCTGGATGTGGGGAATTGGTGGTATAGTGCCCCTCAGTGTGTGGAATGGGAGGTGTAGTGCCCCTAGATGTGGGGCATTGGAGGTATAGTGTCCCTGGATGTGGGGAATTAGAGGTGTAATGTCCCTTGATGTGGGGAATTGGAGGTAAAGTGTCCCTCAATGTGGGGAATTGGAGATGTAGTGCCCTTCAATGTGGGGAATTGGAGGTACTGTGTCCCTCAATGTGGGCAATTGGTGGTATAGTGTCCCTTAATGTGGGGAATTGGAGGTAGAGTGTCCCTGGATGTGGAGCATTGGAGGTATAGTGTCCCTGGATGTGGGGAATTAGAGGTGTAATGTCCCTTGATGTGGGGAATTGGAGGTAAAGTGTCCCTCAATGTGGGTAATTGGAGATGTAGTGCCCTTCAATGTGGGGAATTGGAGGTACTGTGTCCCTCAATGTGGGGAATTGGTGGTATAGTGTCCCTTAATGTGGGGAATTGGAGGTAGAGTGTCCCTGGATGTGGGGAATTGGAGGTATAGTGTCCCTGGATGTAGGGAATTGGAGGTGTAGTGTCCATGGATGTGGGGAATTGGAGGTGTAGTGTCCCTGGATGTGGGGAATTGGAGGTGGAGTGTCCCTGGATGTGGGGAATTGGAGGTAGAGTGTCCCTGGATGTGGGGAATTGGAGGTGTAGTGTCCCTGGATGTAGGGAATTGGAGGTGGAGTGTCCCTGGATGTAGGGAATTGGAGGTGTAGTGTCCCTGGATGTAGGGAATTGGAGGTGTAGTGTCCCTGGATGTAGGGAATTGGAGGTGGAGTGTCCCTGGATGTAGGGAATTGGAGGTGGAGTGTCCCTGGATGTAGGGAATTGGAGGTGGAGTGTCCCTGGATGTAGGGAATTGGAGTTGGAGGTGTAGTGTCCCTGGATGTCTAAATCATTGCAATCTTGACAGTCTTGACTACCATGGATAAAACTGTAAACAAAAGGCCTCACAGGGGTAATCCAGATAATTCACTAAAAAGACTTGGTCCAGGGCAGATCATAAACAGCAGACATTTTATTCATCAAGAAAAGCAGAATATAGAATTCCTTACTTTTCCCCTATATTTCGTTAAACACCAGTTTGAATTTGTTGTGATTTATCGGCATGCTTTATTAGATAATAAATTTTTACAAAAAAATATGATGATCTTAAAATGATGTGAATATAATAGGTTTTCTACCATATTATAGAGATATCTCTTAAGTCTTTACAGGAGTTGTCTTTCCTTAAAAAAACCTAGTAACACAACACATACTAGAACTATGGATATTTTCACTGCGAATGCTGTAATATGATTGGTCTGAATGAGCAAACAATACCAGAATTCATTATTTTCACGTATTTGCTATGTTCACTGTAAAACCTTAGATTTCATTGTAAAAAAAACATAATGAATATTCATGTATAGACTTTTATCCAAATAAAAAAAGATCATGTGATCATATGTGGATGTAGAATTTGATACTGATATGTGTTATTGCTTGTGATATATAAGAATGAATATCTATAGTATTATGTACCACTGTATACAATCTTGTTGAAAACTTTCATTTTCAGCACTACAGCAAGTCTACAGAGATTTAACCTTAGTGAATTATGGACAAACATTGTAAAATTTGACGTGCATGTTTTAAAATCACAGTTGCTTATTTGGCCACAGGAGCTTCCATGCTTGTTATTAATAACAGATACTTATATAAGTAGTTATTCATGAAGGTCACTCAATTCCAAAGTGGAACCTTTAAGCTACTTTGTCAGATAGATAATGATTGGTAGGTATTTAATTATCTATACTGTTTGGGAAGTTCTAAAGGCTGAGTGGTATTTTGTGACTGTGATATCATCTTGTTCCAGCCTTTTTGTAGCTGCTTGCGGAACATTCCCATTAATAAGCAGAGCGTTATCTTGGATGCTTTTTGTTCTACAGTATTTTCTGTATTTTTTTTCAGTTTTTCATTCACATCTTAGTTAACATCGTTAGATATATATCCATATCCAAGTTGCCATGAAATGTCTTTAGAATATTTATTTTGTTTTCAGAGCATGTAAATAGTAAGATTTAGCTCATCTTGTCCAAGGGACCATTCTTGAGCTTATGCAATGTCACGGTGTCCGTCATCTGTCCATAACCTTTCCTGAAAATTACTAGAAGTCATAAGACAATGGAGTGGACGTTGACCATATTTGGTCACTAGCGTTATTGGAGGTTTTTTGAAGGGAAACCAATCTCTTATATATTGTAGGTTGGAGAACTCAGGGGCCAGAGGGGCAGGGCCTAACAGGGAAATTTGTTTAAATCATTCTTCTAAAGGATATTGTCCAAATATGGCCTGAAGTATTCTAGGATGATTTGTATAAAGTGGGTTTTGGCCCCTTGGGCAGGGATTGGCAGGGTCAAATAAAGAAAATAGTGGGAATGTGCCAGGATTCACTTGTACCAAAAGGATTGAATCTAGTCTAGGACATGTGGCCAATTAAACCTTAAAATTTTTTAAGGAATGATGAAATTTTGTTTAGATTTATTTCACCCTATCTCACCTAGTGTTGAGTGCTTCTTGACCAATCAGGCACGGAGTCTCTTGACAATGCCGAAATGAAGCTTTGCTCACACAAACCAAGACATCATTAAAGAAAAAAAAAACGTTGATATTCACCGAAAAAGACCTGTAACTGACATACCATTAATCTGTCCTACTCATCATGTTGATCTGATCGTGAAAAGACTGACATTTGTTGTGTTTTGATTAACAGCAAATAAAACAGAACTCGCTGGAGCTAGCGGAGGCGATTAAAGAACTGGAAGCTTCGACAGCCGCGTTACAATCCTCCTACGACTCGTCCAGCACGACTAGCCAGAATTCCCTCCAATGCTCGAGTGGTTACGGTACATTGAACAGCACACCGTCTGGTTCCAAGGACACTATCTCATCTGGTGGTAAGTACTGTGTAGTGAGGTTTGTGTTGAGTGAGGTAACAACACAATACTGATGTATTTATAGCATGTTGTTCATGGATAGGGGACACCGCCATATAGTTTTAATGGCATTTCTTTATTTTTTTTTTTTTTTTTTGTAACTATTTTAATTTAGTTTGATATTTGTCATACATGTACAGTACCGTGTCTGTGTCGTTATACTTTGTAGAATATTTTGTTTTTCAAAATCTAGCAACAAATTTTCCGAAATCAGTTTTTGAAATTTTCATGAATGTAAAGTTAAACTGTTTGCCTGTGACTGTCTGACTGTCCAGCCCTCTTTAGTTAGATAACTTTGCTAAATGTAAATGGATTTCAAGAGAATTCAGTTTTGAGATGCATCTTACCATCCTTTAGCCAGACTTAAGCAAACTTTAGACTCCATCAGAAGTGGAGGATATAAGTGACACCTTTTTGTCTATTTGATATCATTAAAGAATTGATTGATAGGCCTATCTGTTTCACGTTGATTAAATTACAAATATCTTTTAGCATAACCAACTTCACAAGCTACTGAACAGTAATTGGTCAGATAACTGTTACTATACAGAAATGATAAAGAAAAACATCTTCTTTAATTTTAAAATATGTTATATTGAATATTCATAGTTGTATAAAAAGTAAGAGAAACATTAGGGCACCTTACCAAGTCCCCCAATAAATGTTAAATGTCTTCCATGTTCAAAAATGTATCCATTGAATTTTCAATATACAGTGCCTGTACGAAAGCATGTAAGCTAGTGTCAATTTCTGACTATCACTAAGACACGTGATTTCCAATACAGCTGCATTAAATTATTGTTTTAACAAATTTACAATGGCTATCCCAACCAGATAGAGGATAGGCTCTTGCATTGCTCATGGGCGGTAATAACTGCCATCATTTAAACTTTGTGTACATCAGGGTGCCCTGATTCAGACTTATGAAGTCCTGATTTGTTAAAAAATCTCCCAAAATTTGAAGACATGGTAAAATATTCGAAGTTCACCATTGCATTTCACATTTAGGTATATATGTACTGCTCGTAAATATTATTCGATGAAATTTTAAAGTTGAAGTTGTGTTTCTTTTTCTTCTTAGTATATTAGCAGCATTCATAGTCAGATAACCATTACTACTACCTCTGTGGCATTTATGGTCAAATAACACTTACTACTACCTCTGTGGCATTTATATAGTCTGATAACTATTACTACTATCTCTGGCAGTTATAGTCAGATAACTGTTACTACCACATCTTTGGCATTTATAGTCAGATAACCGTTACTACTACCTCTGGCAGTTATAGTCAGATAACTGTTACTACCACATCTTTGGCATTTATAGTCAGATAACCGTTACTACTACCTCTGGCAGTTATAGTCAGATAACTGTTACTACTACATCTTTGGCATTTATAGTCAGATAACCATTACTACTACCTCTGGCAGTTATAGTCAGATAACTGTTACAACTACGTCTGTGGCATTTGTAGTCAGATAACCATTACTACTACCTCTGGCATTTATAGTCAGATAACTATTACCTCTGTGGCATTTATAGTCTGATAGCTGTTACTACTACCTCTGTGGCAATTGTAGTCAGATAACTGTTACTACTACCTCTGTGGCATTTATAGTCAGATAACTGTTACTATTACCTCTGTGGCATTTATAGTCAGATAATCCTTACTTTTACCTATGTGACATTTATAGTCTAATAAATGTTTCTAGTACCTCTGTTGCATTTATAGTCAGATAATCCTTACTTTTACCTCTGTTGCATTTATAGTCTGATAATTGTTACTAGTACCACTACTGCATGCAGATTCTGACAATTTGTTATTTTTTTTTATATTTTTAGCAGTGACTGAAGCCATCCACTCATAATATGATTGCACATAGCTGTCCTTAACAACTTGCATTTAAAATATAAAAAAATTAACACACAGTACTTTCTGTTGACTTTGATACAGTGAAACCCGCTTAATATTATATTCCATTTGTCAGGAAGAAATAAGATGATAAGGGGAACATGACAATAACAGATGACACGTTTTTTCAAGACGTCTAAACCAGGAGGTTAATTTTCTCATGCACCAAAGTGTGATTTGATTGGTTTTTCTTATTAGAAAATTGATCTTTTCCTCCACTTTCGCTTGTTTATTCTTTGAAATATCTCAACTGCTATCATTAATTATCGTGAACGATGATATGTCATGTTCACAGTGTACACATGGTCAAATTTGTACGTGACACTACGATGTCATCAGGTGATGTTTTGCCATATAATTTATTCATCCATTACTGTAAAGGCTTCATAATAGGGCATCATTGCAGAGTTGATATACATAAAATGTGTATCGCTTCAACTTTGAGGAAATGTGTTCTGAAAGATCTCAAGGTGAAAAGTTGGCCATCAGGGCAGTGGTGGTGTTTACACAATGCGTCCTGTCCTATCCTCACTAGCCTGTGGTTTATCAATTTTTTTTTTTTATGTGATATTTGTCAAAATGAAAAAAATATTAAGCTTTGCCCACATGAAAATAAGTGACATTATAAGAAGTTGGATTACATAGAATATATAGGAAAAAAAATCAGTGTTTCAAGAAAACGTGATATTAACAGGAAAATGACATTAACAGGTGTGACATTAAGTGGGTTCCACTGTACATACATTCCATAGGAACATTTGAGCTAACAAGAGTGACATGCATGCTGTGTAGAGATATGTTTGCACCCAGCGTCTGACCTATCTGCACGTTTTGATCGCTTGTGTATGTTGTCTGTGTGTTTACAGATTATGATTTATCAACAGAACTGGATAATGTGCCGGAAATCGAGAAGTACTATACTATCCCTCGTAACTCAGACATCCGGAATGTGTACAAGCAGATACAAGCTATGCGCCCTGCCTCCTTAGCAGGTCTGGATCAGTGAGGATGTATATAATGGGGATGATATGGGGGCTTGATGTTATAGAGTTTGAATTACAGGTTTAGAATGCTTAATAACATCTGACATGATGATAGAGATCAAGCTGTATGGTCAATGTTAGAAAAACAATATGTTTGATATAAATTAAGTAGAAAGCATTTTTTGTAAAGTTTGAAGGAGATTTCCCATGTAAGTGACATGCTGCGATTGTCTTGTCTATCGTTCTGTGTCATATACTTATAAACCAAACCAATCACCTCCCAAAAACACTCCTTAACCTTGTTTGATGAAATTCTTTAGAATGGCCTGCCAGGACATTGGACAATGGTCAAAATGAGTCAAATCCTCTTAGTTACGATCTAGTCCAATACTCTTCATTAATGAGAGGGTCTTAATGTGCTTTCCCAATAATAAACCTGGTGAATCGAGGATTTCATATTTACCCCAGGGGTTTACTACGATAGATGTTAGATCTGTCCAGGATAAACTCCCCATGTACTGTCAGATATTAGATCTGTCTAAAATATACTCCCCTTGCACTGTCAGATGTTAGATCTGTCCCCTTGTACTGTCAGATGTTAGATCTGTCCCCTTGCACTGTCAGATGTTAGATCTGTCCCCTTGTACTGTCAGATGTTAGATCTGTCCCCTTGTACTGTCAGATGTTAGATCTGTCCAGGATTAACTCCCCTTGTTCTGTACTGTTTCCATGCTTGATCGTTCATACATGGCCAGATTGAATGCATGATGCATGTCAACCCTAAGTTGCCATTGCTGATAATGTTAAGCCATGATATATCATGTATGTGAGATTGATTCATTTCTTAATACTATTCTTAGTTATTACCAGCAGGTTGGCTGCAACAAATCTCAGCATTGTCACAGTTTCCATCCAACCATCCTTATACTTACCCTATAGTTTAAGGTTGATGAGGTGCACATATATTGACCTTGACTGACCCCAAGGTCCTAGGGGATAGATGGGGTCAAAATTTCAAAAATCTTCTTCTCAGTACCCAGATAATATAGAACCAAATAACTCTTCATGTATGGAAGCGTCTTACGGTGCTTTACCAATGTTGTAATGGTCATGATCCCAGGGTCTCACATTTCCCGTCAGAGAGGTTGTAAAGCTCTCTGTAGCATATATAGGAAAATTACATTTTTGAGCATAATTTGTTTATTTGTTTTTAGAAATAGTTCAAACTTGGTTAGAATCCTTGGCATAAGCTGACAGTTTGATGAGGGGTACATAATGACCTCGGATGACTGAGGGTGAGGCTAAAAATGGGTCTTGACTGAAATTTTAAAGCTGTGCTACTGGTCATGGATGGAAGATTTAATATAGGAAATTTCAATTTTTGAATTCAATTTATTTTTAATTCAGTGGTTAGAAGCCTTAGCATGGAACAACAGTTAATATTATGCACAGTTTACATTTGCACTATGTGTACGATGTAGTTAAAGTACTTACTTGTTAAGTATTTCTATTCAGGTGACCATTAATGTTTTCTTGTTTTATAAATAACACAAGATCTGGAAACAATAGTGATACATTTCTCAGGATCGCCAAAAGCTGCCTTTTTGGTTTTTTCATTTTTTTTTTTTTTGACTTTTTAATATTTTCCCTGTCTGTGATCTTACGGAAACTTGATGTTTTGTCTGAGCTTTGCCTGTCACTTTCTAAGTGTGATTTACTAGCTGTTAGTATTGTATCTATAAGTTAGATGTTCAGTTTTACATCTCAGATCTCAACTAGATATTTTTTTGTCAGTTAAGGCTGAAAAACATGTATTCAGATTGGGTTGAAATATCGCATACATTTTCCAAATCTTACAGTGTTTATACAGTGAGGATACAAAGCCTGAGTTTTGTTTTTGCTTTTTAGGTCATCTGATCCAAATGGTCTAGATGACCTATAGTCATCTGGCTTTGTCTGTCATTTTGTGCCATCGGCTATGTGTAAACTTTTTTTCTTTAAAATCCTACTGTTCTTTCATACCTGGATGAATTGCAACCAAATTTGGTCAGATGCATCATTGGGTGATGCTTATTATTCCTTACTTTCAGAATTTTGATTTGACCCCTAATGGGGAAGTGCTGAAATTCCTGATTCATCAGTTAGGGTAGGCAATTATTTCTTAATTTCAGAAAGTTGATTCAGCCCCTAGGGATTTGGGTACAGGGCCCAAAAAGGGGAAGTTAGACAATATTTTGTTCCAAATACTACTCCTTTGTTATGCTTGAATGGATTTCAACCAAATTTGGTCAGAAACATCATCGAGAATGGAGAATCATATCTTAAATTCAGAAAAAGTTGATTTAACTCCTAGTGAATAGGAATGACCTTGATCTGCTTGAAAGGTCACAGGGATCATATATGTTTAAATCTTTAAATGACTTGTTCTTAATAACCAAAAAGGCAAAGGATGATGATATTAGGCAGGTAGCATGCTAGGATGAAGGTCTACCAACTTTGTAAATATGAACAACATTGACCAACTTTCAAGGTCACAGGTGTCGAATGTGATGAAATGCTTAAGCAACTCAATAAACCAAAGGCCAAGGGTTTTGACATTGGACCTGTAGCTTGCTTTTTCAACAATATGCCTGTAGTAATGGCAATTGTGTAGTGCCTGTATAAAGAATATGATTTCAATTTTGCAGAAAATGTCTTGATGAACCAACAGTATCTTCTATGTACGCTGTAGAGTAGTTGAGCAATTTATTTTAGGCCTATTTTGCCTTTTCCTATAGATGATTTTATAGTCAGATGACCATTAAGGCCCATGGCCCTCTTGTCTTACTATGCTCCCCTAAAATTTTTAGGGCACATTAAGTCCTATCAGAACTAATTATGCATGTCTTGTTTTGATCACGGCTGTTTTCATATCTTTCCAGCCTTCGCCAAAAAAATCATTATTGATCAAACATAAAAGAATTCAGTATTTAATTGACGATTGATTTGGAATAGCTTAAAAAAATAGGAGTAAATGATTATTTAAAATGAAATGCTAATTCACAGCTTTGAAATTGTCTTATTTCTGTTGTTAAACAGGTATACCTGTGTCCAGTTCACAAATAGCAAGGCGGGCCTCAATGAACACACCAAAACCACCACCCCCTGTGCGAAGGTCATCCTCCATCAGCACAGCAGCAGCCCCTGCTGTTGTTCAGCGTATGAGGAAGACTCCACCACGTGACAAGGTAGTTCAGCCGGTTTCGACGGGACACCGTCGTAGTAGCAGCTCTGGCGGCTTGTCAGAGCCTGCCTATGCAGAGCTGCAAACAATACAACAGAGCATCCAGCAAAGACATCAACAGCAGGAACAACAGAACAAGCTACTACAGGCTAATCCGTACGCTACCACAGGCACCCAGCATATAACATTGTCAGCGCCGCCTACACCCTCACAACACATGCCACTCCCCCCTGGAAGTATCAATAATCAAAGAGGACACCATCCTCCTCCTCCAAGACAGACTTCCTCCCAACATAATAAAAAAGTAGGCGGAACAGAGGCACCAACAAATCCTCCCCCAGATATTCCGGGGGCTGGATGGAAAAAACAAGAGAGTTCTCCACCTGTTTCACAGCCGGACATGGACTTTGATTTGCCTCCACCACCTACAGACTGGGAGCTTGAGGAGATAGAGAAGGTTTACAGTTGCCCCCCACCTATCATACAGAAGCCCCCTCCCCCGGGGTCAAATCCAGAAAATGTCCGTGCTTCCTTATTATCAGAACTTAAACTTGGACCTAAACTAAAGCGAGTTACATCTACTGATGAGGGGGCAGAATGTTAGGCCAGGAAGTGCTGTGTTTTTGTTTCTATTCACATATTTTTAATATTAACCAGTGTTGAACATATATCTATGTGTGTGCCCAGTTATTGAATACTGTTGGATACAACGGTTATTATCACCATTGCTCACATCAATTCGGAAGTACTTATCTGTTTATACCTCCTACCACAAAGTTAGGGCATGGAATTATATGATCTGTTTATCGTTCTGTCAGTCCCTCCATCTGTTCATCTGTCTGTTGATCAGATTTTGACCAGCTTTGCATTCTAATCTTAACTCAAAATAATTCAAATGATTTGGCTGACTCTGAATGACTGAGGGGAAGAGCCAGAAAAGGGAAATTTGGCGGCATTGCTATAAATTACTTCTTCTCTAGACCCAGCACTGGCTATTACTCATATTAAGTTGGTCAAAGGAGGTGTGCATTTAAATTTGTACAAATGCAGGAGCTGACCTCCTTTTCTTAAGGAGACAACAGGTGATTTAGTAATTATACCTCCCACTTAGATAAGTTGACATGTATAGTAATCACTGTGTGTGTCCATCATCCAACCAAGGTCTATACACCTTTAATGGTCATCTGCCAAGGTGAAAGGTCAATGGTCACCCTTGATGAGTTTTGAAATAGCTTAGTTACATGTACAAGGTATCCCATGATTCACATCACTCAACCAATTTAATTCGTATTCACAGCATAGCATCATCATGATCTACACCTGATCAGATTTCGTCGGTCATCAGTCAAGGTTAAAGGTCTAAAATGTCACCCTTGACCACTTTGGAAATAAAATGCTTGTGTTAAAAATATCTCTTAAACCCCTTTAAAATTCTAGCTCATATTCACACCATCAAGTTCTGCTCCAAATTAGATTTTGTTGGTCATCAGTCAAAGGTCACCCTTTACCATTTTTGAAATATAAATTGTGTACAAGATGTCTTCAGAACCCCTTAATAAGTTAACTCCACAGTAGATAAAGATCACAATGATGGGGTGAGGTATATATCTATGTAATACTACACATATTGGACTGGTAGCATCTTGAGGTGATTTAAAAGCTCTTCCTTTCAAGGGTGAGTTAGGACCACAAAGGAAATAGAGCTTTAAGATCCCTCATCTTCTTCCAGATTTGTAGAGATTTGTCAATGGAGAAAAACGAATTAATTTAGTATAAGATGTGGGTGTCTTCCTTCTGGGGCCTGAGGGGCGGGGCCAAAGTGGAAAATGTAGCCAAATTTTAACATTCCTCCTTCAGCTTTTAAGTACAATGTATAACAGAATATTTTCAATATCGTAATGAAGTACTCTTAGATCTAGTGAATTATATGATAGGTTGATGGAGGGACAGAAACCTAAAGAGCTAACACATATAATCTTTGAAATCCTTTGTGAACAAATTCCTTTTCTAATATGGTCTGGTGAAGTGGACTTGCTTTATGTAAGTCAAAGGTGAGCCAAGAGGTAGGACCCTTTATGTACAATTATACTAACTGTTAAGCATTTAAAATCCATTCATTTTTTGTTTGGATAATGGCATTTTATCAAAATATAGTTCAAAGCTTTAGAATTTTTTTTTTTATGTGACAATGGAATTGTAATTATAAATGTTATAAGGTGAAAGCTAAAATTTTCAGGTGAGTGATGGGCTTCTTGGTCTGTCTTTTTTTTTTAAGCGAAATTTGTTCAAACTTGATATTATGTCATGACCTAATGTAGGATTGTGCCCTGACGTTTTCTTTTATTTCAACACTTTATAGAAGGTTGTTGAAAGAGTTTGCTGTGACACAATAGATTTTCCACATGTTCACTTGTTTGTTGAGAAAGTCTGAATCACTCTGGCTGTTCACATGACACTCGGCCAAACTAATGCAACACTGACAACCTTACCATAGTCCAGTCTTCTTTATATACTGATGTAAGGAATAAAAAATAATTGTATCCGAAAGGAAACAAGGTTAAGGACATCATACATTTTATGTTCCTTGTTGTGCTCATTCAGTCAATAAATTTCATTTAGTTTCTCTGTACTTTTGCATTCCGGCAGACACATTCTGGTGTGAGGTATCTCTCTACTTGTACACTCTTCCAGACACATTCTGGTGTGAGGTATCTCTGTACACTCTTCCAGACACATTCTGGTGTGAGCTCTCGCTGTACACTCTTCCAGACACATTCTGGTGTGAGCTCTCTCTGTACTTGTACACTCTTCCAGACACATTCTGGTGTGGACTCTATCTGTACCTTTGTATTCTTTCAGATTCATTCTTTACATCCTCACCCTTCCCACCTCCTCCCACACATACCACACTCTTACTACCTACCCCCTTTTAACACACCCTCCTACCCACCCACACCCTTCTGACCCCTCCCCCTCCCACACACACTCACGTCATTCACTGTCAACAGGAGATGGGCTTTTCAAATTCTTGTTCAATGTCCATTTATCTGTTGTCTGTCCGTCCTTCAACAGTTCTTTTTATCGTTGTTTCTTGAGAAAAACAGGATGGATCTTTCTCAAATTTCATATGTAAGTTCACCTTGATCTCAGTTGGGCAGGTTTGGGACTGATTAAGAAAAAAATGATGGACAGACGGTGATTTTGGATGTGATTGTGAAGGTTTGTCATCGCTATTTCTTGAGTAGTACAGCATGGCTCAGAAAAAGAAAATGGCTGTCAAATTTGAGATGATGGATCACTATTCAGAGAAATTTCCAAATTTCATATAACAATATAATAAATACTTATAAATAACAAATAAAGATCAAACAATGGTGGGTGCCAGGGTCCCTCTGGAATACTGTACTGTATAACCTACACAGTCGGAACATATAACATCCCTGATTGATTATATTATAACTTGTGGAGACATCTGTAGAAATATATTAATTCCAGTTTGGTTATTTTATATCATGTCAATTCTCATATGGGAACATATAACACCCCAGATTGATTATTTTATATCCTGCAGTCTCCTGTAGGAACATATAACATCCCAGATTTATTTTTTCATAACCTGTGGAGATATGTGTAGAAATATATTAATTCCAGATTGGTTATTTTATGTCATGGCAATTCTCATATTGGAACATATAACATCCCAGATTTGTTATTTTATATCCTGCACAGTCTCCTGTAGCAACATATAACATCCCAGATTGATTAGTTTATATCCTGCACAGTCTCCTGTAGCAACATATAACATCCCAGATTTGTTATTTTATATCCTGCACAGTCTCCTGTAGCAACATATAACATCCCAGATTGATTAGTTTATATCCTGCACAGTCTCCTGTAGGAACATATAACATCCCAGGTTGATTATTTTATATCCTGCAGTCTCCAGTAGGAACATATAACATCCCAGATTTATTTTTTTATAACCAGTGGAGACATGTGTAGAAATATATTAATTCCAGATTGGTTATTTTATGTCATGGCAATTCTCATATTGGAACATATAACATCCCAGATTGATTAGTTTATATCCTGCACAGTCTCCTGTAGGAACTATTTGTTGAATATAATTTTGGTTACTGAACAAAGTACATTAGTTTTTAACTGGGACACATTAGATGCAGTAAGGCAGTCAATAATACAAACAGCACACATAATAGTACTTTTACTTCAGTATTTAACCAAGTCTTCTTCCTGGTATAGGCTGTGTAAATTCACGATTTTTTATTATTTTTCTCTTTGGTGTCAGATTAATTTGACCTTGACCCACATTGCAGGTCACAATTGTAAAATCGGCTAACAAAATTGCGTGTCGGGTAGGGACGGAATGGATGACCATTGTTACTTTTATTAGAAATGTATGTGTTTAGGTTAAGTAACAATCTCTCATGTTTTTGTATTCAGTGTTGATATTATATATATGTGAAAATATTAATGTCTGACGTACGTGAAATGCTCGGTAACTTTTTTAAAAATTTTAAATTGAAGTTATTTTCTATTTATTGTCATTTTTTGTCATTTATTGAACATGTTTGTATAGAAGAGATTTAAAGAGAATGTGTCCTTTGTAAACCGTAGTATTTGATGTGAGTGAGTGATTTTAAGACCAATATTGATGTTCCTGAAGTACATTTCTTTGTGCAGAAACCAGAGCTGAGATTACTGTGGCTTAACACTGCATGCTTCAACACATGTGTACAGATCATCCGTCTAGCTCAACAACAGATGCCACATGAGTTTAATTTTCTAACAGTCCTCTGTTAATGATCTGTAGAATAATAGCTTACCAGTGTCAAGCAAATTCAGTATAATTTGTTTGATTTTTTTGGATGGTAAATAATAATTGTAGACATTTCTGATTTGCTAAGACTATTATCACTGCTTGAGTTATTTTATTTCTTGCTGTCTGCTTGCTAACATTTACAAACCAAATCTTGAGGGTCCTTAGATGTAGACCTAAAGCGTTATCTCAACTGGTCCAAAGGACTGATAACTTAGGCCGTGCTGTAGCATCCGTCTTCTGTACGCGATTTGCTAAAAATACATACTAGTCATGAAGCACTGCATGTATACTTTGACCAAATATTATCCGAGGCATCTTTGGGGGAAAGTGAATCAACTTTGTACTGATAGTAGGTCTACCTGTGACCTGAGGGGCAGGGCCTAGAAGATTCTTAAAATACTTCATCTGTATGAGTGATGTCATTTTGTCCAAATTTGATTTGAAGTTTCCAAAGATAAAAGGGGCTCAACACCCTAGGGACATCAAGGCAGGGGCTCAATAGGGGAAACAGAATAATTGCTATAAAATTCCTTAACTTCTGTTTGGACAAAGGGATTTTGACTGCAAAGGGAAATTGGTGACACTCAGCTTCCTGGTGTCCAAAAGGCAGAGCCCAAAAAGGTTTATCTTTTGAAACATGAGTTTAAAATAATTATTTTTCTAATAGGATGAAGGTAATATGACAAAATTTGGTTTGCAGCTGAAATTTAACATTATGATAGGGAGTAGAAATGTTTTGATGTAAATGCTGAAATATTCAGGTGAGTGATACAGGTCCCATGGGCCTCTAAACTTTTTGAAAGTTAACATGCAATTGGATTCAATTGAATGCATACTAGCAGATTAAAAAACAATGTTTGATGTATTATGTCTACTCCTATAAGATATTTTTTGTATGTTATACCCTCATGTGTAATGATGTAATGGACAGTTAAAAATGTACGTGTTTTGAGGCTATAATAAAGTTCAGAGAAAACATGTTTTTGTTTTATCTTGATAAAATGTGCTGATCTTGCCAGCTCACTTAAGGGATGTCTACCAAGAACATGCTCTTTTATCACAAACACAGAAAGTTATGCGATATTTTGATGGCTATTGGATGTAGTACACTGTGACCTCCATCAGACCAATCAGTAATGTGTACTACACAGAGTCAGCCTATGAAGTATAGGAATATGGGATATTGATGTTCTGTCGAATGGTATAGAATTTGTACAGAATAGAGGCTTTGCCATGGTTCTACACTTGAGGGAAGAATATCACAAATGAATAGATTTTCAATATATAGAACCCCTAAGCGTCTACTGCACCCTGATATCTTTCTGCTACCGGCAAGCTATGCAACAAGGGAAATAACTCTAATAAAATGATAAGCAAACGTCGAGCAGTTGACATGTCAAAGTCCGGCAGACTCTTAGATAGATAAATCCAGCTTCGTTTGACAACAAGTGTACGGTCTCGTAAGCTGTCATCAGAGATACCAGCCATGTCGTTGAAACATCTCGGGAAAGGTATGAAATGAGAAGTTAGCTTCTATTTTTCGGGGAACTCTGCGATAAATAATCTTATAAAGCTGATAAAGATCTTACTTACCAAAGGGTTTCGTACTAAAGTCTTGTCAAATTTAATGAACGATAAATGATATTACATATGAATTATGTATAGGAATTCGTCGCTTATTTCTTGGCATAGTTGACATACTTGTTGTTTTGGACATTCTGAGCTTACGCTTAGTGTTGCTGTTTGTGAAATTTACAGTAAAAGGTAAGTCTATACAAAATTCATATAAGGTACAATGCAACTGCCAGTGACTCCATAACGGGTATAGAGATTTTCCAGTTTTTGAAAAACCTGAAATCCTGGACCCACCTCTGTTCGGGTGTATAGGAAGTCTCAGCGTCCTCGTTCCTGACCTCGTGAAACGGGGTCACGAACGAGGACGATTAGACTAGAACTAAGTCAGGAACGAGGACGTTTAAACTATCGAAACATATATATATCTCGTCATCAGATAAACTAAAAGGGGCGGGTCCAGGATTTCGGGTTTCACGTTTTTCAGAACTGAAAAATATCTCCCTCCCCTTTTTTCTTATACTTGAACATGTTTTTTTTATCACAAAAACAGAAAGTTATGCGATATTTTGATGGCTATTGGATGTAGTACACTGTGACCTCCATCAGACCAATCAGTAATGTGTACTACACAGAGTCAGCCTATGAAGTATAGGAATATGGGATATTGATGTTCTGTCGAACGGTATAGAATTTGTGCAGAAGGGAGGCTTTGCCATGGTTCTACACGTGAGGGAAGAATATCATCGTCTGATACAAATGTAACAGTTCAAGGTCGCCAGATCCAAATATATGAGTTCAAGGTCGTCAGCTAAGAGGTCAAGGTCAAGGCAATCAAAATAATTTTATCGGTAATTTTTTCTATAATATCATGAAGATAATAAGAAATAAACGATAAGCGCTTGGCCCAGAGTCGGTGGCCATGCAGCGTTTTTACTTTCCAATTACTGATATCATGGAATAACCTATTTGTATCTTAGTTTGTGCTAATATAATAATAGTCTATTTGTTGACCTACTGACAGATAAACAGAGACACATTAGTTACCTCAATCCATAAAGGCCTCAATCCAAAAGGGATGAAAGCCACTAGGGCTTTTCTACAGCAAGATGGTGGTCCTCACTGTCTCGGCCGTCTATGGTTGCTGAAACTGAACAAAGCTGTTCAATACTGATCACGATGGCTCTGTACATTGCTGGGGACATCTCTTCTTCAGGTTCAACAGTCTTTCATTCAAAGCCTTGACACCTCCAGCAAGCTGTCGAACAATTCCTCCCTCTTCTTCAGCTGGAGGTATAAACGAGGGTCATGGGTTTGATCTGACTGCCTTTAAAATGTCTATAATTACCCAAACTTTGTGTCCTTGTTTACGTATACATACTCACTCTAATGATGAACAAGCATCTGACCAGGGTGGAAATTGGTGTAAACGACTAAATATGTACAGAATTGGATGTACAAAACGTAATGGTAAACAGAAAATAACAGTGATAGAGTTGTTTGATCAAGTATAGTCGTGGTACTATCAGTATTTATACTAGTAGTACAAATAAATTAATTCACAATCTTAAACAATAACATATGATGGATATTACTGTTTAGTCAGGTCCGTAACCATAGTAATTAAAACCATTGGATGATCACGGTTTTCTGTTAGGTATTGATGTTGTGTAATAAGTCCACTTCTACAGTCAGTTCTTACTATGTTGATCTTGGTCAGGTACTAATTGTGTGTATGTCCTGTACTTCTGAAAAACGTCTTGGATACCCATGAAAGCAACCCAACAGGCATGGAACTGTAGGCTAGCGGTGTTACGTCTACCCCGGCCTCCGCGAACAATGCAGTACAATTTTACTGCGTGTTTTAGCGTGTCATGTTGCGGGACTGAAATTTAAGCTCCACCGCAGTTTTCACAAGAGCTACACCAATCTAAGACTTATCTATATTATACATGTACGTTTCTGATATAACCTTGAAAACATATTGCAGCCATGATTTATGGTACATTACAAGCATTTTTCCAAAAGTAATAGTTATTATTCAGTGTTGGCTAATCTCCGTCGTATATAAATAGCTTTCAATGGTGTTACGTTATTGTATAACACTCATAGTTCAGAATGTGTAATGTTCTTATATTCTCCAGCTGGTTGACTTTCATCTGTTGCGGTGCACGTGTACCCGCAGACAAACAAACACAATCTGTTGTACAGTGTGTTTTATGTTCGCTATTACGGCTGAAAATTCAGGTAATCAGCTAAATTGAAATATCAAAAATAATGGCAATATGACATACACCTTTCTGAGTACTGATGAGAAGTTTGTCGAATAAACTTTGTTTACAAGTTAAACAGAATAAAATCACATTATCAGGGAAACGTTGATAACTGCGCGTGCTATTTATTGACCTTTCATTGGATGATATGAAGTTGTTTTGATAGATAAATATACAAGGACGGACTTTGAATAGATTCTAAGTCCGTGAAAAAAGATAGCAAAACGACCAAGGTACACCATACATAGGACCCCTAAAGCGTCTACTGCACCCAGATGTCTTTCTTGAACCGACAAGCTATGCAACAAGGGAAATAACTCTAATATAATATAATAAGCAAACGTCGAGCAGTTGACATGTCAAAGTGCAGCAGACTACTGGATAGATTAGTCCAGCTTCGTTTGACAACAAGTTTACAGTCTCGTAAGCTGTCATCAGAGATACCAGCCATGTCGTTGAAACATCTCGGGAAAGGTATGAAATGAGAAGTTAGCTTCTATTTTTCGGGGAACTCTGCGATAAATAATCTTATAAAGCTGATAAAGATCTTACTTACCAAAGGGTTTCGTACTAAAGTCTTGTCAAATTTAATGAACGATAAATGATATTACATGTGAATTATGTATAGGAATTCGTCGCTTATTTCTTGGCATAGTTGACATACTTGTTGTTTTGGACATTCTGAGCTTACGCTTGGTATTGCTGTTTGTGAAACTTACAGTAAAAGGTAAGTCTATACAAAATTCATATCAGGTACAATGCAACTGCCAGTGACTCCATAACGGGTATAGAGATTTTCCAGTTTTTAAAAAACCTGAAATCCGAAATCCTGGACCCACCTCTGTTCGGGTGTATAGGAAGTCTCAGCGTCCTCGTTCCTGACCTCGCGAAACGGGGTCACGAACGAGGACGATTAGACTAGAACTAAGTCAGGAACGAGGACGTTTAAACTATCTAAACAAATATATATATCTCGTCATCAGATAAACTAATAGGGGTGGGTTCAGGATTTCGGGTTTCACGTTTTTTAGAACTGAAAAATATCTCCCTCCCCTTTTTTTCTTATACTTTCTGACTGCAATTTTTCATTTCCCAAGTCAGAGATGTAGCCAATCGTGATTTTGTAGTAGGGTCCAGAGAGGCGAAGTCTCCGGGAGAGGGTTTCACCCGTTTTATGAAAATGATGTGTAGCAGCGTATTTGTGTTAAGGCAGCCACACCTTTGATATCCTTCATATTTATATCCTTCAAAATCTCCTTTGCTTTTTCTTGCTATCTCTCAAACTACATTATAACAAGTTCACTCATTAGTTCTATTAAAAAGTGTCTAGTTTTCTTTGAAAAACATTTTGTACGTATAATTATGATATTGTGGTAAACAACAAATACATGTATTTGCATGTGTATTATCCTATATGTGGACGTTGATGATGTTGTTTATTAGCATGTGTTTACATACAGGTAAGGAAATATGTGGTTTTCAATTCAGTTCAAGACAAGACATCAACTGCATGTATCCAGCTACATCACGATCTATAACTGTATTAACATATATCAAGCTCAGAAACTGTATGCTGTTTCTGATCCTTAGTATGTGGTTCAATAGTTCCCATCTAGTTGATAGTGACGAGACAATATAATTATAAGTATAGTTGAGAAACATGTTTGATGAAGGTTGCAATATACAGGTCTGTCATACATGTAATTCCCATCTTTATTAGGCTTTCTAATTTTATTTCTTGTTTTAATTTGTGGCCAGTAGATAATATCATGCAACTTTTTCTACCTGTTACTTACATTCTTTGCTTCCTGTGCACTAACTTCTTCACACATGTAGTTGTTGACAGACTGTCATGTTTGTTATAGTCAATACATGTCCTGCTCACAATGAAATTTCATACTTGGAAAATGTTTTCTCATCTGTGTTTGAGTTGAAGATGTGTGTTTTATTTCAGAGTCAACATGCCCACCACTGACAAAGGGGCGTCTACGATTATACAGTATGAAATTCTGTCCATATGCACAGCGTACACGGCTTGTTTTGGAATACAAGAAAATTCCGTAAGTTTATCAGATTTTCTTCTCCATTAAGAATGATTAGAATTGATCTGATTTCGTCAGAAGTATTTTTGGGTGAAGGGAAAAGTTTGTGTAAGGATTGGTTCTCAGTTTCCAGGGGCTTGAGGGAGGGGGAGGAGGGCTTTAAAATTCTTTCAAATCCTACTCCTCCTACAGGAATAAATGGATATTGCCCATATTTGATGAGAAGCATTATTTGGTAAAGGGGAATCTGTTTTGTATATATAACTGTCTTGCCCACATGTGATGGAAGGCAGTGCCCAACAAGGGAAATAGAGCAAATTCTTTGAAATACTACTTCTCCTGTAGGAATGATTGAATTTGGGTCAAATTTGGTGTGAAGTATTCTTTGATGGAGGGGAATAAGTTCTGTATAAATGGTGCATTCTGGCCCCCAAAGGTGGGAGGGTTGGGGGCATTGGGGAAATGCAAGTTCTTAAAAATCCTTCTTTCATTCAAGTATATTGTCCAAGTTTGTTCTGAAGTAATTTTTATGAATACTGAATCCGACTTCTGTTCGACAATAAGGATGGGACCTAATAGGGAAGTTATATCAGAAATTGTTTGTCATATTTGAAAGTATTTATTAAATGGCTCAATAGCTAAATCAGACCTCTAGTTTTTTTTAAATTAATTTCATACTTTTGCTTGCTATTATCATCTTTATGTCTTTTGTGTAGACATCATCATCATAATGATCCTCATCACTATCCTCATCATCATCATCATCACCATCATCATCATACACGTGTGTTTAATGCTATCTACACACATCCTCTCTCACATATATTCACACCCATTCACTTACCCTTAGTGTAATCATTGTGTGTAGCTGTTATTGTTTCTCATGTCAATAAGAAACATAGAATCATCAGTTCAAGTGACATAGCATTGATTTAAAACAAGCGTCATTTATTTGAATAATAGATATGAAACTGTCAACATCAATTTGAAGTCGAAACCCGACTGGTTCCGGGACCGTTACATCAATGGCCTTGTGCCTGTGTTGGAGAAAGACGGGGATGTGGTTTATGAGTCTGGTGTGTGTAATGAATACCTGGACGACGTCTACCCAAACCCTCCACTTATACCAAAAGATCCCCTTCAAAAGGCCAAAGACAACATGCTATCAGAACAGTTTGGAAAGGTTCAGTATCCTTCTTATTTGTCGATGAGATGTGTAACCTGTTAACTTTGTTAAGAGATTTGTTACCTACTCACTTTGTTAAAAGAGATTTGTTACCTGTTCACTTTGTTCAAAGAGATTTGTTACACTTTGTTAAAAGAGATTTGTTACCTGTTCACTTTGTTAAAAGAGATTTGTTACCTGTTCACTTTGTTAAAAGAGATTTGTTACCTGTTCACTTTGTTAAAAGAGATTTGTTACCTGTTCACTTTGTTAAAAGAGATTTGTTACCTGTTCACTTTGTTCAAAGAGATTTGTTACACTTTGTTAAAAGAGATTTGTTACCTGTTCACTTTGTTAAAAGAGATTTGTTACCTGTTCACTTTGTTAAAAGAGATTTGTTACCTGTTCACTTTGTTAAAAGAGATTTGTTACCTGTTCACTTTGTTAAAAGAGATTTGTTACCTGTTCACTTTGTTAAAAGAGATTTGTTACCTGTTCACTTTGTTAAAAGAGATTTGTTACCTGTTCACTTTGTTAAAAGAGATTTGTTACCTGTTCACTTTGTTAAAAGAGATTTGTTACCTGTTCACTTTGTTAAAAGAGATTTGTTACCTGTTCACTTTGTTAAAAGAGATTTGTTACCTGTTCACTTTGTTAAAAGAGATTTGTTACCTGTTCACTTTGTTAAAAGAGATTTGTTACCTGTTCACTTTGTTAAAAGAGATTTGTTACCTGTTCACTTTGTTAAAAGAGATTTGTTACCTGTTCACTTTGTTAAAAGAGATTTGTTACCTGTTCACTTTGTTAAAAGAGATTAGTTACACTTTGTTAAAAGAGATTTGTTACCTGTTCACTTTGTTAAAAGAGATTTGTTACCTGTTCACTTTGTTAAAAGAGATTTGTTACCTACTCACTTTGTTAAAAGAGATTTGTTACCTGTTCACTTTGTTAAAAGAGATTTGTTACCTGTTCACTTTGTTAAAAGAGATTTGTTACCTACTCACTTTGTTAAAAGAGATTTGTTACCTGTTCACTTTGTTAAAAGAGATTTGTTACCTGTTCACTTTGTTAAAAGAGATTTGTTACCTGTTCACTTTGTTAAAAGAGATTTGTTACCTACTCACTTTGTTAAAAGAGATTTGTTACCTGTTCACTTTGTTAAAAGAGATTTGTTACCTGTTCACTTTGTTAAAAAGATTTGACTTTGTTAAAAGAGATTTGTTACCTGTTCACTTTGTTAAAAGAGATTTGTTCACTTTGTTAAAAGAGATTTGTTACCTGTTCACTTTGTTAAAAGAGATTTGTTACCTGTTCACTTTGTTAAAAGAGATTTGTTACTCACTTTGTTAAAAGAGATTTGTTACCTGTTCACTTTGTTAAAAGAGATTTGTTACCTGTTCACTTTGTTAAAAGAGATTTGTTACCTGTTCACTTTGTTAAAAGAGATTTGTTACCTGTTTTGTTAAAAGAGATTTGTTACCTGTTCACTTTGTTAAAAGAGATTTGTTACCTGTTCACTTTGTTAAAAGAGATTTGTTACCTGTTCACTTTGTTAAAAGAGATTTGTTACCTGTTCACTTTGTTAAAAGAGATTTGTTACCTGTTCACTTTGTTAAAAGAGATTTGTTACCTGTTCACTTTGTTAAAAGAGATTTGTTACCTGTTCACTTTGTTAAAAGAGATTTGTTACCTGTTCACTTTGTTCAAAAGAGATTTGTTACCTGTTCACTTTGTTAAAAGAGATTTGTTACCTGTTCACTTTGTTAAAAGAGATTTGTTACCTGTTCACTTTGTTAAAAGAGATTTGTTACCTGTTCACTTTGTTAAAAGAGATTTGTTACCTGTTCACTTTGTTAAAAGAGATTTGTTACCTGTTCACTTTGTTAAAAGAGATTTGTTACCTGTTCACTTTGTTAAAAGAGATTTGTTACCTGTTCACTTTGTTAAAAGAGATTTGTTACCTGTTCACTTTGTTAAAAGAGATTTGTTACCTGTTCACTTTGTTAAAAGAGATTTGTTACACTAAAAGAGACTCACTTTGTTAAAAGAGATTTGTTACCTGTTCACTTTGTTAAAAGAGATTTGTTACCTTTGTTAAAAGAGATTTGTTACCTGTTCACTTTGTTAAAAGAGATTTGTTACCTGTTCACTTTGTTAAAAGAGATTTGTTACCTGTTCACTTTGTTAAAAGAGATTTGTTACCTGTTCACTTTGTTAAAAGAGATTTGTTACCTGTTCACTTTGTTAAAAGAGATTTGTTACCTGTTCACTTTGTTAAAAGAGATTTGTTACCTGTTCACTTTGTTAAAAGAGATTTGTTACCTGTTCACTTTGTTAAAAGAGATTTGTTACCTGTTCACTTTGTTAAAAGAGATTTGTTACCTGTTCACTTTGTTAAAAGAGATTTGTTACCTGTTCACTTTGTTAAAAGAGATTTGTTACCTGTTCACTTTGTTAAAAGAGATTTGTTACCTGTTCACTGTTCACTTTGTTAAAAGAGATTTGTTACCTACTCACTTTGTTAAAAGAGATTTGTTACCTGTTCACTTTGTTAAAAGAGATTTGTTACCTGTTCACTTTGTTAAAAGAGATTTGTTACCTACTCACTTTGTTAAAAGAGATTTGTTACCTGTTCACTTTGTTAAAAGAGATTTGTTACCTGTTCACTTTGTTAAAAGAGATTTGTTACCTGTTCACTTTGTTAAAAGAGATTTGTTACCTGTTCACTTTGTTAAAAGAGATTTGTTACCTGTTCACTTTGTTAAAAGAGATTTGTTACCTACTCACTTTGTTAAAAGAGATTTGTTACCTGTTCACTTTGTTAAAAGAGATTTGTTACCTACTCACTTTGTTAAAAGAGATTTGTTACCTGTTCACTTTGTTAAAAGAGATTTGTTACCTGTTCACTTTGTTAAAAGAGATTTGTTACCTGTTCACCTGTTCACTTTGTTAAAAGAGATTTGTTACCTGTTCACTTTGTTAAAAGAGATTTGTTACCTACTCACTTTGTTAAAAGAGATTTGTTACCTGTTCACTTTGTTAAAAGAGATTTGTTACCTGTTCACTTTGTTAAAAGAGATTTGTTACCTGTTCACTTTGTTAAAAGAGATTTGTTACCTGTTCACTTTGTTAAAAGAGATTTGTTACCTGTTCACTTTGTTAAAAGAGATTTGTTACCTGTTCACTTTGTTAAAAGAGATTTGTTACCTGTTCACTTTGTTAAAAGAGAGAGACTTTGTTAAAAGAGATTTGTTACCTGTTCACTTTGTTAAAAGAGATTTGTTACCTGTTCACTTTGTTAAAAGAGATTACCTGTTCACTTTGTTAAAAGAGATTTGTTACCTGTTCACTTTGTTAAAAGAGATTTGTTACCTGTTCACTTTGTTAAAAGAGATTTGTTACCTGTTCACTTTGTTAAAAGAGATTTGTTACCTGTTCACTTTGTTAAAAGAGAAAGTTAAAAGAGATTTGTTACCTGTTCACTTTGTTAAAAGAGATTTGTTACCTGTTCACTTTGTTAAAAGAGATTTGTTACCTGTTCACTTTGTTAAAAGAGATTTGTTACCTGTTCACTTTGTTAAAAGAGAGAGACTTTGTTAAAAGAGTTACCTACTCACTTTGTTAAAAGAGATTTGTTACCTGTTCACTTTGTTAAAAGAGATTTGTTACCTGTTCACTTTGTTAAAAGAGATTTGTTACCTGTTCACTTTGTTAAAAGAGATTTGTTACCTGTTCACTTTGTTAAAAGAGATTTGTTACCTGTTCACTTTGTTAAAAGAGATTTGTTACCTGTTCACTTTGTTAAAAGAGATTTGTTACCTACTCACTTTGTTAAAAGAGATTTGTTACCTACTCACTTTGTTAAAAGAGATTTGTTACACTTTGTTAAAAGAGATTTGTTACCTACTCACTTTGTTAAAAGAGATTTGTTACCTACTCACTTTGTTAAAAGAGATTTGTTACCTGTTCACTTTGTTAAAAGAGATTTGTTACCTACTCACTTTGTTAAAAGAGATTTGTTACCTACTCACTTTGTTAAAAGAGATTTGTTACCTACTCACTTTGTTAAAAGAGATTTGTTACCTGTTCACTTTGTTAAAAGAGATTTGTTACCTGTTCACTTTGTTGTTCACTTTGTTAAAAGAGATTTGTTACCTACTCACTTTGTTAAAAGAGATTTGTTACCTACTCACTTTGTTAAAAGAGATTTGTTACCTCACTCACTTTGTTAAAAGAGATTTGTTACCTACTCACTTTGTTAAAAGATATTTGTTACCTACTCACTTTGTTAAAAGAGATTTGTTACCTGTTCACTTTGTTAAAAGAGATTTGTTACCTGTTCACTTTGTTAAAAGAGATTTGTTTACTCACTTTGTTAAAAGAGATTTGTTACTCACTTTGTTAAAAGAGATTTGTTACCTACTCACTTTGTTAAAAGAGATTTGTTACCTACTCACTTTGTTAAAAGAGATTTGTTACCTACTCACTTTGTTAAAAGAGATTTGTTACCTGTTCACTTTGTTAAAAGAGATTTGTTACCTACTCACTTTGTTAAAAGAGATTTGTTACCTACTCACTTTGTTAAAAGAGATTTGTTACCTACTCACTTTGTTAAAAGAGAAAGTTAAAAGAGATTTGTTACCTACTCACTTTGTTAAAAGAGATTTGTTACCTGTTCACTTTGTTAAAAGAGATTTGTTACCTGTTCACTTTGTTAAAAGAGATTTGTTACCTACTCACTTTGTTAAAAGAGATTTGTTACCACTCACTTTGTTAAAAGAGATTTGTTACCTGTTCACTTTGTTAAAAGAGATTTGTTACCTGTTCACTTTGTTAAAAGAGATTTGTTACCTGTTCACTTTGTTAAAAGAGATTTGTTACCTGTTCACTTTGTTAAAAGAGATTTGTTACCTGTTCACTTTGTTAAAAGAGATTTGTTACCTACTCACTTTGTTAAAAGAGATTTGTTACCTACTCACTTTGTTAAAAGAGATTTGTTACCTGTTCACTTTGTTAAAAGAGATTTGTTACCTGTTCAGATTTGTTACCTGTTCATAAAAGAGATTTGTTACCTGTTCACTTTGTTAAAAGAGATTTGTTACCTGTTCACTTTGTTAAAAGAGATTTGTTACCTGTTCACTTTGTTAAAAGAGATTTGTTACCTGTTCACTTTGTTAAAAGAGATTTGTTACCTGTTCACTTTGTTAAAAGAGATTTGTTACCTGTTCACTTTGTTAAAAGAGATTTGTTACCTGTACTCACTTTGTTAAAAGAGATTTGTTACCTACTCACTTTGTTAAAAGAGATTTGTTACCTGTTCACTTTGTTAAAAGAGATTTGTTACCTGTTCACTTTGTTAAAAAGAGTTACCTACTCACTTTGTTAAAAGTTACCTGTTCACTTTGTTAAAAGAGATTTGTTACCTGTTCACTTTGTTAAAAGAGATTTGTTACCTGTTCACTTTGTTAAAAGAGATTTGTTACCTGTTCACTTTGTTAAAAGAGATTTGTTACCTGTTCACTTTGTTAAAAGAGATTTGTTACCTGTTCACTTTGTTAAAAGAGATTTGTTACCTAATCACTTTGTTAAAAGAGATTTGTTACCTGTTCACTTTGTTAAAAGAGATTTGTTACCTGTTCACTTTGTTAAAAGAGATTTGTTACCTACTCACTTTGTTAAAAGAGATTTGTTACCTGTTCACTTTGTTAAAAGAGATTTGTTACCTGTTCACTTTGTTAAAAGAGATTTGTTACCTGTTCACTTTGTTAAAAGAGATTTGTTACCTGTTCACTTTGTTAAAAGAGATTTGTTACCTGTTCACTTTGTTAAAAGAGATTTGTTACACTTTGTTAAAAGAGATTTGTTACCTGTTCACTTTGTTAAAAGAGATTTGTTACCTGTTCACTTTGTTAAAAGAGATTTGTTACCTGTTCACTTTGTTAAAAGAGATTTGTTACCTGTTCACTTTGTTAAAAGAGATTTGTTACCTGTTCACTTTGTTAAAAGAGATTTGTTACCTGTTCACTTTGTTAAAAGAGATTTGTTACCTGTTCACTTTGTTAAAAGAGATTTGTTACCTGTTCACTTTGTTAAAAGAGATTTGTTACCTGTTCACTTTGTTAAAAGAGATTTGTTACCTGTTCACTTTGTTAAAAGAGATTTGTTACCTGTTCACTTTGTTAAAAGAGATTTGTTACCTGTTCACTTTGTTAAAAGAGATTTGTTACCTGTTCACTTTGTTAAAAGAGATTTGTTACACTTTGTTAAAAGAGATTTGTTACCTGTTCACTTTGTTAAAAGAGATTTGTTACCTGTTCACTTTGTTAAAAGAGATTTGTTACACTTTGTTAAAAGAGATTTGTTACCTGTTCACTTTGTTAAAAGAGATTTGTTACCTGTTCACTTTGTTAAAAGAGATTTGTTACCTGTTCACTTTGTTAAAAGAGATTTGTTACCTACTCACTTTGTTAAAAGAGATTTGTTACCTGTTCACTTTGTTAAAAGAGATTTGTTACCTGTTCACTTTGTTAAAAGAGATTTGTTACCTGTTCACTTTGTTAAAAGAGATTTGTTACCTACTCACTTTGTTAAAAGAGATTTGTTACCTGTTCACTTTGTTAAAAGAGATTTGTTACCTGTTCACTTTGTTAAAAGAGATTTGTTACCTGTTCACTTTGTTAAAAGAGATTTGTTACCTGTTCACTTTGTTAAAAGAGATTTGTTACCTGTTCACTTTGTTAAAAGAGATTTGTTACCTGTTCACTTTGTTAAAAGAGATTTGTTACCTGTTCACTTTGTTAAAAGAGATTTGTTACCTGTTCACTTTGTTAAAAGAGATTTGTTACCTGTTCACTTTGTTAAAAGAGATTTGTTACCTGTTCACTTTGTTAAAAGAGATTTGTTACCTGTTCACTTTGTTAAAAGAGATTTGTTACCTGTTCACTTTGTTAAAAGAGATTTGTTACCTGTTCACTTTGTTAAAAGAGATTTGTTACCTGTTCACTTTGTTAAAAGAGATTTGTTACACTTTGTTAAAAGAGATTTGTTACCTGTTCACTTTGTTAAAAGAGATTTGTTACACTTTGTTAAAAGAGATTTGTTACCTGTTCACTTTGTTAAAAGAGATTTGTTACCTGTTCACTTTGTTAAAAGAGATTTGTTACCTGTTCACTTTGTTAAAAGAGATTTGTTGTTCACTTTGTTAAAAGAGATTTGTTACCTGTTCACTTTGTTAAAAGAGATTTGTTACCTGTTCACTTTGTTAAAAGAGATTTGTTACCTGTTCACTTTGTTAAAAGAGATTTGTTACCTGTTCACTTTGTTAAAAGAGATTTGTTACCTGTTCACTTTGTTAAAAGAGATTTGTTACACTTTGTTAAAAGAGATTTGTTACCTGTTCACTTTGTTAAAAGAGATTTGTTACCTGTTCACTTTGTTAAAAGAGATTTGTTACCTGTTCACTTTGTTAAAAGAGATTTGTTACACTTTGTTAAAAGAGATTTGTTACCTGTTCACTTTGTTAAAAGAGATTTGTTACCTGTTCACTTTGTTAAAAGAGATTTGTTACCTGTTCACTTTGTTAAAAGAGATTTGTTACCTGTTCACTTTGTTAAAAGAGATTTGTTACCTGTTCACTTTGTTAAAAGAGATTTGTTACCTGTTCACTTTGTTAAAAGAGATTTGTTAAAAGAGATTTGTTACCTGTTCACTTTGTTAAAAGAGATTTGTTACACTTTGTTAAAAGAGATTTGTTACCTGTTCACTTTGTTAAAAGAGATTTGTTACCTGTTCACTTTGTTAAAAGAGATTTGTTACCTGTTCACTTTGTTAAAAGAGATTTGTTACACTTTGTTAAAAGAGATTTGTTACCTGTTCACTTTGTTAAAAGAGATTTGTTACCTGTTCACTTTGTTAAAAGAGATTTGTTACCTGTTCACTTTGTTAAAAGAGATTTGTTACACTTTGTTAAAAGAGATTTGTTACCTGTTCACTTTGTCTGTTAATAGGGATCACCTAATTGTATCCTGATAAAAAAGTGACTTGGTGACTTGGTGTCTTTTTCTGGTAGCAATACCAGCATCACATATAATTTCTGATGTACATTTTAACGTTGAACAAGCATATATATTATCAAAATGTTATAATATTATGGCAGTCTTCAATATTTATATGACCAATAAAGGCCCAGTCTTTTTTTTAGAAAGTAGCCATGCTGTAACAATCATTTTTCACAGATATAAGTTCATTTCTTTGAAGAAAATTTATAATGCCAGGTAAAATGTTTACTTTTTTCCAGGTAACCAGCCTGTTTTATGATGTACCAAAATCCAAGGGGGACGAGTCCTACGAAAAGAATGTACGCATGTTCCATTATCAGATGCAGTTCTATGATCGTGAACTCAGCAAGAGAGGACTGTTTTTCGGAGGTATTTTGTCCATTTTTTAGCCCTGACACTAGCATGTATGCTGTTCAAGTTGATTTTCATCCATCTTCTGTCTACTGTCCTAAGTCATCAGAGGTTTCATCCATGTTCTGTCTACTGTCCTAAGTCATCAGAGATTTCATCCATCTTCTGTCTACAGTCCCAAGTCATCAGAGATTTCATCCATGTTCTGTCTACTGTCCTATGTCATCAGAGATTTCATCCATGTTTTGTCTACTGTCCTAAGTCATCAGAGATTTCATCCATGTTTTTTGTCTGTCCTCTGTCCTTAAATATTCAGAGATTTAACCTGTGGTCTGTCTGTCATCTGTCCTGAAGTAACCAAAGATTTTTCATGTGATCTGTCTGACTTCTATATTCAAACATTCAGAGATTTCACCCGTGGTCTGTCAAGCACTGATCTCACACAAGTGAAAGGAAAATTTAATGAATGTCGTTTACACATGAGTATTTTCAACTGTCATATTTTAGAGTGTTGGAATCACCCTGCATCCATGGTCCTTTGTCAATACTTACAGTGTATCTCTCTAGAAGTATTGGACATATCTTCCTCAGATTCCATATGTAGGTTCCTCTTACTCCATAGTTGCGCCCATATGATTTCAGGACCGATCAGATAAAACAATTTTGAATTCTATAAATATAACTGCTTTTGTCCTATATTGAAAACTGTCATTGTTTGTTGAGAATGTCACTAAAAACTATCACCCTGTCCCTGATTGGTAGTTTATCTATGTATGTTACTACCGTAAATACAGTTTAACACAGATGTTTACTGTTTATTTTTTATTTAGGTTCTCAGCCATGCAATGTGGATTTTATGATATGGCCTTGGTTTGAGCGATTAGGAGTGATGACAGTCGTTTCTCCGGAGTCAGCCATTACTGTTGATAAATATCCTAACCTGGCACCGTGGCAGGACAGAATGTACTCTTTGCCTTGTGTGAAGGACACCTATGTTAAACCAGAAGACCACATACACTTCTTCACAACCTTACGACAGGGAAAACCAGACTATGATTATGGATCATAACACGATCTTACGACAGGGAAAACCAGACTATGATTATGGATCATAACACGATCTTACGACAGGGAACCCAGACTTACGACAGGGAAACCCAGACTTACGACAGAGAAAACCAGACTATGATTATTGATCATAACACGATTTTACGACAGGGAAACCCAGACTATGATTATGGATCATAACACGATTTTACGACAGGGAAACCCAGACTATGATTATGGATCATAACACGATCTTACGACAGGGAAACCCAGACTATGATTATGGATCATAACACGATCTTACGACAGGGAAACCCAGACTATGATTATGGATCATAACACGATCTTACGACAGGGAAACCCAGACTATGATTATGGATCATAACATGATCTTACGACAGGAAAACCAGACTATGATTATGGATCATAACACGATCTTACGACGGGGAACCCAGACTATGATTATGGATCATAACACGATCTTTACAGGGAAACCCAGGACTTAACGGAAACCCTGTGATTATGTATCATAACACTATGATTATGGATCATAACACGATCTTACGACAGGGAAACCCAGACTATGATTATGGATCATAACACGATCTTACGACAGGGAAACCCAGAAAATGATTATGGAACATAACATGATCATACGACAGGGAACCCAGACTATGATTATGGATCATAACATGATCTTACGACAGGAAAACCAGACTATGATTATGGATCATAACACGATCTTACGACGGGGAACCCAGACTATGATTATGGATCATAACACGATCTTATGACAGGGAACCCAGACTATGATTATGGATCATAACACGATCTTACGACAGGGAAACCCAGACTTACGACAGGGAAACCCAGACTTACGACAGGGAAACCCAGACTATTATTATGGTTCATTTGACCTGAGCTTATATGTTTTAATCAGAAACAATTGCTGAGGTAAATTGAACAAAGATTAAGGATTACTGATGGAAATTCAGTTCAAAAAAATGGAATTGAAAAAACAATTTGATTGCTGCTGGAGAAGATTATCATCACAGACCAGTGGATTATTGTCAGTGTGAAAGAAAAACAAAGATTTAAGTTCTGCAAGATGTATTGGGATCAAGTATAGGAGTAGAGAACCTTTCCTTGCAACATACCTCTGCTTTATCAGTTATACTAAACAATATAGAAGGTTTCAAACTGGATACATTTCACACAAGAAATGTCCATTGAATGATTTCCTTAAGAGTATGGAATTAGGAGACATTTGGAGAAAGTCTTAGATCATTGCTGAAAATACTAAGTAAAGTTATCTTTGTCATGTTTTCATTTCAATAAACAATAGTTTTATATTTTACTGTTGCTTATTAAATGTTGTCTTTATGGCCTAATTCATCCCTGTGTCAACATCAAAGATACAGGGCCTTATAGACTTTAATTAGGCCCTGTATCAACATCAAAGATACAGGGCCTTATAGACTTTAATTAGGCCCTGTATCAACGTCAAAGATACAGGGCCTTATAGACTTTAATTAGGCCCTGTATCAACATCAAAGATACAGGGCCTTATAGACTTTAATTAGGCCCTGTATCAACGTCAAAGATACAGGGCCTTATAGACTTTAATTAGGCCCTGTATCAACATCAAAGATACAGGGCCTTATAGACTTTAATTAGGCCCTGTATCAACATCAAAGATACAGGGCCTTATAGACATTAATTAGGCCCTGTATCAACAACAAAGATTCAAGGCTTTATAGACTTTAATTAGACTCTGTATCAACATCAAATGTTGCATGAGTGCTGTCTGTTTCCTGATCATTGTCTAATGTTGCCTGGGTGTTGTCTAATGTTATCAACATCAAAGATACAGGCTTTATAGACTTTAATTAGGCCCTGTATCAACATCAAAGATACAGGGCCTTATAGACTTTAATTAGGCCCTGTATCAACATCAAAGATACAGGGCCTTATAGACTTTAATTAGGCCCTGTATCAACATCAAAGATACAGGGCCTTATAGACTTTAATTAGGCCCTGTATCAACATCAAAGATAAGCTTTATAGACTTTAATTAGGACCCTGCCTTATAGACCCTGTATCAACATCAAAGATACAGGCTTTATAGACTTTAATTAGGCCCTGTATCAACATCAAAGATACAGGGCTTTATAGTTTTAGACTTTAATTAGGCCCTGTATCAACATCAAAGATACCGGCTTTATAGACTTTAATTAGGCCCTGTATCAACATCAAAGATACAGGCTTTATAGACTTTAATTAGGCCCTGTATCAACATCAAAGATACAGGCTTTATAGACTTTAATTAGGCCCTGTATCAACATCAAAGATACAGGCTTTATAGACTTTAATTAGGCCCTGTATCAACATCAAAGATACAGGCTTTATAGACTTTAATTAGGCCCTGTATCAACATCAAAGATACAGGCTTTATAGACTTTAATTAGGCCCTGTATCAACATCAAAGATACAGGCTTTATAGACTTTAATTAGGCCCTGTATCAACATCAAAGATACAGGCTTTATAGACTTTAATTAGACCCTGTATCAACATCAAAGATACAGGCTTTATAGACTTTAATTAGGCCCTGTGTCAACATCAAAGATACAGGCTTTATAGACTTTAATTAGGCCCTGTATCAACATCAAAGATACAGGCTTTATAGACTTTAATTAGGCCCTGTATCAACATCAAAGATACAGGCTTTATAGACTTTAATTAGGCCCTGTATCAACATCAAAGATACAGGCCTTATACTTTAATTAGGCCCTCAACATTACAGGCTTTATAGACTTTAATTAGGCCCTGTATCAACATCAAAGATACAGGCTTTATAGACTTTAATTAGGCCCTGTATCAACATCAAAGATACAGGCTTTATACAGGCTTTATAGACTTTAATTAGGCCCTGTATCAACATCAAAGATACAGGCTTTATAGACTTTAAGACCCTGTATCAACATCAAAGATACAGGCTTTATAGACTTTAATTAGGCCCTGTATCAACATCAAAGATACAGGCTTTATAGACTTTAATTAGGCCCTGTATCAACATCAAAGATACAGGCTTTATAGACTTTAATCAGGCCCTGTATCAAAGATACAGGCTTTATAGACTTTAATTAGGCCCTGTATCAACATCAAAGATACAGGCTTTATAGACTTTAATTAGACCCTGTATCAACATCAAAGATACAGGCTTTATAGACTTTAATTAGGCCCTGTGTCAACATCAAAGATACAGGCTTTATAGACTTTAATTAGGCCCTGTATCAACATCAAAGATACAGGCTTTATAGACTTTAATTAGGCCCTGTATCAACATCAAAGATACAGGCTTTATAGACTTTAATTAGGCCCTGTATCAACATCAAAGATACAGGCTTTATAGACTGTTAATTAGACCCTGTATCAACATCAAAGATACAGGCTTTATAGACTTTAATTAGGCCCTGTGTCAACATCAAAGATACAGGCTTTATAGACTTTAATTAGGCCCTGTATCAACATCAAAGATACAGGCTTTATAGACTTTAATTAGGCCCTGTATCAACATCAAAGATACAGGCTTTATAGACTTTAATTAGGCCCTGTGTCAACATCAAAGATACAGGCTTTATAGACTTTAATTAGGCCCTGTATCAACATCAAAGATACAGGCTTTATAGACTTTAATTAGGCCCTGTATCAACATCAAAGATACAGGCTTTATAGACTTTAATTAGGCCCTGTATCAACATCAAAGATACAGGCCTTATAGACTTTAATTAGGCCCTGTATCAACATCAAAGATACAGGCTTTATAGACTTTAATTAGGCCCTGTATCAACATCAAAGATACAGGGCCTTATAGACTTTAATTAGACCCTGTATCAACATCAAAGATACAGGCCTTATAGACTTTAATTAGGCCCTGTATCAACATCAAAGATACAGGCTTTATAGACTTTAATTAGGCCCTGTATTAACATCAAAGATACAGGCTTTATAGACTTTAATTAGGCCCTGTATCAACATCAAAGATACAGGCTTTATAGACTTTAATTAGACCCTGTGTCAACATCAAAGATACAGGCTTTATAGACTTTAATTAGGCCCTGTATCAACATCAAAGATACAGGCTTTATAGACTTTAATTAGGCCCTGTATCAACATCAAAGATACAGGGCCTTATAGACTTTAATTAGACCCTGTATCAACATCAAAGATATAGGCCTTATAGACTTTAATTAGGCCCTGTATCAACATCAAAGATACAGGGCCTTATAGACTTTAATTAGGCCCTGTATCAACAACAAAGATACAAGGCCTTATAGACTTTAATTAGGCCCTGTATCAACAACAAAGATACTGGGCCTTTTAGACTTTAATTAGGCCCTGTATCAACAACATAGATACAGGTACCTTATAGACTTTAATTAGGCCCTGTATCAACAACAAAGATACTGGGCCTTTTAGACTTTAATTAGGCCCTGTATCAACAAAATAGATACAGGTACCTTATAGACTTTAATTAGGCCCTGTATCAAGAACAAAGATACTGGGCCTTTTAGACTTTAATTAGGCCCTGTATCAACATCAAAGATACAGGGCCCTATAGACTTTAATTAGGCCCCTTATTAACATCAAAGATATTGGGTCTTTTTATCTTTTAGCCAAACAATAGTCTTCTGCAGGACATCTTTGTTCCCTTGTATTATTCTCATTGCTTTTATTATTCCTGATAAGCATTATCCTGTGTTGCATGAGTGTTGTCTAATGTTGCCTGAGTGTTGTCTGTTTCCTGATCATTGTCTAATGTTGCCTGGGTGTTTTCTTATGTTTCCTGAGTGTTGTCTTATGTTTCACGAGTGATGTCTAATGTTGTATGAGCGTTGTCTAATGTTGTCTTAATGTTGTTTAAAGTTGTCAGAATGTTGTCTGTTTCCTGAGTGTTGTTTAATGTTTTCCGAGTGTTGTCCAATGTTTCCCGAGTGTTGTCTGCTTCCTAAGAGTTGTCTAATGTTTCCAGAGTGTTGTCTAATGATTCCCGAGTGTTGTCTAATGTTTTCTGAGTGTTGTCTAATGCCGTCTGAGTGTTGTCGATGTTGTCTGAATGTTGTCTTATGTTGCTTGAGTGTTGTCTAATGTTTCCAGAGTGCTGGTTGATGCTTCCTGAGTGTTGTCTAATGTTTCCCGAGTGTTGTCTGTTTCTTGAGTGTTGTCTAATGTTTCCAGAGTGTTGTCTAATGTTTCCCAAGTGTTGTCTAATGTTTTCTGAGTGTTGTCTAATGCCGTCTGAGTGTTGTCGATGTTGTCTGAATGTTGTCTTATGTTGCTTGAGTGTTGTCTAATGTTTCCAGAGTGCTGGTTGATGCTTCCTGAGTGTTGTCTGTTTCCTGAGTGTTGTCTAATGTTTCCCGAGTGTTGTCTGTTTCCCGAGTGTTGTCTGTTTCCCGAGT